GTAGTTTCTGTAGATGTATATCTTGTACGCCCAGATAGTCACCGTCGGAACCGTCTCGTCTTCCGCTTTTCGAAAACATATAGACTGCTTGGGATCCATCCAAAAAAGTGCCTGGGTGAAGGGTGTGCTTAGTGATTTCTGGAGATTTTCGAGTTTTTGAGATAAAAAAAATTCATAACTTTTGTAGGTGAACTGACTTTGCGTAGAAATGGTCACCATTGGAACCATCTCGTCCTCTGCTTTTAGAAAGTATATACCTTTGCCTGGAATCCTTTAGAAAAGTGCCGGGTGAAGGGTGGGTGAGACTCTTATAATGGAAGTTCTCAAGTAAAGTGCGGTTCATAATTATACGAACACCCAAGATTTTGTAAGTTTTCGGACTTTTTGGGAGAAACTCAAAAAGCCGTTGGTACCACGCGATAGAACACAGCCGAAAACGGTATATGATCCATAAGAATGGAAATTGATATCAATCTTAAGAGTGTTTTTGCGCTTAATGCGAATTTTTAGCGGTTCATAATTATACGAACACCTCGAACAAAGGTCCATTTTTCAATCAAGATTGCAATCATTTGAGTCCAAATTTTTTGTAGATTTACAGTAACAAAGTCTGACATATCTGCTACACACTGAACCCAGTGCAGTTCAAAAAGAGGACCGTTACTTTTTTCAGAAGGCTCTAAATGCTTTTGAGTGATTGCGCTCCAAAAACATCCGTTCTTCTGCGGTTTACGCGCTCTACCAAAGCTATGAGATGAAATAAACTTTTTCGATAGGTACTTTGTTTGACGCTTGGAAAATCTTTGCGTTTTCGTGCCGTTTTTCAACCAAGTTCCAACCTTACCTTAGAGTTAGTACGATTTCGAGCCTCAAAACTCAGCTTCTCTCTTGCGCAAACATTCGATATGAAGCAGCTGCATTGTTTGCATGATGATGTTTCTGTGCCAAAGTTTTTGGGTTGTTTGTAGAACTGATCTTGAGGCTGTGGAGCTACAAATCAAATAAATGTGATTGCAATAGTAAAAACAGTGTTTTTGGTGAAATGACGTCTGCGTGGCCAAAACAAACGCTCAACGCTGCTGATTTTTTCTAGCCAAATATACAGTCTTGTGAACTTCTACATACTAAATGCTTACTTCATTATACGGTTTCAGAAGTTGAGTTTTGAGGCTCGAAATCGTGCTAACTCTAAGGTAAGGTTGAAACTTGGTTGAAAAATGGCACGAAAACGCAAAGATTTTCCAAATGTCAATCAAAATACCTATCGAAAGAGTTTATATCATCTCATAGCTTTGGTAGAAGCTAATTAGAGCGCGTAAACCACAGAAGAACGGATGTTTTTGGAGCGCAATCACTCAAAAAGCATTTAGAGCCTTCTGGAAAAAGTAACGGTCCTCTTTTTGAACTGCACTGGGTTCAGTGTGTAGCAGATATGTCAGACTTTGTTACTGTAACTCTACAAAAAATTTGGACTCAAATGATTGCAATCTTGATTTAAAAATAGACCTTTATTCGAGGTGTTCGTATAATTATGAACCGCTAAAAATTCGCATTAAGCGCAAAAACACCCTTAAGATTGATACCAATTTCCATTCTTATGGATCATATACCGTTTTCGGCTGTGTTCTATCGCGTGGTACCAACGGCTTTTTGAGTTTCTCCCAAAAAGTCCGAAAACTTACAAAATTTTGGGTGTTCGTATAATTATGAACCGCACTTTAGACGTCTTTTCACAATGGTATAAAAGCTTCCACCTGAGAACTCCCATTATTAGTCCCACCCAACCTTCACCCGGCATTTTTTTCAACGGACAAGGCAAAGTATATATTTTCTGAAAGCGGAGGACGAGGCGGTCCCAATGGTTATTATCTTCATGCATGTTTCATCTACAAAAGTTATGAATTTTTTATGTCAAAAACTCTCTCCAGAAATCACTAAGCACACCCTTCACCAAGCAATTTTTTGGACGAATCTAAAACAGTCAATATATTCTGAAAGCGGAAGACAAGGCGGTTCCGATGGTGGCCATTTGGGCGTATAAGAGGTTCATCTAATGAAGTTATAATTTTTTCTTACCCTAAAGACTCATAAATTTCTAGAAATCACTAAGCACACCATTCACCAGGCACTTTTTTTAACAGACTCTAGGCAAACTATATATTCTCGAAAAGCGGAGAAAGAGGGCAGGGCGGTCCCGATGACTGCCATCTCGCTGTACCACCTGTCCGTCTTCAGAACTTACAAATTTTTTTATCCTGAAAACTCGTAGAAACCCGGATTTCAATTACTACACCTTTTACCAGGCACTTTTATGAAAACACTAGGCAAACTAGATATTTCCTGAAAATTGAAGGAAAGGTTTCTGAAAACAATTTCCTTGCTGACACTGCTGTTCATCTACAGAAGTTACGAATTTTAACAATTTTTACTTAAATATTGTCTACCTCTTTCCCAAAACAGATGTACTCGCATACACGTCTTCTATAGTAATTTTGACATACAGGGTGTTTCCAATTCTACTTCAGTCTTCACATTTTAGAAAATAGACAACCAATGATGGCAAAGAATTTGAGATGATAAACTTTGATTCGGCAAAATAATGAAAGAACGCCGTCACTCCTCCCCCCCCCCCCCCCCCCCCGGTGGACACCTTATGATTTCTCGACCAATTGAAACACCTTTCACCCCGAATGGGCTGCGACCACTATGACACCCTTCACCCTGGAGGAGTCATTCTCACCTTATCGCACCTATGATGTTCACTATAGAAATCTAAGCATTCACTCTGGGATTTTACGGTCCTTTTTAGCGACAGAAGCCATCAATCCTAGGTTGCGCGTAATAATCGTTACAATAAGGTAGTAATGTGGAGGAAAAGGTAAAGAATTAACATTCAAAAAAGAAAGGTGACTGTTTAGGCCATATGTATACGAGCTTCTTGCCTTGCTGCCTATTGCGAGGATTACTGTAACGCCGCGTAGCTGCAAATTTTAGTTGACACCAGTAACCCTCTCTGAGAAACTCTACAATTATGTATGTCAAAGTGAGTCTCAATAAGTAACTTATTTCGACAATCTTGATGTTTCAAGTTCTCTGCAAAACTTTGCTGGAACTTCTGAGCCATTATGAACCCAGCCTTAGTCCACAAGACACACTCCTAACTTAACGCAGCCTTATCAGTGTATCTGAAATCATCCAGTTCAAGGCGGCATGTACGTGTGAGGCTGTAAAATATGTCACACAATTATTGATAGCTACTTGATTTGATGCAAAGTGTCCTAAAACAAGTCGTTTTTCTTTGATGTGTGCTCTTGAAATGTTAGAATTTTGATACCCCGAAATGTCTTTTGATCTGAGCTTATTCCAAATTTTTCAGTGAATTGTTGAAAACAAGTAGAGCTGCCATCAGCGCGCGCCCGTAGCAGGTTTCAAATAATTGTATTGAGGGAAAGCACTGCCTCATGAAACATTTTGCTCAAAGCGCAACTTTGAAGAGCGATCATTCTTGCATTGAATAGTAGACAACTGACTCGTGGCAAAGATAAGAATGTGGTGCCAAATTTTGCTTTTAAACAAATAAGAGCTGAGAAAAACCAAAAAGGAAAAATGTAAAATGTTTGAAAGGTGTCGCGAGCTTTGTTCTGGAATTTTCCAGCTACTGAAAAGCAAATATTGATTCATTTGCATAGCAGAAATGACCAAGTGTTCTGATGACTATGCGCGAAATAAGAATGAAGTATGAATTCTTAAAAAACTCATGTAGCGAAGAACGTGCTGAAATTTTCTCAAATTGTAGTAGAACAACTTTGCTTCTGGCGTTTGACTGCCACTCTCAAGCCGCGCTCTGATTGTCAATGATGACTTGCAAATTTGACGTGTTTTCAAATTTCCTAACTGCTTTAGCAGTCGACGTTCTGTCCCCTAGAAGCAATATGCGCAAAAAAAGAGATTTATGATTTTGATTATACTTATTCTTATTACGGATTGCATCATGTACCTCTATTTTGAATCTATGATTCTTTTATTACAACTGGTTTTTCATTTTTGTGTGCATGAAAACGTGGAGTATGTAACAAAGCCACATCATCACTATCATCAGTATGCAACATCCAGTGGCACTATACGTACAACTTACGGTTGCGATAACTTTTCTCTCCTTGACTTCATACATCGCAGTAAGTTTTTTCCAACAAGGAAGGAATACTCATGACTGTGACTTTCTAAAGTGTGCTATATATTAGAATGCTTGTCTCAAAACTCTGATCTCGGAACTACGTTCGTTATCTGCGAAACGCTTTGCTGAGAAGAAATAGCGCTTATAAAACCGAACACAAAAACATTCGCATAGGAAGAGATCACACCGACATCCATTTATTGCGCAATAATCGACAGTAATCGCAATAATCCGCAAATAACGAACACAGTTTTGAGATCTGCTCTAGGAGAATGTCATGATATGTGTCACTCAGCGCAAGTTCACCGAGTATTCTTTCCATGTATATTTTATGCACTATGGTACGCCGCGCAGTCTGGCCCAACCGTAACTGCTTAAAGCGAATGTCAGCTCATTTCAGCAGAGTTCATTTAGAGTTCATTTAATGAAATCCTCCTCTCCTCCGAAGTAAAGCCTTACCTCTCTATCCGTCAGAGGGTGCCGGAAGATGTACTAAGTGAGAACCCTTTTCGTATTGTGAGTTTCCATTTGAATGATGGAGGTATCACTAAAAAAAGAACCTTTTTATATTGACGAGCAATGCAGCGAACTTTACGGAACATGTTTTGAAGTGGTTGACCAATACCACAAAAGTGAGAGCGGGTGAGTTTGTATCCGGTCTTTCATCTACAATTTTGTTACACTTTGTGAGCAGACCACCCTTGGTCTTTCGTTTACTGAAGAAAAAAGGCGGGAAGTGGGAGCTTTACCTGTCTTACGCGCGGCTACTACCACCAGAACGTAGGTCGTTCGATTCCTCATTAAGTAGCAAAATCATATCTTGCAGCTTTGACTTTTGATGGAATTGACACAAGAACCTGGGACATCGACAAAACATGGGTGCATTTGCATTACGCTCGTATGATGATCACAGCGCCATTCTTTAGTGGAGCAGTCGTTTACAATCCTGAAGATTCTGAAATGACTTATGAAGCCCTAGTTTTGGGACTTGGTGGTGGAGTAATCAACAGCTTTCTCAGCGATGTTGTTCAACAAAAGCTTTGTTTTTCATTATGTATAGAAGACTTCAGCCGAGTTTTTAGTTGTCTTATTGTTTTAGATTCGTGTCACTAGCGTAGACAACGATCCAGTGATGATATCAATTGCGAAAAAGTGGTATCAGCTCAAGGAGTCTCCCCGTCATAAAGTCGTAATTGATGATGCGATACATTTTGTCCAGGATGAAGCATCTAAAGGTTGTGCATGTTTTTGCACGATATGTACCATGCATGTTTTCCAGGCTCGAAGTACGACGTAATTCTTGTGGATGTCTGCTACAATAAGCTAAGAAGCGTGTTATGCCCAATCGACGAATTTCTTAACGATACTGTCATTAAGCAAATGAGCGCCATCTTGAAAGACCATGGTGATGCTTTGTTCGGGCCTTCGGGAACAGTTCCAGCGCTCTCGCACCGTGCTGGTGTCCCGAAACTGTCCTGTATGCGCTGCAAGCCGCATGCAATTTTAAGCGGCGGGAGTTGGAGAATTTTAATGGTTTCTGTTTCAGGTTTTTTCAACTTGGCCTTATTCCTCTAAAATTTCCTTTTGATCAACGGAACTCAAGCGAATGAAGAATGAGCGCTCTTCTGCTCTGTGTATCGGACAAATTGTGTGTTCTTGCTTTCGTCCATCCTCTTCGTTTTATTGTAGTTCCGCATTTGTATTGAAAGGGGCATAGACAGGTTTCTAGAACACATGAATTAGGTCCAACAAAAATAGAAGAGAGAATGGACGAGCATCACAAAGACCCATCTGCGCGGATACATGGAACAGAATAAAGTCAATTCTTAACTCGATTGAACAGCTTTTCTCGTCGCAAGGAGAAGCGGGGAGAAAAACGAAGGGATAACCAACGATATGGAAAAAAAGCTGAGAATGCCCAGAAACGAAACTCATCAGGAAACAAGAGAAAAGTCCCAATTTCCGCATTTTCGATTTATTCGCATGCCCCAACTCAATGCAGATGCCTGTGAAAACAACGCAGCTTACTGAAACAAATGGGTAGTTCTGAGCAAAAATACAACTGGAGAATATACGAACGCAAGGGGAAGCAGGGTAGAGGAATAAGGCCAACATGAGAGAAACCTGGAAGAAAAACCGTTAAAAATCAAAATTCTTCAACTTGGGCCGCTCAAAATTCTATGCGGGCAGCTGCAGTGCATGCAGCACAGTTCCAGAGCAATTCCAGCACAGTACGAAAACTGTACTGAAACTCAGTAATTAGATCAAATGCTCTCTTATCTTCAAACCTGGGCATTTTGTGAAGTGTCAGTATATGCCGTGTTATGCCAAACCAGGTTTTTGGTGGATCTTTAGAACCTAATGGTTTCGACAGTCTCGTTTTTTTCAGAGTTCTTAGATCCACAGCATTTCAGTAAGCCCGCATACATGGTCAGTAAGAGTGACGTCCGTAACTGACCATCTGTGCGGGCTTACTGAAATGCTGTGGATCTAAGAACTCTGAAGAAGACGAGACTGTCGAAACCGTCAGGTGTTATAAAGATCCACCAAAACCTGCTTTTGCATAACACGGCATATACTGTAATGAAGCTGTTCCGGAACATCTAAATCAGTATGAACCTATCCTTAAACGCTTATTCAATTTTTTTCGGCTCAATAAGGCCAAAGTGATTGCAGGAGCTATAGTTGTCAATGTCATTCCAAGCCGTGGCACTTCTGCATACGACGAGGTGCGCATATGAGAGGGTACTCCGATATTTCAGTTTCTTTTTTAGATCAAGCATACTTATTCTCGGCATCTTCCTTCTTGCTACCTAATGAAAATTAGCGGTTCGCAGGTAATTGATGTCTTTCGTCTCCGCTGCCTTGTTGATAATATTTCAGATTCTTATTTGTTCTAAAATCGAAAACAACGCCTGGGATACTAATCGAAAGAAAATTGCGGAAGTTTTTGAGATAGTAGACAATGACTTCGTTTTTTCTATAGCACAGTATGCTATAGCAATGACAGACAACTCTACAATTAGTGATCAACTGAATTAGTTTTTCCTTTCACAATTTGTGTTTCTAGGTACCTACTCATGTTTCTTCTGAAACGTCTGTATATAGATGCTAGAGTGAATGAGTCACAAAGGCCAAGCACTGCTTTCTTGTTTCATAGTCAGTTGGAAACAAAGTATTGCATCATCTTAGCACTGCTTTCTTATGCTACAATCAGTTTAAAACAAAGTTCAGCACCAAAATTTTGACTTACTACACATACCATAGACAACAAAAAAAATAATATGCAGACTGAATAAATCAACTGAGTTTCTGAGGTGGCATGAATATCAAATGCAACTCGGTCCTTCAGAAATAGAGATAACCAGGGTCGAGCAAGGGGTGTGGCACACGATCGCTGGTGACGACCCCCACCCCTTGATTGATGTCTTAATAAGACCCCCCCCCCCTGAACTATACACTTAAGGTAGCATTACTTGAAGGCCCTGTCAAACATAATGGGCAAAATATCCATAATTAGCATGTCAAATAACCCCTGTAGACAAAGTGTGAGCGAATTCCGGAGATTTAAGATACTAGGCTAGCTAAGTGAAATGGTCAAATTCCAACATGGTTAACTTTGTTTCAAAGGTGAATTAGCTATCCGATTTTGCAGAAAAGACAAAGCACTACTCCTTCTTTGTCCATCTCAGGAATCCCGCTTCAGAAGACCTCCAAACTGTGGAATTAGAAGCCAACCAAAATCTCGTTTTTCCCATTTTTCGCTTTTGATCGCTGTGTGATTTCACCAAATATTATTTAGAGCTAAGAAGACGAATCAGGCTCAGAACACTCCTATGGAATCTACAAGGTTTAGGCTATCTGATATAGTAAATGGCTTTTTGATATAGTTAATGGGGTGCGGCACACCCCCTTAAAAGCTGCGGCCGCCGCAGCTTTTAAGGGGGTGTGCCGCACCCCATTAACTATATCAAAAAAACATTTTTAGCGGACAGTATTTACATGAATCGATAGCCTAAGTTTTGTAAATTCCATAGGACTGTTCTGAGCCTGATACATCTTCTTAGCTCTAAATAATATTTGGTGAAAGCACAGCGATTAAAAGCGAAAAATGGGGAAAACGAGATTTTGGTTGGCTTCTAATTCCACAGTTTGGAGGTTTTCTGAAGCAGGATTCCTGAGGTGGACAAAGAAGGATTAGTGCTTTGTCTGGAGTGCAAAAACGGATAGCTAATTCACCCAAACAAAGTTAACCATGTTGGAATTTGACCATTTCACTTAGGTAGCCTAGTATCTTGAATCTTCGGAATTCGCTCACACTTTGTCTACAGGGGTTAAATGACATGCTAAATATGGATAGGATACGATTAACATGTTATCACTATTATCAGATTACCCAACTACGACCCCCCTTCCCTTTTGACTCCTCAATACGACCCCCCAGGTGTGGCGTGCCGCACCCCACGCTTGACCCTGGAGATATTAACGGTTTTCTTGCACTCCAATACTTAGCCAAAGTACTCAAACAAGCTCCTTTCTGATACATAGTGCCTAAGGCGCGTATGCATTAGCATCCCTGCGGCAAGGGAGCGGCGTCCCCATCGATGAAAAAGCCGCAGCGGCGTTTGCCCGGGATCCATTCATCATGAAAAACTCCGTTTCCCTCACCCCAGAGATATCAATGCATTGGCCCTAAATCTCATCTGTCTGTCATGTTTCAAGCAGATGATAATCCGGATTACGCGCCCAAAGTAAATGTTCCTGAAGTTGTTCTGAACTTACTAATTAATTCAACTGTACTTCTTTGCCTTTCTTTGCTCAAAAACTATTCGTCTAAAGTTTAGGCCCTAGTTCAAGCTACTAACCCACACTTGCTCAAGCACGACTGTAACTCCTCTAATATATTTTCTTCATTGATACTGTCACCCGTCTTCAATAATGGCAATGACAATCGAACATCGCTAATTTTGGCGACTACACTTTACATAGAATTTGATCGCTAACAAATTACCACCAGGGTCAAGCGTGGGGTGGCACGCCACACCTGGGGGGGGGGTCATATTGAGGAGTCAAAAGGGGAGGGTGTTGTAGTTGGGTAACCTGATAATAGTGATAACATGATATTCGTATCATATCCATAATTAGCATGTCAATTAACCCCTGTAGACAAAGTTTGAGCGAATTCTGAAGATTCAAGATACTAGGCTACCTAAGTGAAATGGTCATATTCCAACATGGTTAACTTTGTTTCAAAGGTGAATTAGCTATCCGTTTTTGCACTCAAGACAAAGCACTACTCCTTCTTTGTCCATCTCAGAAATCCCGCTTCAAAAGACCTCCAAACTGTAGAATTAGAAGCCAACTAAAATCTCATTTTTCCCATTTTTCGCTTTTGATGGCTGTGCTTTCACCAAATATTACTTAGCGAACAGTATATCGATAGCCTAAACCTTGTAGATTCCATAGGAATGTTTTAAGCCTGATTCGTCTTCTTAGTTCTGAGTAATATTTGGTGAAAGGACAGCCATTAAAAGCAAAAATGGGAAAAATGAGATTTTGGTTGGCTTCTAATTCCACGGTTTGGAAGTCTTTTGAAGCGGAATTTCTGAGATGGACAAAGAAGGATTAGTGATTTGTCCTAAGTGCAAAAACGGATAGCTAATTCACCTTTGAAACAGAGTTAATCATGTTGGAAAATGACCATTTCACTCAGGTAGCCTAGTATCTTGGATCTTTAGAATGAACTCAAACTTTGTCTACAGGGATTAATTGACATGCTCATTATGGATATGTTGCCCACTATGTTTGACAGGGCCTTCAGGTAATGCTATCTTAGGTATATAATTCAGGGGGGGGGTCTTATTAAGACAGCAATCAGGGGAGGGAGGAGGGGTGTAACCAGCGATCGTGTGCCACACCCCTTGCTTGACCCTAATTACCACGCTTCCAGTTTGTACTCATTAAACGTGCAGTCGCTATTGTTAGCGACCCCACTTTGGATGCCTGTCGATTGGACATGTGGTAACTTGCTAACGATCGATGCGTATGAGAGACACAATTGCCGATGATCTAGGGAGCGACTGCTTGCAGTCTGTGCCTCTCTCGCAAACATGCTCTCTAATCATTTTCTAGCCTTAATTAGGTCAGGGCCCGCCTCAGTCGCCGATCTGGTCGGAGCAAAGGATAAATTTTCTATCTAGAGAATTGGTTTTTGCAGGATGTGATTATGCGAAAGATAGCACACATTAATAGGAGACAATCGAGCATTCCGACAGCTATCAAAGCATTCAAGTAAACCCATCGATCAAAAAAACATCTATCGTGTAGCGCGATGAGATAATCCACAGATATGCTGGCTATGAAAGGAATGCTCTCATCATTTAGCTACGGGATCGTTCATCTTCGCAAGCATGATATTACAAAAGCGAAATAAAACAAAAAGATTATGAGAACGTGAGCCTGATGACGCGAGATCGGTGAAAAATTGACGTTGATCTTTATTCTTGTGAACCACACTGCAGAGTTTTTACGGCATGAATAAGGAGCTTGAATTAGCTAACATTCTCTATACTGTCAGTCATTCATCGCATTAGATTGACTCCAACCTTGTGATATCTTTCGCCACTCACGACAGCTTCGAAATCGCGAGTGTAGAACCATGATGGCAAAAAAGTCACGGCTTGTTGTGAGAACAATTTTCAGTTGGGATCATTTTTTGATTACTAGCTTCAAAATATGGCAGCATCCAAACTAGAGGAAGGCGTCGATCCGAAGAAGGAACGGTGAGTAAGTCAAAATGTTTCCAATCAAACCGCGAATTAGCGCCAGTACGTGCCCACATAAATTTCATGGAGTTAGAAGTTGAGGTAATCTTTTTAGATAGTTGCGTATCATTCAAAACAAAGTCTGCTGAAATAGTCTATGGGCGAAGTTATAAGTAGCTTTGTTGCAAGGAGCGTACATCGAAGTACGAACTCTGATATGTGATTGCAGCTTGAGCTCACTTTCTAAAAACTTAAAATCCATGAGAGCATGAATTTTGACCGGATGTAAACCGAGTGGCACGAGCGCAATGCCGCCAAAGATTTCCCACACAGGAGCAGCACAGCGCACGACACATCTTGCGACGGCCTTTGCCTAAACGAAGCAGAGGAGGAGGAAAGACCCGCAATTCGTAGGGGTTAGCGAGGATTTCGCACTGCTTGCTTTGTTCGCATTTTTTCGTCGCCTTTTGCGCGCCCCCATTTAAGCACGAAATTGGTGAGAAAGCATGATCAAGCTTGTTGAACAACATGTGCAACAGCGCTTTCGGAATGGATAACGTCTTCGTTCAGCAAATTTCTTCAAGCACATAAACTTAATCTGCATCTCAGGTTACAGAAACGTAGTATCAAATCCCTTTCCCTGTTTGTCCGACCCCTATTAGCATCGAATGATAGGAAAAAAGAGGATCTCAATTTGTGCAAGTTATTGCATTGTTCTTTCTTACTCGAACGGAGAGATGATACTTGTAACTGTGGCTTTTCGATATGTGACATATGACATAACATTCGCCTTGGAATGCAGATCTCAAAACCATACTCCTAATCTGAGGAAAGATATTTTGAAGGAACCGTATTTTCCCCCATCTGACGTGTTTGCACAAGAGTACGAGTAATTTTGATAGGTGGTAAAGGTCTCGAGTGGTCTAGTGGTTAGCGCTGTTGATTAGCCCTGCCCGTTTGATCCCGGTCGTTGCCTCTTTTGCGATCGCTTTTACACGTTTCGCAACGAAGATAGTTTCGAGACCAGCCGCTGATCATCAGCGTTTCAAGGCAAGCACTTTGATGTATAACATGCTCCAAAAGGCCACGGGCATCAGTTATCCTTTCCTTGTAAGCAATGCGCTAGCTGCGGCTTGAATAAAAATAATGAAAGCGGCTGTTCAAGAAGCTTGTGAAGGTCTAAGTACTACATTACAGAATCAAATTTGCCTCTCTCTAAAAATATCTCAAAAGTAAGCATCCATAATGAAACTAATCATACGATCAAACCACGTGAGCACTAAACAAATTCCTGCTTCATTCAGTTTGATAAAGTGTATCAGAGCGGAAAAAAAGAAAATAGTAAAATGTGAAGAAAAGAGAGCAAGTAGATCTAAGACCTGATTGGTGCTTTGTCTTTTACTTATCTTATGGTATGCATAGTCTTAGTGAGCGCGCACCTCTTGTTGTACTTATTTATGATTTTGTTTTCGCCCATTTACCGGTTATTTGCAATGATCTGATTTCGTATTTCATATTTTCCATGACTTCTCTATCTTTTCTGGTTTGCGCACATACTCGCAACATGGTGGAACCAAAGGATCGGCTCCTTGCAATTCTTCTCGGGGCGTCCAGTTTTTCAGACATTCGCCGGGTGTAGGCGGGCCCGACCGCGTTGCTGACTTTTCGCTCCGCTCTCAGATCTTTAGAAAATGCTCAGCGAGTTCCTAGAAACCGCTTGTTATTTTTTTTTTCGCTATAATTTATTGCGGATTATCCCTGATTGCTTGACGAAACAAGGAATCAACAAGCGGCGTCACAAAAGCCCATGACCGCTTTTTCAAAAAACCAGCGAGCAAAGCGCGAAAAACAGCCGTCTATTTTTCCAATGCCCGCCCTCCCCGGAGATTATTTGGGTAGGCTCAAATCAGTTTTCGTCATCGCGTTACTTGGAATTCGGTGGATCAAGTCAAGAAGCCAAGCCGAAAAGACGCAGACGCTCGGTGGAGGATCGTCGCTTCAATAAAGGATATAGCCTGGGTAGAGCAGGAGTGTGCCACGCAACTGCCGGAGACACCTCCTACGTCCTGTCATAATACCTCCCCCCGCACTATACAATACCGCTCACAGAATGTGCAAAATTTCCGTGAATGTCGCGAAATTCCGAAAATTCCGCGAAATTCCAGAAATTTCGCGGAATTTTCGGAATTTTGCGACATTCGCGAAAATTTTGCACATTTCGTGAGCGGTATTGTACAGTAACATCATAAGTTGGTGGGGCTTACAGTTTACAGCTAAAAAGCGAAAAATAAATATTTTGGAGGCTAGTAAACCACCAAATCCTCAAAAATTGATACAATCGATATTCTGAAGGTTTCGAAATCCCGAAAATCGACAAAATCGATATTTTGAGGGTTGTGAAATCTCGCAAATTAACAAAAATCGATAAAATCAATATTCTGAAGGCTTCGAAATCCCGAAAATTGACAAAAATCGATATCCTTAAAAATCGACAAAATTGATAAAATCGATATTTTGAAGGTTGCGAAACTTCGAAAATCGGTAAAATTAGCGAAAAATTCGAAAACTCCATAATAAGCTCATTTCCAGTGCTTTTATACAGCTGAAACTCCTCCAAGCAAGCTTTGCCCACTTTATACCCCACATCACGATTGAAATTGAAGAAAATATAAAAAATTAAGAAAAAATAAGAAAAAATAAGCGAAAATCGCGTTTTTCTAGCCCTATTTACCCCCTTTCTAGCCGTTTTCAGCCCCCTAACCAGGTCCAGATGGCCGCGGATAACTATCACACGCGCTGCAGAAATAAAGAGAGGGGGAAAATGAGGGGGGAGAAAAGTGAGAAATTGCGAGAGCCTGAACTAAAAAAGTCCGGGAAGGCTCATAGATGGGCTCCCACAGACGGAGCCCCTGCATTTTTTCCGAATTATATGTGGTGTCCCCCTCGAATACAAACTGAAGAATGGCTATCCCAGCCCGTCACCCCTACTCTCCACGGAGATAAAATTCAAAATATGCATCATCGCCGTTATATAGCGCCTCCTACACTGGAGCTATGGGCACGAGCTTCCCCTAGGAAAATAGAGCTAGCAAAACTACATGTCAATGACCACATGAAATTACTCCAGCCCTGCAACTTCCAGAGATATAAGGCCGCGAACTCGCCCTTATTGACAGATTCTCCAAGTTCGGCTGTCAATTAAGCACTTTTACTGAAAATTTGTTATTCTACGACTTTCTCTCTAAAAATTATAATATATATCCAGAGATCTGTCCAACAAAACAAACTCCAGCCCCATATCTGTAATATTCGCAGAGTTATTACCCCCATATTACAGTTATTTTACGACCTGAGCATGCATGTTGGGGGGCCCCCAACATGCATGCTCAGGTCGTAAAATCGGCTCCCCCAAAGTTGCCCCGTAATTTCCCCAAAAATCATGTTAGACACCTTTCTCACACCTATACACCCCATATTTTTTCAGCTATTTAGAAGCAATACACACTGATATAGCGTGCTCGCTCCTCACTCTTGGCCTCGGCGTAGGATTGGGTCAAAATATTGAGGTTCTCGGATTGACCGGAAACTTCACTCATAGTGGTTTTTAGTCCCGATCTTCACGAAAATCCTAGTTATTTTGCATTAGAGAGTCTTACAGTAAAGCTAAAGTGAGATAGAAGTAGCTGAACCAATCAAGATCGCTACGCCTGCACTTTTCGCCTATCTATTGCGGAAATTGTCTGCAAATTCTTGTGAGTTCAAGACTTTGTGAACAGTTCTACCGGACCATATTTAGCACAGAACTTTTCCTGCATTGTTCGTCAAATTAGTTACAAAATCGCCTTCTCATGTAGTGCCTCTCAAATTCAAAAGTGTGTAATTTGGCAGATATTCTATCCTACAATGTGCCACCAGCAGCAAAACAATGAAAATGTTGTTAGCACGTCGAGTACAAATACCGCTCACAGAATGTGCAAAATTTCCGTGAATGTCGCAAAATTCCGGAAAGTTCGCGAAGTTTTGCGAAATTCCAGAAATTTCGCGGAATTTTCGGAATTTTGCGACATTCACGGAAATTTTGCTCATTTCGTGAGCAGTATTGTAGTTTGCCAACCGTAGGCATGACATAAAGGCTCCATCAAACATAAGTGAAATATTCGTGATCTAATATATAAAGAATCGTAAGCGCGATTCAAAAATCTTTCGATAGCGGGAAACCGAGCGGGTCCCAAAACGAGCGCGCCTTCCAGCATCTTTGAAATTACTAGTCCACTAATTATTATGTCAAAATAACACTGTGGACTATTTTTTGGCGAGTTCTGAAGGATCCCGACATTGGACCATCCGAATGAAGGGGGCCTTTTCAAGCATGGTTAACTAGATCTCAAAAGTAAACTAGCTACTTTTTTGTACTCAGTACAAAGCACTACTCCATACTTGCCCACACTATGAATCCTGATTCAAATAACCATCTAACTGTGGAAAATTAGGAACCAGCCAATATCTCATTTGGCCCATTCTCAGCTCGCAGTGTTGTGCTTCCAGCAACTATTGCTCAAAAGAAACAAGACGAATTTGCCTTTAATCATTTCTGCAGAGACTACGAGATTTTTTCTATCGAACGGTGTCCCTTTTGTTCACTAAAAATTCTCTCTGGAAGTAACTTAGTGAGCACAACTTCAGAAAAGCTGTGACTGCCACACGTTTTTGAGCGTTGTGCCACACCCCATTGACTTACTTTCGAAGCATATAAATACCTATAATTTTTTTCGTAGTTGCCACAGCTGAACCTCCTCTAACAGCAGAAATTTCGTTCAAAATTGTTTCTCTTAGGAAAAGATTTTTCCTTACGTATGCAAGTGGAGAAAACTAGATATTGGGTTACGGTTACATGCTAAGTCTAAGCTGCTAAGCTCCATCTTCGCTTCCAATGTGGTTGCGGCATTTTCGGACATATTGCCCACGTCGCAATGCCTGGCTATGACGATTGAAGAACGTGGAAGGTAAGTTCAAGTTAGCCAACGTGGTTTCTTATCCCGGCAGCAATGTTGGGGCGACGATAGGAACGGGAGTTAGGGTAGAAAAACTCGGAATTCTCCACCTCGTATGGAATGACGCTTGCCATGGACAGACATCGTTGTCGTTACTACGCTGAGAGACTTGTCTGCGAAGGGTATACTAGAACATCCCACAGTCTTCCCGTGTGCATTACAGTGCAATTCAAGCGAAGTTGTCACAGACGCCATATTAATGATTGAACAGATGGAGCCTCCAGCTCCGGCTGTGTAAATTCACTCGCCACCTTACGAACCCTAGAGGATCTTCGAAGCCCTGGTGAGGTACCAATATTCTGACGTGTTGGACGTCGTACCCTACACCCATCTCGCGGTCTGCTTAAAGGCAGCGTACACCCAGAATTTCGCCTTCGATGTTTTTGTCATTCTGGGGCCTTTCCGTGCCCCTGATTGCAGATATGACATCAAAATCCTCCAAAGGTCCCAAAAAACCCCGATTTCCGGGGACCCTCTCTTCAGAAAGCGGACGAGTTTCGAACTGCTCGTCCCATCGGCATGTCAGCAGCTGCCACAGCATGACAGCCTGCAGCTGCAACTGCAACTGCTGCGTATGCTGGTGATTTGTCGTCCGAAGGAGGCGGACTGCAGAAAGCAACTACACTGTTGCAACTGCAAGCAACTGCAAATGGCTGACGTGGACTTCGTCCGAAGGAGACGGAGTGAGAGAAAAATCGAGCGGGTTTTCTTCGCTCAGAAGCAACATTGGGAGACCGGGCCAACGCAGTTGGTCTTCTTCTGGGCCCTAGATATACACGGTATAGAGAAGTGGGTAACTTAGATTTTGGGTGTACGCTGCCTTTAACACCACACCCCGGCGCAATTCTAGTTCGTTTGACTGATAAACAAATGCCGCTTTTCCTTGTGAAGATGCGCATTTCCTCACAGACCTCCTCCGCTCTCCTGAGGTTGACGTTGCATTAACACAGCTGAGGGAACAGCAGGCTGGCGAAAAAGCGCGTGCAGGGAAATTTCGTAAAAAAGAGAAAATGTCTAATTTGTGAGTCATAGAAGACCCTCAAAGAGGAATCGCTACATACAGCCAATCATGTTCCATCCCTCTAAAATACCCACCAGCAGCTGATATTCCAGTCCGTGAAGGATCCTGCATCGTCGTCCCAGTTCGCCGCGCCGCTTTGAGAGGCCACCAGTTGTGAAGACGATTATCCCACTAGTTCGCAAAGCCAACTCCGGAAGCAGATCGTCATGTTGCCGTGATGAGGCCTAACCGCCTTGGAAACGAGCACTCAACAGTCGTCTTCGAGTACATTCAGGAGGAGGACATCATACCGCTTCCAGTTCGGGCCATGGTATTGTCGTCGCGCAGTCAGCCTCACTTTGCCACTCCCCTCTCGCTCACACATTCGAGTGCGCAGGGGAAATCGTCTTCACCTGGTCGCCAAGAGTCGAAGGCATGGCCCTACCCAGCGACAATTTCTCCAGAGTCGGGAAGACTCTCGATGGCAGCAGGGCATGTGAAGGACAGGGGGCAAGATGTTCTGAAATCTTGTTTGGTGCTTTGTCTTTTACTTATTTTCCGGTGCTGTAGTCGGTCCTCCTTTAGTGCCTTACCTCTTGTTGTACTTGGCTGTGTTCTTGTTTTCCGTATTTCACACATGATTTCTCTATGGTTCTTCCTTGTTTTGTACACAATTGACATCGTGCGAAACCAAACGGTCTGCTGCCTGCACATTTTCTCGGCCCACTATAAGGGCGTCCAGCTTGGCTCATATCAGTTTTCGTCATCATGTCACGTGGAGCGCGGTCGGATCGACTTGAGGAGCCAAGCCCAAAAGGCGCGGACGCTTGGTCGCCTAAAGGATCGTCTCTTCAATGAAAAAAAGTCGAACGCCTGAACGCTCCCTGTATAGTCTAACCTAGGCCAACTACTGCGTGACAAAAAGTGTGCCTTGCATCTTGAAAGACTTAAATCTGGTGTGAATATTGCATCCGTGCGATTGCAGTTTATAGAATGCAAGCCAATCAACTATAGATGTAAAAAGCAGGTATTCAGCATAAACAAACTAGAAGTTGAAGCTCTTACGAATATGTTGTTTCTGCGCAAAAACACGCAAATGTTTTCACCTTATCAACGATTTGAAAAAAAGTCTACGGTAATCTTAAAATTTTTATTCGAACTTTTGTCATCTTTAACAAAACTACTTTAGGCTAGTCGAGAGTTCTGCGAGGCACATTTGGTGGGTACTATCGACGAAGGACCGCCGTCTGCAACGGTGTCGTGGAGGATCATGGGAATGAGAATGAAGTACGATGCTGTAAAGTGGTTTCAAACTGATTTTACTAGTGATTGTCAAAGACGTTATCATAGAATCGCATCGTTCAAGCTGATTTTTTGAAAAGACGCCTACAAAGTGTTATTTTACCCTCCAAATCGAAGCACTAGCTGATGATCTCCTATAAGGGCCATTATTTTGCTAGTAATCAACTTTGCCGGTCAATCCCTATAATCAATTTCAGCGCCCAACTCGTTGCAAAAGCTCTATGAAGTTGTTAGGAGCAACTAATAAACACTAAACGTTTGTTATTTTCGTAAACTGCATTCTGCTGACTCTTGTTTGCAAACTTCCATATCCCTCCGAGCCAGGAAATAAAACTGGTAGAAGTGTTGACGATTTTAGTGGTCAAAAATTTTAGTAATTGAAATGTCAACTTACCCCCCCCCCCCATCTCGCCCCTTCTCTCCCCCTCATACCAGCTTCGCGAATTGAAATTTGAATAAATTCGATCAAGGGCTAGTTTCAGACGAAGGCGGCTTCCCATATAAGCAAAGTGTACGCGGGCGACAAGGTAATGATGAGAGATGTTCGAACACTGCGTTTGCACACGATTCGCAAAACAAAACTACCGCCTTTGACAAAGAACGGCCTTTGAACCTCGCACCTTTACTCCTTTAATGAAAAAAAGGGTAAACGGCCCTTTTGAACCGCTCGCTATCACGGCGCGTTTCTGATTGGTCAACATGTCCATTACCATTGATAGTGCTATGAGTAGGATGGAACATCCTTTTTCTACATCTTTCGTGTCCAACACGATGATAGGGTTTAGCAGAGGTATATTACATGCTTCAAACTAAGAGCTTTCCTCGTTGAATGTAAACGAGACTTGTTAGCTTCGTCAGCGGCGCCGCACGCGGTGAAATGGGCATCGCGTGCGAAGGGTTCAAAAGGGCCTACACCCAAAAAAAGCTATCTCGTCGCCTCTGAGTCTGTAAATTTTGGTCCACTTGTTTGAGAGCGGAGTTTATTGGAATTCTAGCTTTTTACATAAGATTATCAATTATTAAAAAAATCCATATGTACTCTTATTTTGGAACCTGGGCATTTTCTTTCAATTTTAGATACGATTACCTTTTGAGCCGCACAGATTTTCATAATGACACACTTTATTTGCCTTACGTTTTGGTAATATGCCGTCGTCGAAGGCCTAAAAGTAGCCAGTCACTATGACCCGCTTTCTCTCCGACAAACTTCCTCTTCTACTTGCTTATTTGATTCATCTTTTGTGGAAGCAGAAAGGTTGGAAGATGAGGCTCACTCAGTGCCACTAATGTAGCGGTGTGACTGTTGGGAACTTGCTCGATTGACTGCGAGTCGAGAATGAGCAGCGTCTCTACTACTGCAGACAATCCTTAGATTACAGAAAGGCAGATACGGCATCAGATCAGTAATGGAAATTTTCATCTTTGCTCTTAAACTTTGTGTCGCGAGTAAGGATGAAGGATGCCCTTAGCGCTTATTTGAGGCTCGTAAGCTATAATTTCGCACTTTATGTCATAATGCATGCCGTTAAGCTCTTCTTTCGTGCTTTCCTTTTCTCATTAGACTTTGCCGTTTCTTGCTAGCTGAGTGCTCGCTTACACGTACACCCAGCGAGCGACTAGTTTCAACGATATAGATGGCAGAGAATTCCAGACATTGATAAACTACACCAGACTTCTCACAGTCTCCGGAATTCCCATGGGGGTATACTACACAGTCTGAGATACGAATCGTTTCATGATGTCTGTTGCGGATTAGCTGTTCTTTGATATCATCACGCGAAATATCGACTAGAGAGTCGACATCATCGATATTGCTACATCAACGCAGTCGAGAAGGACGAATGTTTCCGAATACTTAACGAACAGTCGCAGTACACCAGCCTAACAAGAGAAGAACTAAGGAACGGTTGGCTGGCATTTTTGTACCGCAATTAATGCTGGTGAACGGCGCATTGAGCATTAAGTGGTATCGAAAGGAGAGTAGTAAAAATATCATTTTGTACGCGCAGTCAACATCCAGCCCGCTGTTGAAAGTGCCGTCAATCGAAATAAAACGGCAAGTAATGGCAAAACGGTCATTATAAAAACCTGTACGGCATAAAAACTATCATTCAAGGAATTACTAAAACATTTTTTAATCAAATTGCGAATTCTTTTTATCCAACGCGTTGACCTGACATATAAACAGCACCGGTGACACCGTTCTCATTGTAAATTCTGTTTCTATTGCTCATTTCCTCTTCTTGATTTTCCGATATGATATATGTTCAAGGCGTTCGGAGGGTGTCACTACAGATTACGATGTTCACAGAATGTATTCGGATTGTATGATTGAAGGTGATCGCATTCGTGAGGTTCGTTACTCAGTCGATAGCACTTTTTAAAAGAAATTGTTTCAGAGACTTCCTATGGAGCGAAGGGAAGGAATTTTGCGTTTGTGTCGTTACGACTCGGAAAGTGATTTCAAAGTAATACATTTTTATTTTTTTGCAGTCTTGTATGCTTCAGTATTCAGATTTTCAAGCATGAATACTACATTATGAAGATGCTTGCAAAGACCTACACCACACGCGCACATCGAGTCCATTTTCCTGCAATTATTGGCGAAGGTTCTCTAGCAGAGCTACGATATTTGAACGTAAGCTTCCACAGTAACATATTGGATGTCTTTCCAAAATAAATCACTTTGACAAAAATGTAACTGCAGAATCTCACTTTTATGAATTAAATAAATGGAAAAACTTGTGCCACTTTCTCTTTGTTCTAATCGTATCTTCTTTGAGTGGCGAAACTCGGAGCAAAAATCTCTCATAACTTCCTCCAAATATTCAGCGGAAACAGACGGCAGAAAATCGATCAGCATTGCAAGACGAGTATACTTTTATACATTTTACCTTATTGTTAGATGGCCACGATCACTCACACACTTCTCTTGCAAAAGATTTTTTTTATTTCTGAGGACCAAACTTGGCACGCATACACATCGGGGCGGGGCGTGTGTCGTAGGCTACACTCCGTCATTGATCGACATCGGTTCCATCAATTTTTCGCAAGCTTTCACGTACGAGGCTGAGAGTTGGCACAAGGGGGTGAGTGGGCATGTTGTACAAAAGTATCATGACAGGGCCGGGTTGGGTAGAGGACTATATGTCGCCGAAAGTGGAAGGGTCCCACGCGGACAATGCAGCAGATACTCAGCTTGTAGTGGTTTGTGTGTTTGTTGCAGATGTTCGGCGGGACCTTCCACTTTCGGCGGCATATCGTCTTCTACTCCCTGCTCTACCTAAAAGGAGAATATAATCCTTTCTTTTTCATACAAAAATCGGAAAATGAAGACATGCAAAGAGTTACTTAATTTCGTATTCAGGTAAGCGACAGCGACGGCAAACATCACGATATGGTTGAAACTCCTAAAGTACCACGTCCTTACTTTATCATGGAATATATTGAACCTTCGATAGAGACGCTCTTTAAATCGAACAAGAACACATTCTTGCCCATACATACATCAGTCTATGTTACTATCGGATGCATTAAAGTATGTTTTTCTTTCATTTGCTAGCTGGCATACCCTGTTTTACGTGGGAATGAGTAAGCCGGACCGCCAAGGTACACACTCTTGAAGGAAATAACAGGACTTGCCCCTCCGCCGGCTTGCGCTTTACCTTCATCTCCAACTACCTCGATTTTCCTTCCTCTTCTGCACAGAATGCAAGCTACGAAAGCATTTTAAGGAATAGAGTGGCTCTCTAAGCCACTCCCATAAAAAGTCACCACATACTGCTAGTCATCGAATAAAAATGAGGTTTACCGTCCCAGTTCCCATGACTGTGCTGAAGTGACGACTTGATAATGACTGCAGACTTTCAATTTCGTAAAGATCGGCGAACAAATCAATAAATTGATAGGGACCTAGTGAATTCTCGAAAGAAATAGTCTAAAACCGTCTACGAGGTCAAAAACATCTGTTGCAAAGTCTAGCTCAATCGACTCAGCCGAGGGCGTTTCTATAACGCGCATACCCTCTAAACGGACGATGAGTTTTATATAAATAAAGGTTTATGAGTCCATATGTCTCAATTCTGGGCCATCATTCATATACTATACCCGCTCATTTTTTTGTGACAAAATCGTTTTTGCAACTTGATTCTGGTGACATTCACTTAAGAGTTTAGGAAGCATTTTTGGTAAAAATTAGGAGAGGTATGTAGGTTTTGCAAATTGTGACATGAATGGTGATTTGACCAAAGCAGTTTTCAATCTGTTGTGTTTAAGGCGCTAAGACTACTGCACTTAAAAGGATTTGCACATCGAAATGTACAGCCAGCGTATTTCTCACTTCGTCTACCATGTGGAGGACTTCTTAGCAGGTATTCATTTACCTTCGTCACAGTGGCGTACCCAGGGGGGGGGGGCGCCCCCCCCCCCCGAGAACGGGTCGCGAAATTTTTGAAAGTTACTTACATGAGTTATAAAAATGTGCAAATGACTTGTTTATTTTTGTAAACAATTAAGATAATTTTTAAAATTTTTAAAAATTCAAATTAGCCTTATAAAAAAAATTTTTCGGGGTTTTTTGGGTTTTCCCCCTTTTCCACATTTTAGGGGTTGGGGGCCCGCAAAATTGTTGAGAAGCCCCCCTAAAAATTTTTCGGAGTGCGTGGCTAACGCCACGCACCTTCATTTGAAAGATTTTTTTGCCGCGCCCTTCCCGAGCCGAAATCCTGGGTACGCCACTGCTTCGTCACTATATCAATCCAAAAACCTTCTAGCAAATAAAGCAACTTTTCAACCCCATTTGTACAACATGTTTGTTAACCGTTGTGCACGCGACAAATGATTTCATTAAAAAAATTTTCCACATCAACGAAGAAACTGGCAGACCACTAATACGAAGAGAATTCCGCATTCAAAAAAATTGCAGTAGAAATTCCCGACTATATGTAGCCTCCTTATGATGAGTTTCTGATAGTTTGTAGTTACTCTATGGAGCTGAGAAAGTTACGTGAAGTTTTGATCGAGATTACTTCTCTACAAAGGCATAGAAGTTTCCTTATTTCAATACGCATAATGTTTTTGAAATCGGGGAGGATATTTTCGCAGTTTTTGGAGTCATTTTTGGAGCCGTGTGCCTTCCAATTTAACACGTTGAGACGAGCCATTTTTTTTTTGAGGTCTGTCCCTGTGGACGAGACGTTTCTGTGCATCCCTACGCCTGGCCGCATGTATGTATGTATCCATGCACGAAATATACATTTTGCAAGCCCCGACCCCATGTGGCAGGCTCCGCCCACTTGGCCGAAAATGACGGAAACTGCCCGAATGTTAAGAATTCATGCGAATTCCGCATTTTTGAAAAGTGGGCGGAGCTTGCCAGACGGTGGGCGGAGCCTGGATAAAAGTTGCCTGAGGCCTTTGCGTTTATCTGCGGTCTCGTCCATGTTTTTATGAACAAAAGGGGTCCTTGTGAGGAGCACAGAAATGGGCGGAGTTTCCCAAAAGGGGCGGGGCTAACATATGAAGTACATCTGAGCCTATGTTGATCATATAAACGAAAACTGAGAGGATTGAGCCGATAGTATTAAAATTAAGGCCGCCGCGCACCATTGCGCGGCGTCGTCCACGGGGACAGACTGCCTGCCTCGCACTACTGCGCGGCACTGTCGTCAACGTGTTAATATAATCGTAGATTAACTCCATGACACCCAGCAATAATCAAAACAAATTTTATTTGCAATGAAAAATTTTGGGTGGAGTGGGGGGGGGGCAGTGCATGCTAGAGGCTTTTAGTTGAGCTGTATGAGTAGATTTCAATGAGAAGGCAATTATAGCGCTGTAAAAGACAAGGAAGGATCATTGCTATTTGTTCTGTAATCGGGGTGATCTAGTGGTATAGCGGTTTCAACCGGATCGATGGACTACACGGATCGAACGACTAATTTTCTCAAAAAAGCCAACGAAGAAAAACAAAAACTTTTAACTTCAACAAGGCTCAACAACGAAACAACGGGCCTTAATCCGATTTAATCCTCAGGCTACTGGATGATTTCTATCTGAGGGGAGGTCCGCCTCTCTTCGACGGCTTTTTAACTCCTGCTAGCGCTCTCTCAGCGCACTCCGAGAGTCCCCCTGACTCCCGGTAATTTTACCGTGCCAAAGGGGTCAAATCGGGCCCTTTTTCGGCCAATAAAATCTCGATCTACTGGTTCTGACAGTTCTTATGACACAGGTCTTCAAGTGAATCATTAATTTATTTTTGAAAAAATTTTGTTCTTTTATCTTTAATGTCATTTTTACAGAAAGGAAAGCGAACTCAGCGACCTCATTGCCATTACCGATTTCTCAACGTGCAGAAGGTTTCGTGCCAACTTTTCTAAGCGTAATCCGCTTATATATATTGGTAATTGGAAATATGGGTATGCCGATTTCTTTTTTCGAAAGAAAAAATATTGAGAAGTAGAAATCGGGATAAAACGTGATTGATGTTCGACAGCGCTTTCCTTCCAAAAAAAACCTCAAAATGTGCCTGTCTCAGTTTTCTGCATTATATGTACAGGAATGTCTGATTAGATTATTCAAGCCCAAACTCACAACTCAAGTCAAATTTTCTTGTGCAAACTCCAGTTTTCTCAGGAGTGCCGACACAATGTCCGGAAAAGATCCGACTGCTATCGATGATATCATTTCCTGCTTATACATGCTGGCCGAGTTTGTTTTGGGATGCATACCATGGGCTAAGGAAACGAGTAAACAGGTAGCGGGTCCTACTTGAACCACCGCACCAATAATGTAAAAATTTAGGGCATAATAGATTACAAGAGACAAGTGGAGCAGTGGGAGCGCGTTTTGGATGAAACTCATTCTACACTTTTAGTGAAGTATGGCAAGCTCTACGAATGGCTTCGCGATCAGCCTCCATTGTAAGCAATTAATATACACTCTAAATACTTCATCTATGATTTTAAAGGCAAACAATTGACTATGAAGCATTTTATGAACTATTGCTCAAGACTCCAGGAGGGATAAGTGGCGACCAGTCGCTCTTCGGTTTTTCAAAGCAAGTTTTTTCTTTAGATTTTTTCTTATTTAAATGGCTTCACTACGAGAATGAGAAAAGCAGTCCACTATTATCTTTTAATCATACATAAGGAGAAATTTCCGAAAGGGAGAGGGTGTGCCGGGTATGAAGCCTTTTCATGGGTTTATGTGCGTTCACAGATAGTTGGTACATTTTCTTGCGGCTTCTTTTTCTTGGGGCGTTAGTCCAACTCCTAGACGTAATATATGAATAGCGTACCTATCTTAAAATTGTTTGCTTGGAAGAACGAGTCCTTCTTCAGAGGATTTTCTAATGACTGCAACTACAAAACCTGTTCCTTCACAATATCTCAAAACTTTGTAGATGGGTCCGCTTTTTTGGAAGTGGAAAGTTGACTTAAAAGGGGTGGATGCTTGGTCGAAGTGGCGTTTCCATACAAAAAGTATATTGTCTTATAGAGCATGGAACGCTGAGTGCAAGCACACTTTCGTTATCTGCAAAGAGCTTTTGAGAGAGGAGTTATGGGAATTCTTTGATGCAACGCCGCTACAATAAAATCATTCAGAACCTTAGTCCGTGAGCTCAAATGGGGCCATGATTACTACCAGGACGTTTTATGGAATAAAGATCTTCTATCTAATAAACTCATGTTAGTCATTACTTCTTTCAAGCGTCAGAAAAATCTTATCACCTAATTTTACCTTAGCCAAATCATTGAATTCTGATCTAAAAAAAATCCCAAAACTTGCCTCAAAGAAGCGCTTTGCAGATACCAAAAGCAGGCTTGGAGTCAGTGTTCCATGCTCTATAAGATGGTGTACATCTCATATGGAAAGCCACTTCGACCAAGTATCCTTCCCTTGTTAGATATCAAGTGAATTTTGCAAAAATAGCAAGAAGATTGATTTTTGTGCGTATTAGTTGCGAGCTCTCAGAGAGCGGTCTCCAATGTGTATAGTGTAAATGCGATTTTGATCTGCGCCTCACCTTACAGCATTGCTCGTCCGTCTTTTCAGGCATCATTTCATGGCAGGGTCCACGATTCCCAACTTCTCAAATTTGTTTGAAATAGGTTTCTTTGGGAGCTTTCGCTGATGAACAGCGCAGTTCAGTGAATTTGTGGCTCATGATATGATGCTATATGATAGCGGGACCCATACCTAAGCGATCGTCCAAGATCGCTTCTGAAGGTAACAAGTGCAAAGTTGAATTTTAATGTATCCAGAGTCAATACAAATTCGCTATGTGTCATGATAATCAGATTTCCAACACTACATTTACTTTGGAGCCCAATTTTGGACTTGTCATCTTCGGACATCGACGTTGATGAACGGAGCTAGCGTGGCTTCTTTCATCTTCTGAAGCGGTTTTCTTGGAAATTTATTTTTTTCAGCAAGACTTGGGCGATCGCTTAGTTGAGGGCTATTTTATTACGTAACATTAAAATCTCATTACCCCCAGGTTGAGTGAACGAAGCCTTTGAGCATTTGACGGGCTTTACTCAAAGGCAGCATCCCCTCATAATGACGAGTTTCGGGATTTCACAGAGTTCCAGTGGTAGACCCTTCTAGTCTACCAGTGAACTCTGGAGCGAAAAAGCGCTTCTGGAAAGCCCAAAATCTTCCAGACGCCGCCCATTTCCAGGCCACGCCCTCTTCTTACATGTAATTTGGAGCGAATGCGGACACGGAAGGCTTAGAAGAAAGCACATTTTTGCCATTTTCAAGCGCCGAAAAGCTCAGATATGGCCTCAGCATGGCGAAAAGGCTCCGAAAGGAGAAAAACTAGGGAGGAGCGAGATTTTGCCCGGACGCTGCCTTTAAAACGGACTCACTCATAAGCTTTCTTTTCAAAAATGACACGGGCGCATATTGCAGTACTGGACAGTTTAAGTCACGATCAGGACGGCCGATCTTCTGCATAGGATCCTGTCCGAAAAGCGAATATTTTTGTAAAGTTGAAATAATTTTTTGTAACTGCAAAAATTCATATGTTAGCACACAAACATCTGCAACATCTATAAGGAACTCTAACAAAATTTGAATGTCAAATACAAATCTCATCGTCAGACATTATTTTTCCAGCCCTCTCCTTGATGTTTATGAGCATGGATTTGCTGCAAAAGGAAGAGAAGGAAAAAGAAGAGGAAAAGTCGAAAGCAGTTCAACCTTATTATCGAAAGATACGTCGAAAGAAAAACTCAAAGCCAGCAGCGTGACTACACAACGTGCAACTGAGTCTAGATCCCGTGAGAAAACTCCTGCACAGGAAAAAGGAGACTCAAAGGAAAAGGAAAGCTCCTCAGATGAAAAGGCGTTAGATAAGAAACCACGATCTGAACAGAAATCCGAATCGAAAACAAAGGAAGCCGCGGGCACTCCAAGAGCGAAAGCGGGGAAGAAGAACAAAAAGAAGAAGAAGAAAACTGAAAGCTCTCAAGCTAGTAGCGTGGCGAACTCGTAATTTTCTAGAAGTGAGCGTGCAACAAATTTTATAACATACATTTCAGAACCAAATAACATTGTTGTAGCTCAATAATAAACAGTTTTTTTTACCCAAGTGTATTTGCATATTTTGAGGTTCTGGAACCTAACTATCAAGAGCTATCATACAGTTCGCTGCTCTCGTTAATCAAGATACTTGGTGTGTGAAAGAGTCAAACATATGGCTTTAAAATACGTTCAAAACTGGCTAGGAGGGAAAACAAAGGATTTTGATCTAGACTCCACCCTTTCTAAGCTCATAAAGTGCTTGGTAATAAAACGAATTCTCCTTTAAGAATTCCATATTTCAATAAAATCAATAATTGATTTTCTTAGCTTTCGTTAAGCATCTTCAAAAATAAAGTTCAAATTATAAAATATTCTTAACTTTCGTTAAGCATTCTCAAAAATAAAATTCAAATCATAAAATAAATAGCTGCAAATCTTCTGCAAGCTAAACGAACCGTGATTTTTGAAAGATATGTCAATATAAATGATTTAAAGCTTACCTTCTTTCCTCAGTGTTTCTGCCCATACATAAAACGTTTTCTTTATCTCTCCGGTCTTTCGGACCCCCTCATAGGGTGAGAAGGTTCCAAATCAATTCTGATCAAAAACTCTAACCGATAATCAAATGACACAAAAAACTTATTTATGATTGCTCCACTTGAGCCGACAACGTAAAAAGGGCAATTAGCAATAAACATCCCACATTTTAGCAAAAGAAAACATTGCAGCTTCTACTATGTTGTCCTCGTACTGTATATGTTATTAATATAACCCACCATTATAATTTTTTATTTGCAATAATAGGTGTTTGCGTCAGTACATCAAACCGGGAGCATAGAAATTATGTGTTCTACAAACGCTTAAAAACTGAAAAACAATGTTTTCCATAATTCTTCTTTACATTATGATAATAGTTCACATAAAATAAATGCTAGATAAGTGAACTGTCAAAAAGAATATCACAGAATAACTGAAACGAGCAAAAATGCAAGTGGGTAAAAAGTGAGTAGAAGGTCTTGGAAGCACGCGCTGAGCATAAGAGATCTGTAAAAGGAGAGAAGACGATGAAGAGGTCAGACGTTTGATTGGATAGCAGCCTAAAATATTTTCTTCAATACTCTCACTCTTTATAAATTTGTATAACATACCGGGTATCTCCTCCTAAAGGGTTCCTGAGTTTCCGAAAGAGACGAAGATTTATGTCCATCGTAATTGATCGTAATTTCAGAGTTGATTTGGAACTTCTGAGGTAATGGTTCCCCGTTTGGACCACGTTCCCCGGTTGATGGAGGTATAACGATATGCTGAGGGATAGAAATCCCACCAGATAATGGGAATACACCTTCACCAGGCACTTCTAGGGAGGAGCTGTAAAAAAGCATGATGGATGTCTTCATTTGACAAAAATATGGGTTTGCCCATACTAAGTGATTCTCGTTATCCGTAGAGCACAGAAACTTCTAACCTTTAGAATGTAGACCGTACCCACTGTAGCTCATCACTACTTATTCTGCTCCACTTCAACGTAAACAATGCCCTTGTAGGCTGTGACTACGAAAAATGCGCAAGATGTCAACTCTAATGCGTTTCGTGAGTGTCACCATTATTGAAAAGACATGAATTTCCGCGTCCCATGGACAACAGTACTCGAAGGACACTCAGACAGTTCACCGGAACCTCCGCAGGACAAACCAAATCTGCATCGGTTCCGCAGGACTTTGTTTACCATTATAAAAGTGAAAGCGTTGAAAATGGGAACTTCCGCAGGATTTTCACGTCGACTGGTTGAAAAAGCGAAGTTCCGCAGGACTTTTCAAAAAGCGCTGCGGAAAAAATGCCAGCGATTACGCAGCACTTTGGCCTACCAGTACTTCCGCAGGGTTTTAGATGTGTTATCTCTTACGATATTGTCTCGCCAACAACTAGCGTGCATTTTCGAGCATGTCATCCTTAGTGCACAGGTGAGTGTGTCTCGCAGTGCATAGAGTAAGGTTCAGATCTTTCTTAGATGTTCTCTTTCTGTCGTGGTGCGCATTCCGGAACTTTCGCAGCATATCGTTTGGGAACTTCCTCAGCAGGTTTACGGGAATTTCCGCAGGTGCCGTGGCAAAACCTTCCCACACGTCCTGTGGAAGTTCCGGTCAGTTGCCTGAGCGCAGGAGTCACAGGAATACCAGAAATGGAATCACAAAAAAGTATAGCCAATTCTAAATCGAACGTACTCTTTCTCTGGCCTTTCCATCCGTGGCACTACGCCATTCCTCTGCTCCTCTCGCCTTTCTGTCTTCCTGACCATTACCTGATCCACATCTGAATCGGCACCACGCCTTCGGTACCTTTCGAAGTATTCTGTCTCCCTATCTTTTCGATGCCGATGATCCTCGTCCCTTTTTCCTCTCCGCCTTTCTTCCCTATCTCGCGTGTGATTATGAGAGTGAGATCTAAAAATTAAGGTTAGGCAAACAAAGAATATTGGAAAACCGGTCTAAAGCAACGAATCGGACCTTCTGCTTCTTCGTAGCCTTTCATCTCTGTATACTTGGTCCGTCGTTTCTGAAAGTTCAGACTCAGTGCATCGCGTCTTGCTCCTGTGTCGTCTTCTGCGCTCGTAAGATGAGTCTGAAAAGCTTAAAGCTAGAAAACCAGTTCACAGATGTGCAACAACGACCATTGCAATTTTTTAAGGTCCTAGTTAGGCATTAGTCGAAGTGTACTTTGTACTTTGCTGCTTATTATTTCCTATAAGCTAGAAACAAACCTTCTTGGGAGTCTGAGTCTGCTATATCTCTCGCACGGTGCCTACGGTGTCGTGACGAACTCCTGAAAAAGTAACCTATGGTAATCAAATAGTCTGTGACTCCAAAAAAACAAAAAATAGCAGATATGTAGCCCAAAGACACTACACGAATTAGCGCAGTTAGGATACTCTACTAGTATCATTCATTATATCTTATGAGCTACTCTGTGTTATACTGACAACGGCGACTTAGAACAATTTTTTCTCTTCCTGCGGTCGCAATCATGTTGATTTTTCATTTTTTGCATTTCTTTTTGGATGAATGTGACATTACAGCCACCGGCTTGCTCAACTGCAGATTGCAAGTGGTGCAATTACACAAAGCACACAAAAGTATGTGAATGATTTTAGCACATTCTACCTGCAAGGTGAAAATACTTGAGAATGCCAACGATTCCGTGCTTTCTACTTCTATGCATGTTGAAATCTGAAATGTTTGATTTCTAGGCGCACCACATCGGTAATTTATTGTTAATTGCACTTCAGAAAGAATTGTGCGATACTAATATTCCAAAGAGCTCTGCAGAACTTATATGAATAATCCCCACATTTCATTTTGCGTGATTGTTTTATTTCTCTGTTATCTTACTTTTGTCACTGATCATTCAAAATTACTTTGAAACAATGAAACATGCTACGAAATTGATGAACAAATTCATTATTAATAGTGGTGCTTTCGAAGAAATTACTTGCGAAAGGTTCAAGTGATTAGGCTTTGAACAATGTAAAGACCTACTGAAGACAGACTTTTGTTTCAAGTCCAAAAAATTTTCGGAAAGTATCTCAGGGAATATTACCTGTGCTTTCCGTGGCGGCAGCTCCGATGAGAAACTAGAGTGCCGTCGTAGAGAGATGGAACTGACCGCGAATGCTATAAGAAGCTCTGTCATTATCTTGAGTGCAATCCAACAAATTGGAGTAATCAGATAGCTATAAGTCACACTATCCAAAACAAAATATATTTAGGGCAGTTTGTTCTGCTTCTTTGTAGGAGTCTTCCTTACCTGAAGTGGAGCGGTAGTCGCGTGGACTTCTCGACTTGGAGAAATGGGCTCACTAACTGCTTCTCCGCGTTCTGAAAGTAAAGCTAAAAACAAAACTTGTGAACGCGCTCCAGTAGCATCCGAGATTTGCTTATAGGACTAACCAATTCGCTGTTGGTCCTTTACCCAATGCGCCACAGGATCTTCCCTCTCCACAACCACCGCTTTTGGCTCTCGCTCATATGATATCTAAAAGGTATTCCTTCAAGCGGTGGAAAATGCTGATTTGAACCCATTTAGGATAACAGACCATCAGAAAAAGATAAGATTATTGTATAATCACTAAGTCAAAACCATATGACTTTGCCTGCTGAGGCCATTTTTTACATTCAATTGATTCATTTCATATCTCCTGAGTTTTTTTATTGAAGAAAATTCTTTGTCAAAAGCTGCAAACTTGAACATGTACGAATTTTTGGTTGAAAGTTTGGTCTCTAAGTTATGCCTTACAAGAGAACGATACTCGGTGCCCGTTTTCGAGATACGTAGGATGTGATAGGATGTGTACCATTACACTCGTCTTGGAGCGCTGATTCCGAATCTGGCCCTACGCTATTGCTGTCTGTACAGAACAGTGGTTTGCCCCCCAAGTGTCATAAATATCGACCTTTGATATATCAGCTTATTCTATCGAAACCTTGAAAAATATTTACAGAATTGTTTAGATAGAACTATTCAATCGAATCTAGTAGCAGCTCAAATGGTTCGCCGAAGATTCAAACGAAATAAAATCAAGCTCAAAATGATACCTTTCTACAGAAAGCAAATTTTGTTGCAAATCAATAAAATCCCATCATTTTTCTTCAACCACTTGTATAGTGCTCATGCTCTCAAAGGAGAATATTGAAGGAGCAAAATTAATTTAATTTTACTGTGGATCAAATGAACAAAGGATGCTAAAAATGTCAGATTAGTACCTCTCGATCGTCCACAGGATATGGAGGAACTGGTGTATGTCGACGTGGCGGCATTGGCAGTGGAGTTTGGGGAATTTCACTGGGTGTATACGGTGGATATGTTGGACGCATGGCTGAATTAAGCACATTCAGTACTCAAAATAGAATTTTGAAACAAGAAAGACATGGTGTAACGGATAGAAGTGAGAAGCATTGACTGTGTATGATGTGGTCTGAATCATGATCTATTCATGGTAGGAATTTCTACGTTTAAATACATTTGTACCATCGAAAATTACGAACTACGAAGGTGCAACATATACTGTGGCAAAAGCACACAAGGAAAGTGTTAGTATAGAAAGGAAGCTTACGAGTTGTATAGTGAGGATAAGAATTTTTCATAATCTTTTCTGGAGTCGCTCGACGGATATCATATGCTAAAAGGACAAAACTCACCTTGAGGATAGTGGAAGTTTTCAGATATGAAAAACTCACGGTAATCGTCAAAATCCTTCCTTGTATAACCGTTGCGGTTGACCTTATACCTTACTTGTGGATTTTTTCCTTCATATTCATCTGTTGTAGCTGCCAGCCGTCTCATGAACATGTACACCACAACCACACAGTATACCTTGAAAATTGAAATTGATAAATAATCAAATTCTAAAAAAAATATTCGAACTGATGATGAAATTCGGAAAAACTCTCACGTTGATGAACACTGCGATGATTTCCAAAATGGTAAGAGCCATCCAGTAATCCCGTACATCTCCTGCCCACCACATAATACAGTAAGCCAAAGAGCACAGGATAGACGATATTATGCATATGAACCATGGCCATATCAAATGGCGGGACCACTGAAAATCATGAAAATTTCCATAATTCTCCAAAAGAGCGACTAATTAAATTTCTTTTGACGCAAAACTGGATTGTCTTAGGTTATGGGACTGAACTGTGATATTTTGCTCAGTACCTGCCCATGAATTATTTTGAAAACCCTGCCTTCTGTAGGTGAACAGCAGCGACGAATATAACAAGATTCTACGCTTATGAAAGTAAATAATCTATTGTGTTGTTTAAAGTACTTCACGAAAGGAGGTGTCTAGTTTAAAATTTCAAGGTGACGAACGCTGTAACTTCTGTGGATGAGCAGAGAGAACAAAGTAAAAATTGTTGAATTGCCTAACTCTTTGCTTTAAGAAACTAAACGAGATTCGAAGATCAGCTGTCCTTAAACATTTATATCACGAGCAATTGCTTCGTTTCTTTTCTTTCCGCCAAAGTCAATACCATTTTTCAAACCGGCAAGTTCAAAAATCAATGAATTCACTGAATGAACAGAAACTAATGTGCAATATGAAATGGGAACAAAAGGTCTTTTTAATGCTACCAATTTTATGTTTGTCATTCTTATCTAATGAGAATATTTCAAGTTTGAGTTTGTCAGTTTAACTTGGGGACAGAGGTAGACGGCTAGAGATTTTACCTGAATAGAGACGGCTATGTAAATACAATACCGCTCACGAAATGTGCAAAATTTCCGTGAATGTCCCAAATTCCGAAAATTCCGCGAAATTTCTGGAATTTTGCGAAACTTCGCGAACTTTCCGGAAATCCGCGAAATTCCGGAAAGTTCGCGGAATTTTCGGAATTTCGCGACATTCACGGAAGTTTTGCACATTCTGTGAGCGGTATTGTAGTCAGTAAAATTCAAATCATCCTAGTGCAGTAGTCAGAGCCAAAAATTTGCCCTTGTTGCTTTGGTCACGATTTCTGAATGACTAACAGTCCTACGAAATTCTTTTGGTCACGATCTTTTGGTACAAAAACGTGGCTCTAAAAAGTTGAGCCAGAGCTTCAATTAAAGAAGCGGGTATACAAAAAACTTGATGGTCATCCATGGCCGCTCCATTTTGACGAAAGTGATTTCAAAGCAACTGTGTACGAGAAAATTTGGAACTACATTTCAAAAATTCTCTCACTCTTGAATTACGAAGATTGCACGTCTAAATTCTATTTTTTTGTGGTTTGATTATGATCCCTAGAGCTTGTAATAAACGCGGGTTAAGCTACTAAAGCTGTCAATTTCAAGGTAAGGCGATAATCCTTCGCACACTTGATATAATCCGGGTGATGATGAGTTGATTTTCAACGTACCTCACAAGGAAAGGATAATGTGACCGTGGCCTTCCCTAATAGAACATACTTCACTAACGTGTCTCAAAACGCTGATTTCAAATCTGCTTACGCTTTCTCTGCAAGCGATTGTTGGGATTAAGTTATGAACGTTTTTTCTATAACAACTTGCATTACAACTATACACATCGCTCAAGTTTATTGTTTCGCTTTTCAGAACAACTTTTGAAAAGGATCGTCTTTATCCTAGTAAACAGACATAAATAACTCTGATATGCAAAAACTGTACGGAAAAAAGCTCATAATTTATCACTGGCAATCGCTTTGCAGATAGCAAAAGCAGATTTGTAATCATCGTTTGGAGGCCCCCTTAGTGATAAGTGTCTTATTACGAATGGCCAAAGTCATCAATTATCCTTCCCTTGTTAAAAATATACAACGCTTTGTTATATCAGTATAAATGAACAAACTGTCATGTGTATATGAACCTACCGTGTGCACACCATAGATCAGTGCTACTGAAGCGAACAACAAGAAGAACGCCGATATCAGACATAGAATTTGGATGATGAAAAGTCCTAAAACAAAGAAATTTTTGCTTTAAAGTGGACTTGTCCCCAGCTCTTGCAATCCGCTTGGTTTGTGTGCGGCGCCTGTTATGCAAGGAGGGTCTAGCGTTCCAAGCAAACACCACGCGCAGCTGAGTCAGAGATACACAAATGGTTTCCTAAGTTTGCCGAAAGTTTGAATCGATTTCATCAGGGGAAGTAGAGGGGGGAAACTCGGACAATTTTTCTAATCCGTTCCCAAAGATTTATCCCAATTTCTAGGACTTATTAGGCTTGGTATAGTGATAGTGCCCATTTTTTTGAGCCATCTTTAATTGTTCTGGATTCTAACAGCTCCCAGCTCCCAAAATGATCAAAAAAATTTTCTACGCTAATTTTTTTCTCCCTCAAAACCAAAGAGATCTCAGGCTGGTCCCGACATGGTTCCAAAGGTAAACACCCAGGTGGAAATCAATAGTAAAAGCAAACAAAAGCGACCTTTAGTTGATCGAAAAACGAACCAGTGTAATAGCGTTCTTCAGGACTTTGCCAATAGGACTCGTAATAGGATGGGATATCATATTTTCCATAGGTGTTATAGTTGGGAAGGAGTGTGTTCGCTGCTCGATCTTTCTCATATTTAATCGCTGCCATCTGCCAACCCATTATACCAAGTTGAGCTATCGCAAAGACCTAAATTTGCACAATTTCTCAATTTTTTTGACTTTCAAATTGCTCAGTTAATTTGACAGTTGGCAGACTGGCAGACGATCATTTGGGCGCACACTTCCCTCACTTTCCCACATCTTCCCGGGACCCAAACTATCACCACATTTTACACAAATTGGGAATGGATAGAAGTGTGAACCTTCAATGATTCTTGTAGTCCTAGCCGTCGAGGCACCAACGCACGGACAATCCCATTCACATTGGAGATTTGCCTGAGACATTGTAACCGAACGACAATGATTCAGTACACCAGTCTGCCAACCGAATAAGAACAACGAAGCTATCGAATAGACCTACAACTCAAAAATATTAAGCGAGAACTCGTCCCCGGAAGACCTACCAGTGTCCAGATGCCTATCATTACGGCACTGTCTTTCAGGCTGAAGCAACAACATGGATTGCAAGCCATGATTGTAGGCAGTGGAGGTGAATTTAGCGACTTCTTTAGTTAACCAGGGCAATCCGTCAGAAACATTATATACTACTTCACAATTGTCTCTGTTTAAGTTTGTTCCGATGCTTCCTATCAATTTCTGTAAGAAACTGTTTAGCTTAGAGATATTTAGACGATGTAAGCGATAGGATACTATCATTCATGAGAGGAAAAAAATCCGTAATAACAACAACATATTTCATAAGGAGGGAGTTTGTTAAGAAATCAACACGACTAGAAAAGATATTGAACAGAAAAAAGTTGTTTCGTCTCTTCTAAACAAAGCATGAAGTCAATAATAACGCTAACAGAAAGTCAACAATTATGCCATTTACGAAGACTGGAAAACTTTCGCCATTTGTACAAAATAAATGAAACGGTATGCGCGAAAGGTTGGGCTTAACCAGAGCAAGGCTAAGGTCAACTTTCACTAAAACATACGTGATGAATAGAGTTTTAGTGCATCATGAGGTTATCTCTACATTGGTCGTGTACTGATATTCTAAGGGTCCCAAGTTCGTTGATAAGTACAGCTACACGTCTTCTTTACTTTGACACAATTTTTGCTCAAAGCAGAAAACTTCTTTGGGATTAAACAAATGAAAACATGAAGATTGGTATTGTGCTTACTACGTGCTACTTAATCAAACAAAACTGGGAATGAACACATTCAATACGATACGACCCACTGGTGGGTCGTACGTGTTCTGTCGTTTCGGACAATACGACTCACCGGTGGGTCATACGATTCCTGAAGCTCTAGCTTTGCCAGTATACGATGGAATTCTACGCGGTTCTGGCCGCCAGATTGGTCCTGGCTCAGGATGCTGTCATGTGATGTTACGGTAGGTGCACCTTAGAGAGAGATAAGGGACAGACTTTAGCCCAAGTTTTTCGCAGAGTGGTGCTGTTCTGGGAAATTCAGGTTCACAGCACGAGAAATTCGGGAAGGGCACGAAGCTATGTTAGTCCATCAAAAACTGTTGATTTTATTGATTTCATTGATTCTCGCATTGTTCATCCAAGGAAGCTCAAACCTTACATATATAGGTTTCGTAACTGCTGATTTCGAAAATGATAGTCTCAAGTTCTAATACCGTCTTACATCTCCTGGACGGAGAAATCTACCGTACTGCTACCGCAGTCCCACAGTGGGGAAGTAGTGAATAAAGTGGATGCTGCAAGTGCTGCAATCGTTCAGCACGTGAACTGACCCCAAATGAAAATCCATGATGTTGGGTTTGTACAGAATGACTACCGTAACCTTACGGTATAACGCCAAAAACGGGAATAAATCATACTTTGATAATCAGCACCTCCGATAACACTTGTGGGGAAATTCTTGGAGGCATGTCTTGAATTCTTTCCAAAAAGACTACCATTCCGGACAATGCGACCCACGGGTGGGTCGTAAGTTTGACAAAGCGAAAAAGGCTCTGGTCCAAAACGACAGTAATCGAAAAATCGGCTTTGTCGTGAATATGTTAAAGGACTTGGAGTGAAGATGCAGAGAATTTTATCAGCTGGCTAGCACTTTCTCGACGGATGCTGGACAGCAAGAAAATTGGAGCTTGTCCTGCGGAAGATAAGCGAGACTAAAACTAGTTGATAGAGTTGTAGGAGCACCAAAGACATTTGAGATTTTCCAGACACGAACTATTATTGTGGATATCACTTAAGGTAAACAGTAAGCAGATTTTGGGACACGGCTACTGCTGATGATCGCTAATGTATACACAAACAAAAGCATTCGCTCCTATTTGCAGGAGATCAACTATCATTTGCAATAATTTTTCACAGCAAAGATAAAATGGCGTAATTCAGGATACAACTTCTATAAATCTGTATGGAAATTGACAAGAATGTTGTAAAAGGCGAAAAAATTTTTCGAAAAGATGTCCGATAATAAAGAAGTACATGAGAAGATTTTTTAGTGGTATAGTTACAATTATTGAATAGATACAGTAGGCAGGCAGCTTCTGCATTCTCATGGAATTCTATAGGAAAGAGGAATACGCACTGTTATCACTTTGAAGTGCACAGAAAGAGTTTTTATTGATAGGGGGTTACCCGGGTTAAAGAAATGATTCTCACACGTACTCCAGAACAGAACATGGAATGGCGAGTTACAAGAATATAGGATGCAAGTGAATTTTGCATAATCTTACGTTGATGCATAATGCTTGCACTAAAATTTTTGTTCTGTCAATTCCTCCATCTTTTTATGAAATCTTCTGATTTAATACAAAGTAGAGAAAGAGAAAATTCTGCGCTTTCTGAGCTCGAAATTCCTTGGGTGTATATGGCAACGATTAAGCTGATTAAGAGAACCCGAAAAGCAAAATTCCGATTTTTGGTAAATGAACCACTAAAATTTGTTTATTTTACATGCTCTCTTTAACTGCGAGAAGGTGATAGTTATATGTCTCTGCGAATAGTCACAAATTTCTTTTTTTTTTTGAATTGACTTACTGATTTTATTTCATATTGATATTCTAGAACGTGTTATTAAATACTACTTCTGTTATACATGAAAAAGAGCGTATTCTTAAAATTGATTAATTGATTAAAGCATTGTGTGCATCAGTCAAAAGTATGGCGAATTATAAGCGGTAAGGTATTTGATTACGACCGCCTGCTTTCCTGCCGCAAATTGAAGATAGGTCACGGACACAAAAAGTATTTCTTTTTGCCACCTATGAGGTATAATTAGAAAAAAATGCATTCCAGATGGAAGCACAGACATAGCTGAACGAACGAATCGATGATGGCGTTGCTGACTCGTCCGCCGATAAAGCATTCCTTATCGATAGCAAAAGAATACGATCAAAGCAGCGCACGGTGGGTGGAAATAAAGGACAACATTGTCACTGAAAAGCAGCTAGAAACAGAAGAAACAAGCCAGCCTCAGCAACTTAGATTCTTGTGTTCAGTGGCTGAAAAAGACGTGGAGCAAACAGCACAAGAAGTGCTCGAAGCACTACAGAGAGCTGGTGCATGACTATAGTGACGAGCCGACGGGGGACACACACTGTTGACATAAGCGATTCGATATGCAAATGCAACGAGCGCAGGTAGGGACAGCCGACATCGGAACTCCCTATGTCCATTTAGGAGTCAGCGGTCACTCACCCAATATATGCTGGGGCGCAGTAATCTGCATTATTCCGGGATGGCGAAAATTCATGCTGTGGTTGGTTTGAGCCAGAAATAGGCGAGAATTCCACAGCTGGCTTCGCAAAAAACAAAACTACTTATATATACTTTTATTTACTGGTAATACCTTGATGTGAGTTTTTTCCTTTCCTTCAAAGGACACCTTCTGCTGCCAGATTCCATGCCTCAAACAAAAATCAGTGAGGTCATCATTCTACGTGACGCTCAGGAAGTAAGAGGGTGTGGTTCTCGCAAAAGGGGCGTGGCTTTCCATGAGACGCGGTTTTTATCTATTTCTGAGTACATATGTCAAAGACTGATACATTTAAGCTTAATGGGTTTCGGCACAAAACCCCTCCGCGGAAGAAAACGAACTTTTTGCACAAGCAAGGTAAAAAACGATCTGCATATTATTAGGTGCATTGCTGTGTGAGGTTTCCAAAAAAAGAAACTCTAGATCAAATCCAAACAACTCGTTCAAGTGATCGCAGATCCGTCCATCCTAAGCTACTTTTTGAGAGAACTGACTATTGCATCCTGAAGTTGACAACGGTTTGTTTGTAGCCATCATAAAGTCTGGTAATCTCCTACTTGTGAAGCCCACTTGTGATCAGGTTGCGGTTACATAAGTGATTCGCCAGCCGCCCAGTTAGGCTGGGAACTCTGTTAACACAGGCATTGAGTATCACACTTGAAGCGAGGATCCGTTTGTAACGCTGTGCTTATAGAAAGTCCCGCTTATGTACTCGCAAAGAGCATGGTGAGCGCAAAATTCATTTAGAACATGATTTAAATACTCCATCTCCAACATTTGGGTTATGGCCTTGGTAAAGGCATGATAAGACATTATCAAAAATGTGTACCTCCAAAGCACTTCTGAGAACCTCAGGTGAAGCAAATAAGAGTGATTTAATTTTGTTCCAATCACTACATAGTACGTTCTACTTATTTATCAAAATGCGCATCAACTTCTCAGAAAAACGCTTGACTGGATTTACTTGACAAAAATCGTAGATAATTTATACTGCTTTTCCATGGAAATTCGAGAGTTGCTGAATCTAATGACCACACACTCTAGACTTTCCTTTGACGCCGTTTATGGGTTCCGGTTGTCATGCGCTGTTCCATATCCTGTTGTAGATGGCAAATACAATGGAAGGTCGAAAAGGTGAGAAGAGCAAAGAGATGATGCATAGAGTGAATCACGATGAGTCAGGCTTTGTGCTATTGTCCCGGGCCGGAACAAGCAGTTCCCATGTTCTGTAAACAGGTAGGCGCTGCGGCTGTAAAAACCGTCCAAACAACTTGTAGAAAGTATAAAAAAAATTCCGGATCTGGACTAGATTTGCACATTACAATTCAACTACTTTCAAGGAGCCAACAAATACATTAAGAATTCTTTCACAGTTAAAAGGCAGGTTAAGGAGTTCAAAATGTATCAAGACTGCGCATCTTGGCCAGTTTGAATGTTGGTTGGGTTAACTTGACTTGTAGCCTCCCCATACTTAAATATGTGATAACCAGAGTCAAGCAACAATTGAAATGACGTAACAGGTGGTTGAAAACTCGGCCATTCCTGAATAGGCAGATAACGCCGACTAGAAATTTGTCTCGTATCTGTAGGACAATTCTTAGCTGATCATATGATTATTTCAATCGAATTTGCTAGGCTAGACTTTGAGCAATTTAGTTTTGGTAGAGCTGCTCGTTTTGTAGAACTACTAAGGAGCCGGTTTGCATGAAACAAAAATCGCATGCGGTAAACTGGATCATTAATTATTTGCTCCTCTTGTAAATTATTGGACTGTTCCAATACTTTGATTCATAATTTGAGGAAAAAGCCATTATTCATGAACATTGCTACGATCAGAAGCTCTTTTCTTTAGTTTTTGATGCACACTTTTTTTCATAGAGCTTTGTTCATTCTGTGTACCGTGGAAGGACAGCAAAACAAATGTGGAAATTTTTTGCTATTTTGCCGTGAACTCTATAGCCAGAGGAGGAGATTTTTCATAGCACATGCATTATGTTGGAGATTTCTGCTACGAAATGTCTTATGATATATGATCTTAGAGAAAACCTTGAACCTATAAAATTAGCAGAATATGACCTGTCATCGTGCCACATATGAGTGGAACAAAAATCATATTGCGCAATCAGGGAATTTTTTCTATATAGTAAGGTCAAGCCTAGAACATTTATCGCTCGGGTAATTGAAAAAATAGTATCAATTGTCAGTAAAATCAAAGACCCAGAATGCATTCTCTGCCTTCTCAGAAAAAGCAAAAGAAGTGTCTCCTCAGTGCTCAGACGACTATTAGCTACACAATGAACAGTACTTGTGCAATTTTACTTCATTTCAAAACGGTTTTTCTCCCAGAAAAACTTCGTCATTGTTGCGATAATTCCTGACTTTTCCAAGAACTGCCAAGGTTGCGTGGATTTTGGCAAACTTTATTGCGCTCGCAACGATCTCATTAAATAAAATTGTGGTGAATCAAACTTGAACCTCGAAAGGGAGTGAACTTTTGAACTACCCAATACTTACTTTTCTCACGTTTTTTTTGCAACTCTCTTGTTAAAGTAATGACTCTCTAAAAACCTTTCATTTCGAAACGGCGCAGATAGTGCAGCTGTTATCAATGCAAATTACTTCTTTTGATGGAAATAGTGGGCACCTTACACCTTCAAAGATAACACTCTTATCATTTATTGCCGGATGCTTCTATTTATCATTGAAGAAGGAGAGGAATGGTTGGAAAGTTGATAATTGTGAGAATTATGACAGAGATAATTTCTTGTACAGCAACTAAGACCATGCAATTCGAAGATTTTCACTTAAGATAGTTTTTAGTTCTTGAATACATCAACAGTGAATCCTCTTAACTAGACAGTCAATATCTTTCAGATTTGCTAGTAATAATGACATTACCTAAGGCATATCATAAAAGTAGCAGCACCAAAAATGGCCGAATTTTCATCCGCACTAATTGCGGTTCTATAACCTAATTCAAACCAGAGAGCTTAGTGCAAGTTTAAAGAACGATATTACATACCACGAAGAAAAGTACTTGACATAAGAGCATGAACTTTGTAGTATAAACTCATTTTTAATGACATGGACAATGTGCAAGATATTACGATGTTGCAAAGAGAGGGAATGGGTTAGAAGTGATTTCAAAGCGTTTGTTGAAAAAATTAAGACTGATTTCCATATATTATCGCTACACCTGGAGTAGGGATGCCTGTGGGACAAAGCGTGAGTGAGCGGCTGATGTATGTTAATTAGTGCGTAACCAGTGCAAGCCAGCGGCATTACTCCGTTACCGCGGTGAATAATCCTTCACTGATCCGGGGTTGTCAACAATCATGCAACACTTTATGGAACATCAATGGCGTGTTTCGATTCAAGGATTATATAAGCCAAATATGCGGATTCAGTTGAGCAGCAGTTATAATATTCTATACAACGAGTATCATGTTGAATTAAAACTCATGTAACAAAGTTTCTGGAAAACATAGTCTCCGTGGATTCGATCTATTCGTTTGTTGAAATGTAAATAGTGCAAGTCATGAATTTTTCATGCGTCGCTCAAAAGAATAATTTTTGTAGCAGACTGTTGAGATGATATTGGTTAGCTAAAACCGCTAGATTTGGTTCAATAAGAACTCGCTGTGAGGCAATTGTGCTTATCGAAATTTTTCACGGAAAACTGAATTTTTTGTTTTTCAAAATTTCAAAATTTCAAATTAAGCCACATATACTGTTACAATGGAAAGCTATGAGTATGAAAAGCATTTCAAAAGTTTTCAATCAGTTTTCTAAATTTTTGCCGAATGGTTCAACGTAATTCGACAGAGTGATGGACGACTAAATCCTTCTCCAAGCTCACTCTTCATAAATACTTAGTCGTAACATCATTCATTGAAATATAGGTGAAATTACCATTTGGGGTTGAATTCAAGGCTTCAGCTTATTATGACAACAAGCGAGGCACGTATACATTTTTATTCTTGCTGATTTACTTCTTGCGTTAGAGCCCCTCCTAGCCATTTTCGCGCTCTCCAGTGTGGATTTTTAGTTTTAGCATAGTGAATAGGCCCAGATAAGATTAATGAAAATCGACTTCTTGCAACTGCCTTGAAGACTGTACATATTAGCTTTTCTCTTTCGAGGTGAGAAAATGATTGAGAGCTCTACGAGGATTACAAAGATTGTAGCAACCACATATCTGTTGGCTCTTATTCGGCCTTAGCTTTAATGCTACAGCATCATATAGGCTACTGGTATCACGAATATCTTATGTTCTCTCCATCCTTCATATTCTGGCATTGGCTTGGAGATCTAGGTGTTGCCCGATGGTCGCCTGTTATAAACGCATCTGGCATCTTTGTTATTAAGTTCAAAAAAAATTTTTGGACCCTCAGCGACATGGTTGTTATTAAGCTCAAAAAAAATTTTGGACCCTCAGCGACATGGTCATTTCTACGCAGTTGTTATCAAGTCAGATCCCGCAGAGGTACATATATAAGGATCAAGAAGCGCAAGCTCTTTGTTGTAGAAGCCTTGCGCATACGACACAACTGGATTACTGTGGAGCGGGTGCAAATAACCCCACAAAAGGTAGTGAGCTGATTTGATTCAGGGTGAACCATCGACCTTAGTGGAGACTGATATTTACATGCGGTGACAATGAGGAAGGCTCGTACAAACAGAAAAAGCTCCCATGTCGATTGGGACCAAACCAATGTCCAGCTAGCGTGAACTCAGGAAAGTCATAGAGAGGGAAAAAGTCAGAAAGAGCAAGAAGCTGCTTGAATATGGTGATGGATTAGTGGCGATCCTGGTTTCTGAGGAGGATTTCCTTTCGGGGGGGGGGGGTAGAGACGACATTAAAAAAATATTTTTTTCGAATGGAGGAGTGGGGCGTTAACAGAAGCTCCATAGAATTCTGGCTTGCCCGTGACCACGAATATCCATCTTTGAAGTTTCCAAAAATAATTTGAATTATTTATAAGTATAAACAAGTCACTCGCACATTCTTATAATATTTATTCTGAGCATGCTTAACAGCGCTATTTGACATCGAATTACGAAGGTAGAATTGTCGAAGTCATGTTTTTACATCAGAAAATAGTGTGTTACCTTCTTCAAATAAAACATTTTTCAACATCTCTGTATAGCCCGGCGGATTCTGCAAAGAAGATGTCGAAACTTAGCTTCATTACAATGCAGCACTAAAAATGAATTAATATTTCGAAAATTATATTCTACTAGTTGTTTGTAAAAGTTCATTACATTCTGCTTGCTGCTGGTTCTTTCGTGCATTCTGTGCATTGCAGCAAATGTTTATGGAAGTAGAGGGAGTGATTATTTGTAACCTGAGCTGTAACCGGCGAACGTCAGTTATGCACCGTCACTGTTAATGCACTCCTAATTCTCATCGATCTTCTGATACATTTGATTTGTTTTTACAGCCTAAATTGTATATTTTATTCTTCGTAATTTTCGCGAAAAATGTCAAAAAGCAGCGTCAAGGCATAGCTGAAATTCAGATAATGCGATTACTTCTTTTTATCTGCATACATCTCTGCCTGCAAGCTGTGCTAACTCAAGATGAACCAGAAGGAATCGACGATGAAGGAGGAGATGCAGAAGGTTTGAAAGCTCTAGAATTCTCATTTTTGAGTTGGCGACCAACTAAACTCTCACATTACAACATTGAACTTCATAAACCTATATACCGGTGCTAAAGTAATCTTAATTTTGTACATCCTACAAGGGAGGTCCGTTTAGCCGAAGTAGCCTTTTTATATGGCTCCTATACCACCTTGAAGAGCAATGAAAGATAGTTTCAAATTTAACTTCATTATTTGCCAAACGCTTCTGGACGTCGAGTGATGAGCGCTTCTGGGGTTGAAAAATTGAATGCGCATCTCGTACAAAATTCATCTGGACTTGCTCAAATGACCCAGGGTTATTATTGGAGCACTTCATCTAATAGGTAACTTCTGTCTAGTAATAACCAATACTGTTTGATTGAGTGCTGAAAAGAGCGTAACGATTGTTTACCTACATTTTACCTACATTCTGCGTTCATTCTTTGCTCCAAAAAGTACTCATAACTCGACGTCTACAGGAGCTTGGTGGATGATGAAAAGAGATTTGAAATCAAAGTTCAATGCTCAAAGCGGTTAGGACATACTTGAAAAAGTCAATTCGACTAAAGGGAGCTTCTTACTTATGCTAAATCGAAAGATGAAGTCTGTTACTTTTCCATGAGATTATTCTAAATTATACGTTTTCGCGTTACGAGCATTAAAGCGTCATCCTCAAACATATTGTATGATCTGTGTGTTAAAGTGCTAATGTCTAACACTAAGCTTTCCTCGTACTTTAAAACTCAATTTAACATTTTTTGAGATTTTTTCATTTAATCGCACCTTGTGTATGTGATGCTACACAGGCTTTAATGTTTTCATCCGCTCTTGCTTTTTCCCAAAGTTATCCTGTTTTTATAGCTTTCTGTTAACACTCTTTCAAACGCAATAGCGTATGTTAGCAAAAGCTGTTTAATAGTTTCCAAGTTTTTCTTTGCCACTATTGCTTGCATATAGATGAAAGAAAACTGTTGGAGTACTAACAGTTAGAGACCCTCAGTCCAGTCAAAATTGCAATATCTTTTTGATAAATAAAAGTTTCTACTCCTTGCCGTTAGAGGCGATATGCGAGTACGTATGATAATGACGTTGATATATGCTTATTGTTAGTTAACTCTGGAATGATTAAAGTTGAACCGCTTTCATCACTTTTTCTAGGTGGTCAGTGGAATTAGGGCACTGTCGTCGTACTGAACTGGTTAAGACTTAGACTTAGGAGAAAGCAGTCATTGTCATTTAGCATAAGCTTACCTATGACTACTGATATATCGATGAAAGGTGCTAGAAGTGAGTATTGGTTTTTCGCAGATTTTGATCTCCAGTATAAAGTTTCTGTTGCAGCGAGGTGAAATATTAGGTCGGTCCAAAAGTTTTGTCAGTATTTGAATCCACCGATAATTTTGGTAGAATAAAGCTAAACAAACATCTCAGAATGTTTGCGATATAGAATTTCTTTCTCTTTCCAGCTGCTCTATCCAAAGTGTAATTCTCCGAGAGAATACTGCGATGATCGCTGGAAACTACAACTTTTCGTTTTCACCAAGTCTGACTTTCGCAACTACAACTTTTCGTTTTCACCAAGTCTGACTTTCGCCAATTTTCACAACTTTTATCTGAAGCTTTTGGTGACGCTTTGATAGTCAGCAGATAGGGCAAACAATTTGCCAACGAAAGCTATTTTTCGTATTTTTTCAGCCCCTCTTCTAAGATTTTTCTAAATAATTTTCCGAAAGTCCTAGTTTTGAAAAATCGGCATAGTCTGTATTGCAACAAACAGTGCAAAATCTGCAGAATGCTGAGGTTTCCACACTTGACTATTACTAATACAGTGCTGGCCAAAACTATAGATCCACTATAAAAAACTGCCGTAGTTCATCTGCTTCTCAACGAATTGATCTGAGATTTGGTACAGTTGTGTGTTCAACAGGCTTTCATCAGTGACCGGAGCGGATTCCGCTTTCGTTAGATTATTCAGGAAAAAAATTAAAAATTTCGAAAAAAGCAGGCTCGAAGGCTGGCCAAAACTATAGATCCACCTAAAATTTCTGTCTGCTAACGTGACTCTTAGCTTCCAAAATCTTTTGTGCATAAACCTAGTCGAAAGTCAAAGCAGTGGGTTTAGTTTAGCTGCGTCATACCTTTATAAGAAACTCTTATCTGCTTTTTTCCACTCAAAAACTGCTCTCATGCGTATTTTGTTCCCGAAAATGTGTTTTTGTAGAGGGTTCCGCACTTTTTTGACTGGTTTGAAAGTGGTAGGGCTCCATCTATCTTATAGATGCTTAGCAGCGTGAGCAGTAGAAAAAAATTCGGGTTTTCGTATCCAAAGCGCACCTGACACAGACATAACCGTAGGCCTGCGCTCGAATTTTTGCCTTCAAAATTGGTATCCGCTATTTTTATAAGCTCAAAATAATGTAGAAGCATTATTTAGCATTATTCACCTAAAAAGAAGTTTGTAAACTATAGTTACAATTGCTTGCGAAGTCGCACTTTAATTCTTTTTCAAAGCATAAGTCTTGCGGTGTGTTCGGCAATCTCAAAGTACTTACCAACTGGTACCTTCTTTGAATTTTGCCACTTTTTAGCTGCTAACTATTGAATACACCCTGCAATATGTGTTGTCTTGTGATTCACATGAGCATTATGGTCAGAAGCAGAAATAACTTCAAGGCTTGTTGCAAATCACTTTTTGCAGGAGGAAGTCCTCAATTAGCTTGCATACTAGGATCTGCAGAAACCTGCAACCACTGCACACGGACTCTCATACATACCAACAATGTAACTACTCCAGTTCACGCTCATGACAACGTTGCAGAAAGAGCATGAAGGCAAAAATTCGAGCGCAGGCCTACGGTTATGTCTGTGTCAGGTGCGCTTTGGATACGAAAACCCGAATTTTTTTCTACTGCTCACGCTGCTAAGCATCTATAAGATAGATGGAGCCCTATCACTTTCAAACCAGTCAAAAAAGTGCGGGATCCTCTACAAAAACACATTTTCGGGAACAAAATACGCATGAGAGCAGTTTTTGAGTGGAAAAAAGCAGATAAGAGTTTCTTATAAAGGTATGACGCAGCTAAACTAAACCCACTGCTTTGACTTTCGACTAGGTTTATGCACAAAAGATTTTGGAAGCTAAGAGTCACGTTAGCAGACAAAAAATTTAGGTGGATCTATAGTTTTGGCCAGCCTTCGAGCCTGCTTTTTTCGAAATTTTTAATTTTTTTCCTGAATAATCTAACGAAAGCGGAATCCGCTCCGGTCACTGATGAATGCCTGTTGAACACACAACTGTACCAAATCTCAGATCAATTCGTTGAGAAGCAGATGAACTACGGCAGTTTTTTATAGTGGATCTATAGTTTTGGCCAGCACTGTACTAGCCTGAATAAACGCTTTTGCTTCATAATATTGTTGAAACATAAGGTACGTCAGTGCACACTTGAAATTGAAAATACGGCAATTTTCGCCCAAAATTAGCTTGTCTCACCGATAAGACGACTATCAAAAAGAGGGAAAAAAGATGCATCGAATGGTACATAAAGTGTAACTTTGCGTTCTACGAGATTATACAAACCGAATATAAAATTTGGTTACATCAAAAAAATTTCAGAAGTTTTGAAAAGCAAGCCAGAGGGCTACAATGAGTTGCTTTAGTTGGCAGAAGGTTTGCCCTATCTGCTGGCTATCAAAGCTCTAGCAGATGTCTCAGATGAAATTTGTGAAAATTAGCGAAATTCAGACATGGTAAAAACGAAGGTTGTAATTTAAAGCGTTTATCCCTGCATTTGAACGAATTATAGTGAAATACAACAGTTGGAAAGGGGAAGAAATTCTGCATTGGATACAGTTTGAAATACACGTTTATCTTTACTGTACGGCCTTTGAGATTCATTTCAAAAAATTGACAAACTTTTGCACAGACCTAATATTAATAACAATAGCTCCTGTCCTCACTGCTTATTTGTATTGCGAATCGACTTACATTCCCTATTTGCAAAAACAAATGTGGTCATGTGATCAGTAAAAGCACGATTGAGTTGATGTCAGAACCTTCCATCTCAGATGGTCACATCTCTAGCGAAACGTTAAAGGCAGCGTCCGGGCAAAATTTCGCCTCTCATGTTTCTGCCGTTCTGGGGCCTTTCCGTGGCCCTGACTATTTCCGTGGTCCGTTGTAAAGTCCAAATTGTTCAAAACTCCCAAAAAACCCGGTTCTTGGGGGACCCTCTCTTCAAGGAGCGGACAAGCTTCGAATTGCTCGTCCCCATCGTCATGCCAGCGGAAGGAGCTGCAACTGAACGGATGCAGTTGCATTGCAGTGTGCAGTTCAAATGCAATGCAACTGCAATGCAACCGCACACCTGCGTAAGCACTCGTCCTCAGGGGTGGTTCGTGATACGAAGGGGCGGCTTGTGATACGTATCATAGGCCCGTATCTCCTTTTAGAGGGCACGTTAAAGGATTGCACCAACGCAGATCGGATACTCATGGGCCCCTCTTTACAAGTATATGCTAATCTGGGTGGATGGATCTTGCCTGGACGTTGCCTTTAAAGCTCTTCAAGGTCAAAGAAACTGTTTGGGACCAGTAAATCTTTGGTGTCTTCTTTAAAGAATTTCTGGTCACATTGGGTGACAGTGTGAGATGATTATTGTACCAACATCCTTATTTCCGAGCTCAGGTTTGATTATGAAAACTTTTTCTGTAACATACGTGAGAAAATGTTCGCGAGAAGTGATATGAAACGTGATGATATGTCTGAAGCATAAATCATATGAACACAATTTTTTCTTTCGTAACAAATCATAAGTCTGCAAAACGCTGACAACAACTATAAGTGCGCAGCATCCAATCTTTGGTGTGGATCTTGACACTAGCAAGATGACAATTTGGTGCTATTCAGCCCTTGAACCTCAAAAAAAAAATTATCTTGTTTTAGCATTCTACAATAAAACGTACAGTGAATACCAGACTGCGCTAGAAAAGGCTATCTTTAGCAACTACGTGAATACGAGGAGACCGGTGAGGTGAGCAACACGATTTTCATTGTATTAGCTCGTTACTCTTGTTACTTTTCTTTTATTCATATACAAATTCATGCAATTTCTGATAATCTTCAAATGTTCAAGAGGATGAAACTATCGCTCAATGAGGAAATCAAAGTTATGCTCTATTAAGCTCAACTTTTTCAAAAAAACTTAAGAAGTTACTAGAGCACGTTGAGTGAGCACCAAGAAATGCAAGTTAAGACTATACTATTTACAATTTATTTTTTAACAAGAAAAGGATACTTGGTGATCGCGGCCATTTAGAATGCGATATGTACCATAAGGTGCACTTCGAAACGCTGATTCTAAATTTGTGCTCGAAATCTGCGAAGCAACCACTTGAAGGCAGTTATAGACTTTTTTCATAGAAAATTTGAGTACTTTTAGGTAGTTAAAATCACCCAGTTTGATCAGTTTGATCTGTTTTACCGTTTGAAGCTACTGAGGAGAATCTTGAAAGGTGTAACGTTGTATTTAAGCCTATCTAAATCATATTTAGCATTTGAAAAGGAAAGCAAAACTTTTATCAATGATTTTCACCCTCCGCAGTAGCGCAATTCATTTTTGAAAATAACTCCATCCATTTTCTCGTTCCGCAGATATGGGAAAACAGTATTCGAACCAGCATTGAAAGAATTTTCTGATATATAAACCATTATGAATGGCCGGGTCAAAAAGTGTCGTTCCCTGTTAAGTTCAGTGCCCAAAGCACAATCTTATAGCAAACATTGTGCAAGAATTGTTCAGAGTAACCCAATTATTTTTTTGGATTAGAATGCGTATGAACTTTCAGTAACTGACAATCTAAAAGTGTGAAAGACTTTTGTGTTTACTAGCTTTGTTCGCAAATTTTTTTTTCTGAGAGGAAGGGGAGACAGAATTGTTTGTCGAGAGTGACTTAAGCACATCAATAGAAAATTTTTTTGAAATGCTCTACAAAGATTCAGCTGTTCTATAACTACAAAACTACCCCTCTGGTGATTGATAGTTACACAGAAGCATATTTGGTCAGCTATGTGCTACTGACTAGAAGTCCATTGTCTGATAAGTGGCGATCTTTTTGTTTCCCTAGAGCTTTTGTAATGACCAAAATAATTTCGTTGAATAATACTTCATGAACCCTTGTAGGAGACGTTTTCCACAAAAAGCCTAATGAAACTTTCGGCTGAAAAAGTTGCATCGCCAAATTTTCTATACCTTGACAGATTTGTTTGATACTGCTACCGTCCTTTCGGCGATGATGTCAACTTCTGAAAATCCGAATTACTTTTGATCAAGTCGCTATCAACCTGTTAGGGGCCAAAAGATCTGAAAAATTAATACTGTTGGGGCTTTGAGGCAGAAAACACATAAAAAGGCTTGTACCTAATTGAAACCTTTACATAATAATTTAGGAATGTGTCTCAGCCTGTCGAAGTTAGCATTCATTTCCACATCGTCCACGTTTCGATCAACCAAGAGGAGCAGACAATGACTGTGCATGGTCATCTGTATATGGTCAGGCTCACTTTACTTCACTTTGTACCCTAATTTTACGGTATAAGACGCACCTTTTCCGGTATTTCAAGCGTGCCGCTCAGCCGCCTCGTTGTGTTTAGAAAAACGACACTTAAAGCATTGTCCAGGTCAACTTGGGGGTATAGGGATCTTGACACAGTGTGAGAGCACGGCTCCTGACAAACGCAACAGTTCAAGTGCGATCGAAAAAGAGGGAATCTGAAGCGAGAAAATCGCTTCGGACGAGTTTGCAAAAAAGAGGGCGGTACTCCAATCCCGCCCTCTTGACAAGTTTTGACGTGGCAAACGCTCAAGATCTAGTGTATTGGCCACGTCAAAACTTGTCAAGGGGGCGGGATTGGAGTACCGCCCCCTTTTTTGAATACTCGTCCGAAGCGATTTTCTCGCTTCAGATTACACCTTTTTCGATCGCACTTGAACTGTCGCGTTAGTCAGGAGCCGTGCTCTCACACTGTGTCAAGATCCCAATACCTCCAAGCTGACCCTGGACGATGCCTGTATGCCGCACAATACTCTCAGGCAGATGGCTAATCAAGCCTTCTACTCTGTGGGGCGAAAAATTGGTACCGGAGTATTTCGAGAGGGTGTTGAAAACCGAATCCTTGTCTTTTTGCGCTTAATCGTGTAGAAAAATTACTTACTCAGATATTTTCTAGACGTGGTACGACGAGTACCTTGGTTGGGACGTGAATGACTTCAATGGCATCCGAATCACCAGATGTTCAAAGTGGAGAGTATGGCAGCCTAAAATCAAAGTAGCTAACAGGTATCTTTAGAATGAATTTGCATCAAAAAATTTTTCTGCGATCTTTTTTACTGTTTTTCCTAGTACGTTCATATCAAAAATTGTCCTACTATTCTCCTTTTTTTCGTATAATCCAAATCATACTCATTACAGTGTCGCCGGCATATATTCTGCATTCGAAATTTCGTCTCATGCACACGTACTTGTGCAGACAATGGGAAAAGAGGTATGTGCTCCACTTTATGGCATTCGACAAAATTTCTAGTAAAGTAATCACATTTATTTTCAGCAAGCAAAAGTGGAAATGTATCCAACATTTTCCATCAAAGTTGGCTGCAATTTCGATTATGCCGATTATCCGAGAGATATAAATTCATGTTCACTTTCCGTTTTTGCAAAGCAGAGAATGAGCGAGGTAGGAAATTGAAGAGGTTCTTCCGCTTTTACTAATGTAGTCTTCACTTCAATAAATTCTATGGCTTTTCGGTGATAATACAAACGGTGAACTGTCAGATAGTGTTGAAAGCAAAGATTCTGGAGTTGTTTTTGCAATTACTTCTTCGTAACGTTCACATGATTGAACATATCATACTTATCTGAATGGTATAATCTCATCCAAATCCTGAGTTTGCAAAAAAAATTCAAAAACTCATTCGTTTGGCAACTGCCTTACAAAAAGCCCTGGGTCAGAGCTTTGATTGGCCGGTTTTTCCTTCGAAAAATGTTTCAAGCAAGGTCCTCTAAAATTTTATGCTTTAGGCGGTATATTAGCGGGACCCCTAATTAATCGCACAAGTTTGATTGCAAAAGATAAATTCCAAAGTCGAAAAACCGCTCCAAAAGGTGGAAGCGGCCCAGGTGGCTCCGCCCATCAACCTGGGTGCTCTGAAGATTGCAAGTTCAAAATTGAGCTTCAATGTATTCAGAAATGATATAAATGGGAATTGTATAATGATAATCAGATCCATATATCTACCTTGTAGCTCAATTTTGGACTTGTTTTTTATCCAGACCGCCCATATTGATGGGCGGAGGTACCTGCACCGCTTCTACCTTTTGGAGCGGTTTTCTCGCTTCGAAATTCATCTTTTGCAGCGGGTCTGGGATTTTTCTCAGTTAGGGGGTCCGGCTACTATACAGCAACAGAATCTAGCTAACTCCAAATTGGATGGACGGTGCTCTTAACAGGATTGCATTTCCTCAATGCATTTCACAATCTGATCACCGAAAAAACTACTTAAATTGAAAATTGTTGTATCTTGAACCACATTATTCGCTGTAAGGTCTGGATTTTAGAAGTGCTAATGCTAACAGGAGTTTCTTATTGAGCACTGATAAGCCCTGACTTTAGCACTTTAGATCATATCCACAGTATTTTTTACAAAAAAAAAATACAAACTAAGTTATCCTCAACAGTATATTATCCGCCTGTAGTGTCTAGAGGCAGCATCTATCCAAATCTCTGTCTTCCATGTTTTTGTCACTCTGGGGCATTTTTGTGGCCTTGATAACTATGAAGTGCAAAACGAAATAAAGTTAATCAAGAAATCAAGAAATTCGATTTTCTAAGCCTTCCTGAAGCCACAGACGACTTCCAGTACTTGAGTGGGCGGAGCTTGAGAAGCGGGCGTGGCTTGACAGCGCACTTTCTCAAGTTCCATGTCCATTTTTTTATTCAGAGGCCACATTAGAGGACCGAACCAACACAGATGTTCTACTTCTAGGGCCTTCTTTTAGACTAGGTACAAATCGGGGGTATATTCCGAATGGACGCTACCTAATTTCTTCATCTCTTGTAAAAAAATAAGATAGCGTGTTTCAATACCGATTGCCGAAAATCCCATGAAGATCTCGAGACATAATATTGTAGGTTCGCTTGAAGAACTACTACAATTATCCTCCGACTCTCTCTATCGGTAAGTCACGGCGCATCGAATATATACAAGAATCCAAAATACAATCTGTTATAGGGTGGGGCAGCCAATCCGATAAGCGTATAATATCAGATTTCGAGATATTGAACGTTTCGCACTCTATCACCTATTACAAGCATGGAAATACCACTACTCTCGAGCCAATAACAGCAAACGAGTTGGCGGTCTCCTGGTAAGCAATTTAAAACTAAGAAATTTCTCACCTTTATTCGGTCGCCTCATTTAGGTCTATTTTACATACAACAATCTTCATTAAAAGGCACAGTGTAATGTTTGGAGTCAGCATGCTGTTGCCTTGCTTGGTGAGTTTTGTCAAATTTCTTAAAAGGGACCATAGTGCTGGAATTCTACAGTATTGCAGTGGAGTACCCCAACTTCCCGCACGAAAAAGCTCGTCTGAAAATTCTAGAATCCGCTTCGGAAGTCTTTCGGACCTCGCCCCCTCGTTCCGCACTCCGCCCATTTTCGCGCAATTTCCAGCGAGTGTGGATAGAAATGGCTTCGAAAAAAGCTGAGCCCAGAAAAAGCCGTTTTCATGCGCTGAATAGCTCAATAAGGGTGCAAAATGGCGATAGGCTCCGAGAAGGTGGAAAATTGGAGAGCGAGTTTTTGCGGCCTTCAAAGGCAGAGGCTTGGCGAAACCTTGACTTGAGATAATCCGACGCTCAGATCCCAAAAATCCACTTTAAAAAAGCGCAAAAATGGCGATTGCCAGCATTCCCTGAGGCCTTCAGTTTAAATTTAGACAAGTGAAACAGTACCCCCATTGGAGGCGCAGCGTCGTTGCAGGACTCTTGTGGTATACCATTGCAGCATGCCGCCTCCAACAATGGGAGGAAAATCGCGAGCTCGTCCGAACGCGTGTAAGAATGGCTTGCGCGCGGTTTGGGGGCGATTTTCTCAGCAGGGGTAGCCATATGCTCAGACTTGCTGTGCTTTCATTTTGGAGTGTAAACAACCTATAATATCAAAATCCGGGATGAGTTCTGCCAAGCCGCTGCCTCAAATACTGCCGACAGTCTCCGCCTCCGCAGACTACTGGTCCGTGTGCGATATGCTATAGAATATTAAAGGCATTGTCCAGGTCAACTTGGGGGTACTGGGATCTTGACACAGTGTGAGAGCACGGCTCCTGACTAACGCAACAGTTCAAGTGCGATCGAAAAAGGTGGAATCTGAAGCGAGAAATCCGCTTCGGACGAGTTTGGAAAAAAGAGGGCGGTACTCCAGTCCCGCCCCCTTGACAAGTTATGACGTGGCCAATACACTAGATCTTGAGCATTCGCCACGTCAAAACTTGTCAAGGGGGCGGGATTGGAGTACCGCCCCTTTTTTTCAAACTTGTCCGAAGCGATTTTCTCGCTTCAGATTCCACCTTTTTCGATCGCACTTGAACTGTTGCGCTAGTCAGGATCCGTGCTCTCACACTGTGTCAAGATCCCAGTACCCCCAAGTTGACCTGGACAATGCCTTTAAGGAACACTAGTCCGCGGAGGTAAAATGTGCATTGTGGCCAGGAGAAGCATTATTGCCTTATCAAAGCATTCATCAAAAAGCCACCGCACGACGAAGGCGCAGAAGCAGTATTTGTTGAGCGGGCGCGAACGCGACGCGCGCGTAATTTCACGTTGTAAACTCTGCGCCTCATGCGCTGCGGCTAGTAAAGTCGCGCCCAAAGGTATTGATTCGTCATGCAGTAGCCTATATCTCACTTGATTTTTCCGGCGCTGTGAATAATTGTTGAAGTTGCTGTACGGTAGATGTACGGTAGTGCATTGCAATCTCTTTAGGTTTCTGCAGCCTTCAATATTCTACCCTTCTTCCTTCCCTCACTCAACTATGCAGTCTATACATTACTTTCGAATGTAATCATTCAGGTGGGAATACTTTACACAAATTTTTATGATTCAATATTTGCTTTCAGGCGATATTCTTGCAAGAAATAGTCAACGGTATGCCTCTCTCTGCAAGCCGCGTTCCTAGCTCAGGTTGTTTTCAAAGTACCATATGCCTACCGTAAGCTATCCAATATGCAGCTTCTTCAGTACTCTTCTACAGCGTGACAATGTTCTGCAACATGATATCATTAGTGATACACATATTTTTTGTGATGATCGAGCAACAAGCAACGCCGTTCAAGCTTCGACCGATGATTATCAATCTTGGCAAAGCTATAGCAGGTGTGTGCTTTTACAAAAAGTTCTTTCCTTTCATGCAATTTTTGCAGAACGTACACCATACAAAACAGCGTCACCGATTGTTGCGCTTCGAGGAACAATAGGAGTATTTGTTTTCTTTTTGTATATAATATTTATATTCGCTTTGTTGGTTTTTTGAGCTGGATCAATAAAAGTCGAAAATTATCTGATAGTGTAGAGTATCTCATTGAAAGCTGTCACTTTCGTCAGGGCTTAATAAAGCAAAATATCCCTACGTCAGTGGCGGTTCCAGGATTTCGGACCGAGGGGGGGGGGGGGGAGGGCGCGGCAAAAATTTTTTTCAAATGAAGGTGCGTGGCGTTAGCCATGCACTCCGAAAAAATTCTTGGGGTGCTTCTCAAAATTTTCGCGGCCACCAAAATTTTGAAAAAGAGGCGTGGCGCTAGCCACGCCCCGAAATTTTTTATACAAAGCTAATTTGAATTTTTAAAAAATTTAAAAAATTATTTTGATTGTCTACAAAAATAAACAAGTCATTTGCACATTTTTATAACCCATGTAAGTAAATTTCAAAATTCGCAACCCTTTTCAAAGACAAACACAGGTAGAGCAGTGGCGGACCGAGGGGGGGGGGCCTCGATCCGCCAGTACCCTACCTGTGTTTGTCTTTTTTGCGTGCACGTGCAAAAGATGTTCTCCAAGCAACTTAAGCAAAGTAAGAGACACTTTTTAGCATAGAGCGGTGACTGTAAGTGAAGGCAGCATCCAAACAAGACCCCAGCATCTTATCACTTACTAGCTGACTTACCCAGCTCCTCTGGTCCGTTAGAACATATGATAAAGGTCTTTTCTTTATCTCTGTACAACCTTTCCCTGTTCCCACTTCTACATGCTAACCTATCCCAGCTGTTTTAGTATTCAGCATGCTCGATTACCCTGCCAAATCAAAGCTCCGTAGCTTAAACTTTGCGAATCGATAAAATCGATCAAAGTAACGGATAATTTTGAAAAATAATGTTGTATTCATAATCAGCATGCTCATTTACCCCCTCCCCCCACCTGTGTCAACTCCCAGCCCCTTAGCTTAAACGTTGCAAAAAATCGACAAAATCGATATGGACGAAAAGTAGCCTACGACACCCGCACCGCCCCGAAGTGCACGTGTGCCATTTTTGGTCCGGATCGGTTCAGAAAAGGAATTTTCTATTCGGAACATACGTACACCCCATACAGTCAGACAGACAGACACATACAAACAAACGTTCAGCTTTATACAGGGTGTCCCAAAAAAAGTGAACACTGTTTGATCGTTGATAACTCTCTTGCTTTCATGTCTTTCGCCATGCTTGAGGTATCATTCTGTAGAGCGAGAAACAACTTAGATCTGCAGCATGGACCGAATCATCAATCACTCTTTTTCACGATTACTGTATAAACTTTCAACATAAAGTGCTGCTATGGAAAAGGCCTTCAGATGAGAAAAATACCAAAAAATCAAGAAGTTTATGTAGTAAGGTTTTCAGGCGTGCTTATTCCAGTGCACAACTTTTTACTAGTTTTTTGAGCTTTTTAATGGCGCAATCACCCTTGTGACGAACATAGGAGAAACAGATTTCACTGTAAACCTGAAATAACTTGTGAAAGAAGCATTACAGTGAGGCGCAAAATTCATATTCAGAACAGCGACCTCGGTTTGTCCAGTACAAGAGTTTCTGGCTTGTTTGGTCTTCTTTCTGAGACAAAAATCGCTTTTGCTTTCCTAAAATCCTTCTCAGGTTTCATACCGTAATCCTACAGTAGTAAAGAGCGATTGATAATTCGTTCCACATTGTGGATGTAAGTTGACTCGCTCTACAGAATGATACCTCAAGCTCGGCGAAAAACCTGAAAGCAAGAAAGTTATTAACGATCAAACAGTGTTCACATTCTTTTGGGACACCCTGGAGATAAGATGTTATGAAGCCTCAGAAGTAGACCAACTGCGTTGCTCTGCCCCGCTCTTCTAATTTTGCTTCCAAGAAGAGACAGAGGACCTGCGGAGAATCCTTTTTGCTCCCGCCTCTTCTTTGCGCTTAAACCATCCAGAAATTGTCCTTTGGCGCGTTCTGACATGGCAAGCAATTGCGAGGCGTATGCTCTATGATGCGGCACTGTTGCACACGACGAGATTTCCTGTTGCATACGACGTGACCAGCGCCACTCGTCCACTTCTGCCTAGGGCTTCAGAAAGGGTCAATTTTGGGGCTTTTTCGTGATTTGCACCTCACCTCGGAAATCACTGCCATGGAAAGGCCCGGAAATAACAACAACATAAAAGTTGATATTTTGGGTGGAAACTGTCACTAAGTTATTACAAAAATGCTTGTAGTATGATTGACATGCACACATCAGGAGTGTGTGTAAGTAAGTACACTCGATGTCAATTAAGTGCTCCCTTTCCTGCAGCAGCTACGCGTCCGCACCACAATGTCCTATCGCGGCGACCCAGATCGGTGAGGCAAGTCTTGAATGCGCAGGCTATACGCGCGCGAACGCGGCGGCAGGCTTTGGGGTGCGATTTGGCGAGTGGAAAAGGGAGCGCCACATTGACACGGATTGTATTTGCTGCTGCATGACGAAGGCGCAATATCTTTGGCGCGAACGCGGCTTCATTAGCCGCAAAGCGCATGAGGCGCAGGATTCACAACGGTGAGGATATGCGCGCGCCGCGTTAGCGCCCCCTCGATTAATGCTGCTTCTGCGCCTTCGTCATGCAGTGGCATTTAGATGTCGCGACGATTGTCAAATTACCATTTTTTGATTTCGCAGTTTCGAGGCAGATGAAAACTTGAGACAGTGTCGGACTGCAGCCCTGAACTTAACTAGCGAGAGAGGTTGCAGCACTATCACTAGTAATTCTAATCGGCCATGCTCAATTTTTTTGTCATTCAGGTATACATGAAAAGTAAGTCAGAGTTTGTGCGCGCTTCAATCCTCCTTATTAAACATGCGTTCCCTACGCTTTTCAAAGTCTATAAAGCTGAGAAAGTAAGTATCATTTGACCCTGATCTGCGATGGGAAAAGAACTGAGGGCAATTAATCACAAAGTGCCTGATAATTTGCTTTGTATTCAGCCGACACTAGCAAAAAGGGGATTGCACGAATTTTGACGTGCAGTTGAAAATTGGAAGCTGTTAATATACCAAGTAAATGCAAGTATTTGTTGCCGAGCATTGTGACGTTTCTTAGGTTTCTTACGTTTCTTTCTTTTTTCTACATGATTATGCTTCCTTGAAAATGAATGATAACTAAACCTATAGCTCTCAGACATTGACCGGAACTTCATCAGAATGTTTGCGAAAGTTCCACCAGTTCCAGGGTCACCTGCGGAATTCCGTAAACGTGCTGCGGAAGTTCCGAAGAATGCGAACCACAACGACAAAAGCGAAGACCTAAGCGAGATCCGAACATTTCTCTATTGTCTACCATTGAGATCCGTTCACTATCTGCACTACGAATGACATTTTCGACAATGCACTATAGTTGTTGGCGAGATAACATTGTAACAGACAACACATTCAAAAACCTGCGGAAGTACTGGCTGGTCAGAGTGCCGCGGCGTTTGTAAAAATCCCGCAATTTCCCGTTTTCAACCAGTTTGACGTGAAAATCCTGCCGGAGTTCCCATTTTCAGCGTTTACACTTCTGTAATAAACAAAACTCTGCGGAAGCGCTGCAAATTTTGATTGTTCTGTGAAAATTCCGGTGAATTATCTGAACTGATGAACACGAGTTGATGGCACTGAAGCAAAACATTCTTTTACGCTATGGGAAAATCTTGAGCTTTTGAGCCAAAATTAACGTTCTGAAATATCAAAATTCCAGCTTTACGTTATGAATATCATGCAACATAAATGTTATGTCAACATTGCTTCAACCTATGTAGGGAATTCTACTTCTTTTTTCTTTCACTCATTCACTATCGTTTGAGCGCTATAATCTTTGGAATAGATGTGAAAGAATGCACTGTATTGCAACACATGAATTATGAAAAAGTCGTACTTTGTTCAAAAGTGCGCTGAAAACGCACAGTTTTTGCAAGAACCTGTTTCCTAGTAGGAACGACAGATCGAATTTCCACAAGATAATGTAGATAGACTCGATATGCTCAATCTAATTGTTCAAAAGGAAAATCGTCTATGCAAATTTTTTTTCGTGTGAAGACGGATGAGACGGTTTTACGTCAGTGCATTTTCTCCCCGATCCGTAATGGCGATAAAGTCGCCGTATACACACAGCAATGAAAATCGGATACGCCTTTCACCTTTCTTACGACATGAGCGTTAATCGCACAAAGTGAAAATGATACGCATAAATTACAGCGATCAAAGGCAATCTGAAAGTTTTATGAGTATCATAATAGGCACACAATCCATCGGGACGCTGGAAAAAGATTGAAGAACATAGAACGCAGTTTTGATTGTTATAGCCTTGACAAAGATCAAATTCTGTTACAAATAAATTTTTTGTGAGATGAAAGGAAGTCTCGTTAGAGTATGGCTTAACAAAAGGGATCACCGGCCTTTCAATTAACAATGACAATTCATTTTTTCGGGGAGAGGGAGCGCAACAAAATTGCGAGCAATTTCTGAGGTTTTTTAAACACTTTAACATTTCCTTGGACTCTACCGCGAAAGTGGAGGAAGCCAAGCCGAAATTTTTTGATAATTTCGATAATAATAATTTTCTGAAATTGTGAACATTATTCTAATCTTTACTAGTAAACAAACAAATGCGTATTTTTATAGCTCATGTGAATCTTCCAAAGCCTCTCCTCTCCCCTCCCTACCCCGTTTCTACTCTTCCCTCGATTCCTCATTTTCGTTTAGGAAAATTTTTCAGGCAAGTTGGGTGAATATCTAATCATTAACTTTGCGAATAGTTTGGGCACTGTACTGTGATTTCAGTTAGTCGTGCATACGCGTTTTTTAGTTTTCTTAGCTCGATTTTCAAATTCAGGTACTCCAATATTATTACAGAAGCTTTTCTGCTACTTTAAGCTCGTCATTACCATTGTCGAAGATCAAATTCGAAAAAAATAGATCGAGTTTTTCTCAAATTCTGGCATCGCTGGAAGAACAATTTTGGTTAGTACTTCCAATCGATGGAAAACTAAATATTTTCATTTCTGAAGGAGAACTCTTCTTGCTATTCTATAATTTTCCCAATTTTTCGCAACATAAGAGAGGCGCGCTTCTTTGCGCTATCAAAACGCCCTCTTTCACCCAATTTCAGTTTTTCGCCAGCACTGACCAGGCTCGTTCTCTCTCATTGTCTCTCATCAGAGGGCTTAAAAAGTGCGATTCGATTTTCGCAAGATCTCATATAAAAGGGATTCCGTAGTCTAATAAAGCATTATTCCTTCCTAAACGGGCTTTTTACGAGATTGGAACTGACTCACTCTCATCTACGAGAAAAACACATTCTTGCTTGTTGTTGTTTTGCAATTTGTCGTGTTACTTTATGAAATTGCTGTTTTTGAATTTTTGAAACTATAGATGTCGACTATTAGCGCCACCTCTGGCGCCTTAGTATTTTCCGGGGCTACTCTGATCGTTTCTCTATTCGCAGCAGCTGCTATATTCTCTCAAATTAATTCTATATGGAGTGAGCTGGATGCGGAAATGAGCACTTTCAAGGTATCAGAATCATTTTCCCTTTTTTGGGCAAAATCTCCTGAATAGAGCAGAAAAGTAGAAAAAGTAAGCATTTTCCCAAAGAACCTTTTAAGGTGCTCACAGATGATCTCTGGCAAGATATGATCGGTCTTGGAGCTGGTACACCAGCAAATCGACTTCGACGTCAAGCCTACGGCGGCTATGGAGCAAGTGGATCTCAACCCCCAGCTACCACCTCCTCTGGATCTACCCCAGCCCTAAATCCAACTCCTTCCTTCACTGGATATAATATGCCTAACTATATGATCAATCGTTGTGTATGCGCAATTGAAAATAACTGCCCACCCGGCCCAGCTGGAAGTGAGGGTGATGCCGGACCAGATGGGCTTGACGGCCTTGACGGTGTTCCCGGATTTGATGGACAAGATGCGACAGATATCTCGAATGAAGCACCTCAAGGCTGTTTCACATGCCCTCAGGGGCTACCAGGCCCGCAAGGGCCAACAGGAGCTCCAGGTATCCGAGGCATGCGAGGTGCAAGGGGACAACCCGGAAGACCAGGACGAGATGGAAATCCTGGAATGCCAGGTTGGTTAAATCGTTAAAAATTATGTTCTGTATATGAGCAAGTTTGATTTTGCTAATTTTAGGAGAGATGGGACCACCAGGACCTCCAGGATCGGATGGACAACCAGGTAAACCAGGAGAGAAGGGTGACGATGCAGAGAAGCCTGTCGGAAGAGCGGGACCAAGAGGACCTCCGGGAGAACAAGGGCCAGAGGGACCCGAAGGATCCCCGGGACGAGATGCTTATCCGGGTCCTCAAGGTCCAGTCGGTGAGCCAGGAGTTCCAGGATATCAGGCGAGTCTTTGAATCAGACAAGTATAAAGGTCTAAGTTTATTGAAGTCAAAATGCAATTTTTAGGGTGCCGCAGGACCCGACGGAGAAGAAGGACCAATGGGACCACCAGGAAACCCTGGTAAAGATGCAGAGTATTGCAAATGTCCTCCTCGAGACGCAAATGCTACCAATAACCCTTCTAGCAGTTACAGAAGGAAGAAGCACCGCAAGCACTAATTTGTTCTCTGATAATAAAACGATTTTGTTTACTTTTTTAGAATTGGATGTAGAAAAAAGGCCTCATCATAGAGCAAGCATTAATGATTTGATGATTTGTGCAATGATCAAAGAATTCTGGGTGATGGCCTTTTTGCACAACAGTACATCATCCGCCTTGCGACTTGTCGTCAAGCATCGCCTGCGCGGCAAATCTCTCCTGCCCATCCCCGTCCCCTATCCTTGTTGAGCAAAAAGTTGCGACAAGGTCATGAGCTTCTTGCCATATCAGGAACATATATTGTTAGAATTATATTGGATTGATATTGTTCAGCTCATTATTACAATTTCAAGTTTATGGATTTGGGGTACTGAAGTTAGTGTATGCAGAAAAAATCGAAAAATGTCATCTTAGCGCTATCAAAAAAAATTTTTTTTCTAAAGCAAATCAAGATCTAATCAACTATCATCGAACATTTATTAACAAACATGACGTTTCAGGTTACGGATAGCTATGTAGTATGCAAATTCAAATAAAAGGCACAAAGTCTAGTAACTTTTTTCTCTCGAAGGTCCTTGAATTCCTTGTTGCTGGAGAGCATTGATGTTGTTGTTTTGTCTTGTTGGTTCCTGGAGAATAATGACTTTCAAGGGATGAAGTCGTAAATCATTTGATGACTGCTACTATTCTTTCTCATTATGTTTAAGTATAATAGTGCAGTCATGGGAGATAAAGCTTTCATGTAAATCACTAACAATGCAGATTTTTTAATGATTTGCAATGGTGAGATTCGGCACAGGGTCTGGAGCAAAAAATAAGTTGATTCACTGCCTTCGATTTAGGGGCAACTGTTATCAACATAGGGCATACTTCATGCTTCCGCAGTGTGGATTCAAACTGTTAGTTGTAAGATTGTTTTTTTTTTGCAAATGCACCATGGCGGGTAGAGAAAAGAACACTCAATTAGGCACCCTCTCTGCGGACTACTGGTCCTAACAAAATGCACAACAGTAGGACGAAGCCCGCGGAGTATACTTGGGTAATTCGAAAATTTTTCATCGAATGAATGAATATCGAATAAATTCGAAAATGAAAAATTTCGAATAAACGAATATCGAATAAATTCGAAAATGAAAAAAAACCCGAATGAATGAATTTCGAATAAATTCGGAAATGAAAAAAACTCGAATGAATGAATTTCGAATAAATTCGGAAAATCAAAAATATCGAATGAATGAATATCGAATATATTCGAACAGTGGGAGTCGAATTTCGAATAGATATTCGAATGATTTTTCGAGTAATTACTGCATCATATCTAAAACTTGCTGACATTTCTGGCTAGAACCGATTCATTCATAATCAGCACCCTCATATCCCCTACACCAACTCCTAGCTCAAGCTTTTCCAGAAATCGGTGAAATCGATAAACAAAAATTTTGTTCATAATCAGCACCCTCACCTACCCCCCTGTACCAACTCCCAGCCTCGTAGCTTCCTTCAAATCGATAAAATTAGTCGGTTGGCAACTAGTCTATGCATCAGCAAAACGTCATATTTTACTTCCCATTATTGAGCGATAAGAGAAGCAGACGATATAAATTTTATGTTGTGCCCAGAGAGCTCTTCTTCAGATGGTTTGAAAGTTCACTTTGATCTATTTCGACCTTCAGAAAGATTCGAGGCTGAATTAGAGATTAGTTTCTTAGAAGGCCTGTTCAGAGGCATGTCAGATTCATAGCAAAATTAAGGTTAGTAGCCAGCTGTCTGGATTCTTTCAAATGAACAAATGGGATTTCATGGGAAATCAGTACAAGTTGTTTTCGAGAATAGATTAAAAATTAGTACAAAAAATAATCATCAGCGATTTCCACTGATCTATAGGTATTCAGTAGTAACATGCAGTGCATCTTCGTGATCCTTGCGCGTTATGCACCGTAGGGTAACCGCATTTGTGCACCTTGATCCTGCCGCTTTGTTCGACAGCAGACCTCACTTGTCAGGCGTCCACTAAAATTCAAGGGCAGTTTAGCAGAGTAGCAGCAAAAGAAATTGGCTGGAGCTGAAATTTAAAAATGAGGCTGGCACACGATATACATCTGTGGTGAGCTGGCGTTACATCTGAAGACATCTGTAACTCATTGATCGAAAAAGCATCAATTGAAATCCACATTTATGTTTTTTAATGTCGCAAGCAGTCGGAAGAATGCGACTTTCCATACAGTTCAAAGGTCGTTACGGTTGCAAAAAAAGATGCATTACCTGGTCTTGTAAAAAAATACGAAAACGAAGCGAGCTTGGTACTCACAGTTGGCTCTGCAACAAACTCGAATAATTTGGATACGGAGTTCACTTGAATACGAATTCGAATAAACATTCGAATAAAACATTCGAATAAAATCTATTCGAAAACCCGTTTTTCGATTATTCGAGTTTTCGAATATTATTCGAATCCTCGTTTTTTGATTATTCGAGTTTTCGAATTTTATTCGAAATCCTGTTTTTTGATTATTCGAGTTTCGAATTTTATTCGAAACCCCGTCTACTCAATTATTCGAGTTTCGAATATTATTCGAAAATGGAAAAACTCCGAATATCGAATTTTCGAATCGAATATATTCGAATGTTCTATTCGATTCGGACCCAAGTATACCGCGGAGGCGATGCTAATTGAGTTGTTCGTTCCTCTGTCCCACCATGGATGGTTTTACTCAAACTTCTGATAGGTTTCTCTACAAATCCTCAAAGCTGAGAAAAACTGCTAACACCATTTTAAAGGTTAGTGATTAAGTGATCAAAAACTTGTGTAGCACATCGGTTTGAAAGCTTAGAAGAAGCCGGAAAAATCATTTGAGTAAAGGAACCGTTGCTTTTGGTATGTTCAAAACGTTTTATCTATTAGTGAAAGGACACCATTCATTTATCACAGACGAGATCGCTGTTCGAGATCAGCCCTTAACGACACATTATTCTTCTGAAGACTACGGCCGTCAGATTGCATAAATGACTTTTTTGAGCCAAATATGACATCTGCATCTTCCATTATTACAGAAATTTCAACCTTGGGTGCCAAAGTCATCGCATGCATGGGTAAAGTTTTGTAGCTCCTATTTTTTTTCAAAACAATCAAAAATAATGAAAAAAAACGTACTGAGATAAAAACCAAACCTTACCTCCGTCTCACAAGATTTCTGCAATGCACGTTCCTGAGCCAAGGTTGTCGACATCATATGATGAAAGTAAGCCGGTAGTACAAAACTCGTTAAGCAGTAGTAGTAACTGAAAATTAGACATGAGTGAAATATTACTACCGCTTCTATACTAACAAGACTATAAACAGGAAGGCTAGAATCACATCTCGAAGCACTGTAGTTTTTTCTGGTGTTGGTACCTGACGCCCTTTGACGTTGATATTTCTAGTCGGGAGCCAAACGTCAAACATTGAATCGACCTAGGCTAAGATAGCTAATATGCTGTTGTGATGGTTCTGTGAGTCTACTACCACGATTGGTAACTTTTCGACTAGAGAGACATTTCAAAAGAACTAAATCTACATCAAGTCATTACAAAAGAAATAGATATGAAGCTTACCTTGTAATCAAAGAAATTACATGCGAAATCTATCCTTATATACAAATAAAAATTGGTATAACCTTAGAATGAAAAGATGTGTATGTTATCGAGCAGTTTACATTTTTTATGCTCTAAATCATTTAAAATACAACTAGCTAGGCATAGATCTTAAAGGCAGTGTCCGGGCACAAACTCGATTTTGAGATTTTTTGCTTACCCAGGCCCATTCGCTACGCTGAATCCGAAAATGCACATTGGAGAGTGCGAAAACGGCGAAAAACGGCTCTAACACGGGAGAGAGATCAGCAGGGGGGCGGGGTCCTCCCCACTGTGAATTCACGCTCCCAGCTTCCAGAGCGATCTTCTCGGTTCCGATTTCGAGTCATGCACGCACCTGGCCGGTGGAGATCTCAGGGCGCTAAAGGAATTGGGAAGATCGCTCCAGAAGCTGGGACTACGAAATTCACAGTGGGATTACCCCGCCACTTTCGATTTCCCTCCCGCGTTAGAGCCCTTTTTGCCGTTTTTGCGCTCTCCAATATGGATTTTCGGACTCAGCATAATGAATAGGCCCGGGTAAACACAAAATCTCAAAAATCGACTTTTTCCCGGACACTGCCTTTAAGCAGGGCTCGGCACAGCTGGCACAGGGCAAGCTGGATATCGTTTTTAGGGCGAAAAGCAAAGGGAATATCGTTTTTCCGGGATCGGGGCGAAGAAGAGCCGCGAGAATGCCGCCGGCATGCCACCGGCATGCTGTTCATCAAACAAACAAAGGCGTTGTTTTCAGCCAAAACGCAATAGTATGACACCAAATTTGGTGTGTGCATGCGCGTTGGGGACCCAAACTATTCCCAACAATTTATGAAACTTATGTGAATGAAAGATCTGCTGAACTTTTATCTGAATTAGCTGGCACCGTGCCAGCTGGGTGCCAGCTGAGGTGGCACCGACACTTTGCTCACATATTTTTTTATTCTTTTTACATAAAATGTATGTCCAGTGTAAAAGTTTACATACAGAGATTTCAAAGATTTCTGTTTTCTATTCAACGTTTTATAGCGATCTGAAAATTACTCGGTCTGCTCCGCTGTCGAAAAATCGGTTTTTTCTGCTCCTTAAGATGCGACAACCACTCAAAAAGTTCAGAAAGCTGTGAAAATTTGTTCGAAATCAGCATCGTGAAAACCCTACTACATACTTTTACATACTCAAAAAATAATGAAGGGCCTTCAACAGGTCAAAGGGGACTTCGTACGAAATTTTCAAGGTCAAACGGGACTTTGTTTTGAAATTTCTCTGGTGCCAGCTCGTGCAGAGCCGTATCTTAAGATCTTCGACGCCAGCGGATTGTAATGTTTGTTTTTTATTTTCAAGTCAGCGAATGACGGAAAGTTTATCGATAAAAAGTGATTTCACTCTGGTTTTTTAGGCAACAATAGAAATCAAATCGTGGAGCATGCTGCATAATAAATTCAATAGACTGCTACCCGTTCTGCAATACCTCCCTTCCTTCATCTCAATCCTAGAATTGCATAATTCCCATGTGTGTTAAAGATATTTCGACGGCCAATGTCAGCAGGTTTGACGAATCAAGCTTTAAGAACACCTCTTACAAACAAGGTATGCAGTCGAGATCATTTTGGCACCATCAAAACCTACTCGATGGGTACTATAATGATCGAATCGGAGAATGGCAATTGCGTGTTTATCACCCTTTCTTGGCCTTTTGGATGCACTGAGTCCAGAATGTGCTCGAAATTTCTCGAGGTTGTCAAAGAAGTACTATGGCGTTTTCTGGTTGGAACTTGCTGAAAGGACTGGACAGCGATTCCCGCCAAATGAGGCGCGATTGGCTGTCTGAGCCAACCAGCCAACTGCCGAGTGACTTCACCTACAATCTCTTACAGCCAATCGCTATTTCTGACAGAAAACTCTGCTCCAGCCCCTTCAGCAATCTCCGAAGACGGGAACTGCCCCAAAGAAGCACCTTTCTGACATCTTCAACAGATTTCAAGCACCTTACTGCACTCAGCGCATAAGAGGCCATGGGGAGGATGGGAAACTTGCAGTCCCAATTCTCCTAGCCACTGCCTTGAAAGTTTGCTTTGGTCACCTAATTTGCTGGACATTTTGGCGATCGGAATTTACACTAATTTTCATTGACGGACTGCTCAACGTTGATGGTGAGCAGTCACCCAAATTTTCAACTTTGCAGTTTGTATAAGGCTCAACCATTATGTTAACTGATGTTAGATAAGTTAATGGCTCGTAGTAAACCCCTGTTTAGCGCAACTCGGCTGGAGGCGGGCCACGTTGAACGTAGACCGCCTCAGTCCGGCATCCGTGAGCTATTGATTTGGATGCGAATTGCTTTCTAGACATAGAGATCTTGGGAGTTCCCGAAAACAAAGCTCTTTGAGCATGTTTGGTCGAGCGGCCAAGTAAATAGGTTACGCGCAAGACCCTGGTTCGAAGCCGGCTAGTCGCAAATTTTTGCGCCCCCAGGACAATCTTTGATAGCGGATGCTACCGAGAAAAGTCGATGGCGACCGCTATCAAGGATATCGCTAAGCAAATGAATGGATAAAACAAAACTACCATATTTTCACGAGGATATCACGAAAAACGAAAATTTTGGAGCATAGAGCAGATGAAAAAATCAAAAAATCCTTGTTTCAAGCAATTTATTGAAAGAAAAACGTAAGCAAGCTCTGAAAAAAAAAAGGAAATCCGAGAAATCCTGTTTTCTTGCTTTTCTCGCCGCAATCAGCTGTTTATTGGTCCTATCCCGTTTACGCCGCAGAAATGTGCAAATTCGGGAGTTTTGCACCGCAGCAGTACGTCAACTGAAATGCCGCGTAAGTTACTCACGAAACTTACGGATGTCTGATTTTCCACTTTTGCACACTATCTCTCTCGGATCACCCTAGAATTCAACCTCGGATAAGTGGAATTCTGGTGAACTGACTGAAACACTTGACCAGATAGTCTTCTGACTGTTGAACTGACTATCCTAAAGCAAGGGAGGATGGGGAGGATCAGGTTCACCCGAGAAAGTTCTTCTGAATGACTAATCTTAGGTCACTGGGATGAACGGGGTTTACTACGTGCCACTCTTTTTTGAAGGTGAGGATGAACTGTCAAATCAACAAAAACACAGTTTTAGGTGGTTTTCAAATTAAGTGAGAGCAACCTGCACTTCATTAAGTATGAGTGAACTAAGGAATATCTCAAATCTTAAGCAATTCGGCTCTACGGTATACTCACCGCAGATATGAAGGTTGGGCAAGATTTCATGTTACTAGCAAACAGTCCAATATATCTGGGTTGCGGATGTTTCAAAGTTATTTTCGTCAAGTCTATGCCTTCAATTTCATTTGAATATAATGCTGGTCTAAATTTTCTGATTATAATCTGAGTCTGAAAGAAAAACGTAGTTATACTGCGTTGGCGAGAAAAGGGCCTTATCGAATTATACCTGGTTTGATGCATCGATGTAGATGTTGCCGTACATCATGGGAATATTTATATCAGATAAGCTCACTAAGGAAACAGTAGCTGAAAAGTTACTCAAAAAATAGCAAGCTTACTGTTTTTTCCATTCATATATGTTGTTAAGTGGTACGAAAAGTTGGTGGTGGCAAGAGGGATGACTCCAGGAGGAACACGCATTTCTGTTTTTGTTGAAATATGTGTGACATATCATAAAACTTGGTAACAAATTCTCACTCTTCGTCAACATAACTGAGTTGTTCAGCAGCGGCTTCGTTGTTCTCGTAGGATCGGGAAAGTGGTGCATGAATGCGATTATAACACTGAATTTATCGTAGTAGAAGAAAAGTACATAGGTCCAAAGACTTTTTTGGCTTACGTGTGGTTTATGCCATAACAAAGCGATGGATTAAAAGTGATCCGGAATCTTGTTTGGCGATGGTTGTACACGCGATGAAATGGCGCAGGAAACACACGAATGTTATCGTCAATTTCGTTTGCGGGAAGGAAGCTGAAAGGTTTACAGTGTTAGATGAATTTACTCTTTTGGCAGGCTTGGATTGAAGATGACACCACTTGGATTGTAATTTCACTTCAAAGGCAATCAGAAGTTTTTATCAATAGACAAAGAATGAATGTGTAACAATCAAAATCGAAAATCGCCAAAATTGTTAAACTTAATGTATGACCTTAAAAACCAATATTGTATGCGTAATCAGCATTTCCGCCGCCTAGTGCCATCAGCCGCTTATCAATCCATCATACTTCGCCGAAAAAAGCTCGAAATTGCACAAAAACGCCCAAAAGCGTTTGAAAAGCTTAAAAGCGCCAGGAAGAGCCGAAACGCCTCTTTTCGCGCGCAAGTAATAAAAACGCAAAAACTACTGCATGACGAAGGCGCAGAAGCAATATTAGTCAAGCGGAAGCGAACGCGGCGCGCGCGTATCTTTACCGTTGTAAATCCTGCGCCTCATGCGTTCTGTGGTTTATAAAACCGCGTTCTCGCTCAAAGATATTGCGCCTTCGTCATGCATCAGCCTATACAGTGCTGGACAAAATTATAGGTCCACTCTAAAAAGTGCCATAACTCACTCTGTTGTCAATAAAATGTACCAAAATTTGGTACAGCCGTGTGTTTACCAGCCTACTATCAGTTATCAAAATGGGTCTTGTTTTCGTTTCATTATTCAAGAAAAAATTGAAAATTTTGAAAAACGCAGGCTTGAAGGCTGGACATAATTATGGATTCACCTCGAGTTTCTATTGATTAAAGCACTTCTTAGCTTCCGAATTTCTTAGGTAGGCACAAATCTGAAAACGTTGAACAGCTGCTTTGGTCAAGCTGTGTCATACACTCAAAAAGAACTGATTATCTGCTTTTTTGCCTCAAAAATGCAGATAATCAGTATTTTTCTATTTTAGTATTTTGTATTTTTCTCCACAAACCTGCGTTGAATAAGAAATTCTGCAGTTCCTCAGCTAGATCGGAAGCGACGGGGTTTCTTCTACCTTCAAATGCTTTTTGACGTGAGGATTGGGGAAAAAATCCGACTTTTTGCTGCTGAAGCAAATCCGACATTGACTTTATCGGGAGAGTAAGCCTCAGTTTCTGCCCTAAAATTCTTTATGCATTCATTATAACCTCAGGATATTGTAGAAGCATTCTTTACACAAGAATAAAGCTGGTTGCCATACTTGCAAGTGTCCACAAAGCTGCCTTGCTTTTCTTTTCGAAGCATGCGTTGTGTGTGCAACGTAATGATGGTGTTACGCAGACCCAAAATAGCTTGCCAAGTGCTACCTCCTCAGATTTTTAACAGTAATTATTTACTAGATAGTGGATGCAGCTTGTAGTGTATGTTAGCACATGATTCTTGTGAAAATTTTGGTCGGAGCCACAAATAGCTTTGGTGCTTGTCGTAATCAGTTTCTGCAGGTGATTTCAGTAACTATACTCGAATGCTAGGATCTCTAGAAAGTTGTAACCATGGAATACGGACTCTTCTTCATAGAAACAATGCCTTTACCTTATTAAATGCTTCTGAGAATATTGTAAAAGAAGTATGAAGGCAGAAATTTGAGCTCAAGGTTGCAGTATTGTCAATGTCAGTTTTGCTTCACCAGCAAAAAGTCAAATTTTTTCCTCAATGCTCACGCCAAAAAGCATCCAGAAGGTAGATGAAACCCCGTCGCTTCCGACCTATCTGACGAGGAAGAGTTCCCAAGTCAGCTCGGCCAACTCGGATGAGTCATACATCACCGTAACGAACTTAAAACGCTGATTCCAAATCTGCTTTCCTTTTCTGCGGAGCGACCTTCCGAGAGAAGTTATGAGCGTCTAAAAGTCTAAATTTGTCATGTTTTAAATGGCTTAAAATTGGCGAAACCTGCATGGAAACACATGAGAGTGATTTACCAGTTTTGTATCAAGTATATTGATTACAAGGACGGAACATAGACAATGAAATTTCGTTAGGTGTTGTTTTACAGCTTTCAACTGATTTTAAGTCATTTTGAACATGACAAATTTAGACATTTAAACGCTCATAACTTCCCTCGGAAACTTGCTCCGCAGAAAAGGAAATCAGATTTGGAATCAGCGTTTCAAGCCCGTTACGGTGATGTATGACTCATCCGGGTTGGCCGAGCTGACTTGGGAACGTTCCCTTGTGAGAAACTGCAGAATTTCTTACTCAACGCAGTTTGTGGAGCGGAATATATGTGGAAGCATTTCCAAGGCAAAAAAGCAGATAATCAGTTCTTTTTGGAGGTATGACACAGCTTGACCAAAGCAGCTGTTTAACGCTTTTGAATTTGTGCCTACCTAAAAAATTTGGGAGCTAAAAAGTGCTTTGATCAGTAAAAACTTGAGGTGGACCTATAATTTTGTCCAGCCTTCAAGCTTGCTTTTTTCAAAATTTTCAATTTTTTCTTGAACCAAACGAAAACAAGACCCATTCTGATAACTGATAGTAAGCTGGTAAACACACGGCAGTGCCAAATTTTGGTACATTTTATTGACAACAAAGTGAGTTATGGCACTTTTTAGAGTGGACCTATAATTTTGTCCAGCACTGTGTTTTGCTTCATTTTCTGTCGTCTGCACATCAAGATAATGTCAGAATACTACCAAAAGTTCCAAATCGGATGAAACAGATGTAACTTATCAACTGTGGTGTCTAAAAAACTGCATGGTATTTTTGCTTCTCATGCGTCTATTCAAACTTTTCTTTTTTCTAGGAATTGACGCCAAGGACTCACGAGCGTGGGTGTGATCCGTATCCATCCGGCTTAGAAATTTTAGTATCTTACAAAGCTGAATGTCCGTTTGTATGTCTGTCTGTCTGTATGTCTGTATCAGTGGCGGACCGAGGGGGGGGGCGAGGGGGGGGCGCCCCCCCCCCCGAGAATGGGTCGCGAAATTTTTGAAACTTACCTATATGGGTTGTAAAAATGTGCAAACGACTTGTTTGCACTTGAAAATAATTTTAAAAAATTTCAAAATTTTTTAAAAATTCATTTTAGCCTTACAAAAAATTTTTTTCCGGGGGCGTGGCTGACGCCACGCCCCCTTTTTCCAGATTTTAGGGGTCGGGGACCCGCAAAAATCTTGAGAAGCACCCCAAAAGTTTTTCCGGAGTGCGTGGCTAACGCCACGCACCTTCTTTAGAAAAAATTTTTTGTCGCGCCCCTCCCCCCGAAAAAAATTTCTCGGACCGCCACTGGTCTGTATGTCTGTACGTATGTTCCGAATAGAAAATTCCATTTCTGAACCTATCCGGACCAAACTTGGCACACATACACTTCGCGCCCCGGCGGGTGTCATAGGCTACTTTTCGTCATCGATCGATATCGATTTTATCGATTTTTTTGCAGACTTCATCTACGGGGCTGGGAGTTGGCACAGGGGTGATCACACTATCGATATCACACTTTCTCCGCAGAACGTCTCTTCCCGTGTGTTACGATAGGTGTATGGTAGGAAGCCAAAATCATGAATTCGGCTGCAGTTCGGTCCATATGGCTCATTCGACATGCTGATTACGAATATCATCTCTCTCTGCATATTGGGACCTTTTCATAGAGTTGTGGTGGTTATATGGCATGGGGTCGAAAACATACATTTGCTTTAAACTTCGTCTAGGGTGGTCATTAAGTGCGCTGAACATGAATATCATGCTGATTTCGCAGGATAGTGCATTTTCTTGGACTACGGTGGGTGTAGATGGGTCGAAGTTCAAGATTTGCTCAAAACTTTACCTGCAACGGTTCACACGTATAGCTTATAAATATGATGCTTGATCGCTGTCACAACGCATTATTGTGAAGTTATGGTGAGTTGCAGGGTTTGAATGGACATTTTTTCGCTTTCGAGCCAATTTAGATCCCAGATATTCACGAAATGGGGAAACGGTCGTTTTGCATGGCGGTCTAGCGCCATCCTGATAACCTGTCCTAACGCGTAACGCACGCAATCTCCCTCCCCCTGTTCTTGCTTAGGCAAAAGCCGCCGAAGGGTGTCTCGCGCGCGGCAGTGGTCCTATAAGGAAACTGATAACCTGTCCCAACGCGTAACGCACGCGGCAAATCTCCCTCCCCCTGTTTTTGCTTAGGCAAAAGCCGCCGAAGGGTGTCTCGCGCGCGGCAGTGGTCCTATAAGGGAAAGCATTACGGTCGTGGGAAACTTTTATACCAACGAATTGCCTTTATTGTGGGGATTGAGCACGATATTCTTGAAATAGCACTTTGGGTAATTTTCTGCCAAGGTTTCAGGCAGGTTCATGATTTCTAATCGCTGCCATTTACCTACCGTAACTCTGCGAAAAGGTCTCAAAACGCAACGAGAGAGTTTTAAACGTGGTCAGAAGGTCGAATCTCTCTAGACCGAGTTTCAGCCAAACTGAGAATTTGCGCCTCTGCAGTATACCTACCATAACTCAGTGAAATCGCCCCAAAATGCCGAAGGAGTATGATATTCGTAATTAGCATGTCAATTAGTTCCCCTCAAAGTTTCAGCGAAATCCATGATTTTAGCTTTTACATGTACCCAACGTAAACCCAGAAAATGGCGCTATCGCGCGAAATGATTACGATATTCATCATCAGCGGCTTTAATAATCCCCGTGTACCGACTTTGAGCAAGATCCATCACAAAAACATTTTGGGGCCGTATAGCCGAATAACGCCATCAGTTTTTAGAATTATCCCAGCTTTTACCGATTTGATTGGATTTTTTTTGCAATGTTTGAGCTACGGGGCTGGGGGTTGTTGAGGGAGGTAGGTGGGCATGCTAATTACTAACACAGCGGGAATAGGGAATTGCATGTAGAAGTGGGCACAATGAAAGATTCTACGAGGATAGGGATAAGACCTTAATCATAGCACTGACAGGGCCGGGCGGAGCCGGGTAAGCCAGCTAGTTCTGACATAATTTCGATGTGCAGACGACAGAAAATGAAGTAAAAGTAAAAGTAATGAAGTAATAAAGTAAAATACTTATTAATTACTTGCGCGCTAAAGGAGACCTTTCGGCTCTTCATGGCGCTTTCGGCTTTTTCGGATTTTTTCGACGCTTTTAGGCTTTTATGGGACTTTTGGGCTTTTTTCGACGAAATAATCAATACCTATCGACACCTATGACCCACTTCCCTTGAAGTATATGTCTGCGAAGTTTGATCAAGATTGTTTCAGAAATAGTATTTCTTATTCGGATCATGCATAACACTAGCTTTGTTTTATTACAAAGATGATATATTATTTAGTTGTTTATTGTCTGATTGTGAGAAAATTATGCTATCTGGCAAATTTGAATTGGATCTTATACTGGCAATGTTGATATGCTTTAAACACGAAATTATGTCAGAGATAAACAAAACAGGCAACTTTAGGGCAGTGACTGGAAAAATTGCAATTACCAGCATTCCATCCCTTTGGCCTCTTGAATGGAGTGATGTGGTGCGCTTGAGGAGTCGAAAAGTGCTTGCTATGGCGTTCTTGGTTTTGGAGATCTGGATGAGCGAGGGATCGCCAACTGAGTTGCGATTTTCTGGCTGCCTAGCCGATCAGCCAACTGCCGCCAAAATGGGTGGAGTTATATCCTGCAGCCAGTCGCTGTTTTTGACGGGAATCCCCCGCCCAACACCTCAGCACTCTCCAAGGCCGGAAAACGCTGGAAAAGCACTTTTTTGACCTTTCCAGCACAGTCTGTGACTCGGCGGATCCAGGAGGCCATGTAGGTGCGAAATCGCAGCCGCGATTTTCCCGAGCCACTGCCTTTAAGCAGAGATTGACCCTGAGACGACTTTCCTGAAGGACAAGCCACTTGTCACAGACACTTATCAGAGAGAATGCGATACATTTGTTAGGACAATGTAGGGAAACGTCTCAGGTGTTTTGCCCACTTCTGAGGAAAAACGTCAAATTAAAAAGAGAGATTTTGTTCCTGTGTGAATTTTGGGGATGGGAAAGAAAGCGGCACTTCTCATGAGAGGGCGCACTCTGAGTCAATAGACGTCAAAATTAACGGGAAGGCTACGAAAAAGTTAGTCAAAAAAGATTGGAACTCCAAATGAGGATTATCGGGCTGACTCAAGGGTTAAAAAATTTGTTTGGTAAGAAAACTTGGAGGAAGAATTTCGCAGCCGGCTGATATATGTTTGCTAAAAGAAAACGAAAGCTAAATTGTTTACAGCGCGTTACATAAAAACAAATCGTCTCATCTATTTTTTAAGATGATTTTTATATGGCAAAGCTATCCTACAGTGCTATTGTAAAAGAAAGCTCTCCAAAAACTTTTATAAATCTCAACTATCTCATCTATGTATCCGCCCTTATAAATTTGCTACCGAACCGTAGGTCGCTAGTTTCCATAAAACCTATAACTGTTTCATGCCGAAGACCTTAGATGTTGGCTACTCATGACTAAAATGTTGTAGAAATTTTAAGCTATAAAGCCATAAATGATGTAATGACCAAATGAAATTTGCAGTTGTTTCTCGACTGTGAAGTTTTCTCCATCCAAAGTCGATGATCGCATATGGAAAAAATTTTGAAATGAAAGATTCTATAATCTTTTGCGGCTATCAGCACAGTTCAAAAGGTATTATCATGCAAGCAGACCCCGTATATTAGGTTGCAAAAGGAACATCGCTTTCTATACTTTTATTAAGATACCGCGACAAGATTTCTTAGAACATACGAGGTGGCTGCTCGATAGCGCAAAGCAGACTCTTCTAAAACTCTTGGCATGGATACTTCCGCACCTAAGATCCAGTTGAGTTTGATGACCAAATCAACTTCTATCAAACTTTCAAAAAAATGACAAAACTTCCAAATGCTCCAAAAAGCCGATTTTTGTCCAAAGTCTACGGATCTTCTCTCTTGCTCAGACTTTATATCGCAATCGGCCATTCATATGTAAAAAAATTATTTTCTTGGTTGGATATCGAGACGGGAAATTACCGTACTTTATCAAAGCAATAGCGAGCTTCTCAAGTAGTCCTATACTATAACTTCAAATTGTATGAGAGCTAGTCTGATTCCTGAAATTTCTGGCAAAAATTAATAGATTCAAAACAAAATTACAGCTACTATGACATTTTTCGAAAACTAACTCTTGTGAAAGGGTGAATCGATTGTACTTGTTGAAATTTACAGCATATTCTACAACTATTCGTATGGAACCAGCCCAGCATTGCTTAAGCAAAAGCATACCAATTTCCATTTTTTTCACTTTTCAGTCATGGAGTAGAGCAGTTAAATGCCCTCTCGCATATGAGTCTAGTACTGAAAGTACATCTCTCAGGTGTTCGTCGTAGCCATTTTTCAGGCACAGAGCTGGTATTTATTAAGATTTGAGATATTGGCTTTGCAGTTAAAGTGAATCACACTGCGGAAGTATAGATGTCGTAGCTTGCTTTGCTTTATCAAATAACTCCCTTCATCATTTTCTAATTAGCCTTGCATCACATCAAGTGAGAAGAAAATCTTTTTCCAACGCAGAAACAACGTGAGCCTCTTCGAGGATGCAATGCACCGGTAAACGATAAGCAGAATAGCATCAAGCAAAGATGCCAGGTTTAAATTACTTGCGTGTAATTTGAACAGATAGTGACCAGATCAGCCCTCGGCACGAGGTTGCTTTCCGAAATGCAGAAAGCGACGTCCTTGACTTTCCCGAAAATGAAGTTTCCTTTAACCCTAAACCATAAACGTAAAAACCCCCAAAAACGAAAAGTCCACTAAAAAACGTAACTTAAGTTATGTTCTTGGCCAAGATCCCCTTTGCATTTTGTCCCAAAAACGATATCCAGTTTGCTTATAAGCCACCTGTGCCGAGTCCTGGCCTTGTCCAACCTACCTTAGGTATTAGGAGTTGTCAGCAACACTAACTAGCACCGTATGCAGAGCTAATCCAGGGAGATGGTTTTCGAACGGGCGGTCTCCAGCCCCGCCCTAATTTGGCTTGTCTTAACACGTCACGCACACCGCTAATATTTCCCCAGCTCCTTGCTTTACTTAAGCAAAAGCTGCCGCGGGGTGTTTCGCGCACGAGAGTGGGCTTACTTACTATGTAGATCAGCTCTGCATATGGCGCTGATCAACGTTGCCGTCACCTCACGACTCCCGCGCTGGATTCCGCGTCGCGTCTTTTTCGCGAACATGCCCTCTAATCACTTCCAATCAATTGAGGCTCAGCCAGGGCTCAGCACAGCTGGCACCGGGTCAAGCTAGATATCGTTTTTAGGGCGAAAAGCAAAGGGGATATCGTTTCTACAAGGGCCGAGGCGGAGAACTGCCGCAAAAATGCCGCCGGCATGCCACCATGCCATTGGCAAGCTGTCCATCAACAAACAAAGGCGTTGTTTTCAGCCAAAACGCAATAGTATGACACCAAATTTGGTGTGTGCTTGCGCGTTGGTGGACCGGGACTACGGGCCAAAAATTTATGAAAACTTATGTGAATGAAAGCTGTGCCGAACTTTTTTTTGAATTTGCTGGCACCGTGCCAGCTGGGTGCCAGCTGAGCTGGCACCGTGCCAGCTGGGTGCCAGCTGAGCTGGCACCGACACTTTGCTCACATAAGTTTTCATACTTTTTTACATAAAATGTATCTACACTGTAAAAGATTACATACGGAGAAGAAACAGTTTCATAATGTTCTCTTTTCAGCGTTTTATAGCCATTTGAAAACCACTCGGTCTGCTCCGCAGTCGAAAAATCGGCTTTTTCTGCTTCTCAAGATGTGATTCGTCCACTTAAAAGCTCAGAAAGCTGTGAAAAGATCTTTCATGAAATCAGAAATGCATGAAAACACTACTACATTTTTCTACAATAATATAAAAATGATGCGGGTTTTCAAACCAGGTCAAAAGGGACTTCGTACAAAATTTTCAATATCAAACGGGACTTCGTTTTGAAATTTCCCTGGTGCCAGCTCGTGCCGAACCCTGGGCTCAGCCTTTCCCACGCTCGCTCTATGAAAGTGATCAGAGAGCGTGTTTGCGGAAGAGATGCAGAGTTGAGTGCGGGAGTGGAGATGCTGCGTTTGATAAGGCCTGTAAGCTCCGCTTCCAATATCTTATATATAAAGCTGAATGTTTATTTGTCTGTATGTCTGTCTGTATGTATGTCTGTCTGTATGTATGTTCCGAATAGAAAATTCCATTTCTGAACCGATCCGGACCAAACTTGGCACACATACACATCGGGCCCAGGCGGGTGTCATAGGCCACTTTTCGTCATCGATCGATATCGAGTTTATCGATTTTTTGCAAAATTCGAGCTATGAGGCTGGGAGTTGGCACAGGGGGGGAGGTAATCGAGCATGCTGATCACCCCCGTGGGGGTGATCAGCATGCTCGATTACACCTCCCTGCCAAATGTATGTGTGTATGTGTGCCAAGTTTGGTCCGAAGTGTATGTGTGCCAAGTTTGGTCCGGATCGGTTAAAAAATGGAATTTTCTATTCGGAACATACGGCGGAGCCGGGTAAGCCAGCTAGTTCTCAAATAAAGTGAACTTAAGTCAGTCTAGTTTGTAATGAGAATGATGCACATGGGAAGTGCCTGCTCAAGATTTCGCCGTTTTGGGAGCAACAACTTCCCTCTATGTTGTTTCAAACCTCTGATTGCAAAAACGCCCATTGAATGCATTCCAAAAGTCTCCAACGTTTGTGAAGCGTGCGAGATACAAATGATTTGTGAGATACATTTTCTTCCTTCATGGTTGTCCAGATCTGCTTGCAGATCCATCTACTGCCCTCTACGATGTAGATTTGGTCTCGAAAAAAGGTTGAGATGAAATGCCGGAACTAGGTAACGATCTCACAATGTGGACAGTACTTCGACTTTGTCGTTGACAAAACACGCAAGCAATCACAAGATTCAAAGTACAATATGTAAGCTCGAGAGCTTGCGCGTTACATGGGTTGTAAGCACACTGGAGACACATACGTTTCGGCAATGTCGCTGGAGAAGTGGTGGCCATCTGCTCTGGATAAAAACGAGAGCCCTGCAAAACTTGTTAGAATGAGCGTAAGTTGCGCAGCATAAGTTATATGACCTGGCGAAACTTGCAAAAAAAGCAACGCCAATTTCGGCAACATACTCAAAAATGAACCTCCTCTTAATTTAGTTTCTCATCGATAACTCACCTCATTTTCATGCAGTCAAATCATCTGCGTTATTCTATCCGAATACTGTAGAACTCAAATTGGGCTATGGTCGGAGTCACACCATGTACTTTTTGATTCATCGGGAGGCTGCTGGAAGGCGGGGCTTCGAGCCTAATTAGGGCTAGGGTGATGAGAGAGCACGCTCGCGAGGGAGACGCAGGCTGTGCGGAAGGTGCGAGCGGCCGCCTTCCACCAGCCAATTCCGTTGGATCGCCGGGAGCTAGCTCTTATTTAGGCTGTTGTTGCGCTGGGGCGTTGCTTCGGAACATTGTCTAAGGCCTCGGACAGAGTTCACGCGACTTGATCGTTGCGATTTAATCTCCGCGATTTTCATTCATTTTCATTTTACAGTCAAAAATTTCGAGCTCGAAAAGTGTCACAACCGAAATGCAAACTGATCGGCATGCAATGAACTCGTAAGAGTTGTCTTGTAGCGATTGAATCGCGACGATCAAATCGCGTGAACTCTGTCCGAGGCCTTAGACATGAGAGCCTTCATACATCTCATTCGCCTTTCCGTGTACATCTAAGAGTATATCTAAAGCCTTTTCCTGATTTTTTGTTATAGCTCTATATCAATACATATGAAATGCCTTTAGCATTCAAACTTCGCTGGTAATAATATTAGGTTGTCCCATAAGTCTTTTTATACCTGAATTTTCAGCGACATAAATCAGTCATTCTTGAACTGCTGATAAAATGCGGGGTACCTTTCGACAGATCAAAGTAAGCTCTACAAGATGGCGTTCAAAAGTTCTCAGCAAGCTCAATCCGCAACAAGTTCCAAACCAAAATAAAAAATTTTCCGAATTTCCGAAAAAACGGAAATCACTTTTTCATGCATATACTCTCCTCATTGGATATCTATACATGCGCTTGCTGCATTTTTCCGATGGCTAGAAACCAAGAAAAAAATAATGCGCTCATTTTTCAAACTTTGCCTGTATCACTTCTGTCTACCCCGCAAATGGTTGATTATATAGCTTATTCACTCAGAATTACTGTTTAAAATTTGCAGCCTATTAGGTGCTGTAGTTCTTGAGAAAAATCGAATTGAAGGTCCGAATATGAAAAGACTTATGGGACAACCTAATACAGTGCTGGCCAAAATTATAGGTCCACTCTAAAAAATGCCATAACTCACTCTGTTGTGAATGAAATTTTTCAAAATTTGGTAGAGACGTGTGTTTGCCAGCCTACTATCAGTCTTCAAAACGGTTCTCGTTTTTGTTTGATTATTCAAGAAAAAAATAGAAATTTTGAAAAAAGCAGGCTTGAAGGCTGGCCAAAATTATAGGTCCACCTGGGGTTTTTACTGATTAAAGCACTTCTTAGCTCCCGAATTTTTTTAGGTAGGCACACATCCGAAAACGTTAAACAGCTGCATTGGTCAAGCTGTGTCATACCTCCAAAAAGAACTGATTATCTGCTTTTTTGCCTTGAAGATGCATTCACATGTATTTCGCTCCACAAACCTGCGTTGAGTAAGAAATTCTGCAGTTTCTCAGCTGGATCGGAAGGGACGGGGTTTCATCTATCTTCTGGATGCTTTTTGACGTGAGCATTGAGGAAAAAATCCGACTTTTTGCTGCTGAAGCAAATCTGACATTGACAGTACTGCAATTCTGAGCTCAAATTCCTCCCTTCAAACTTCTTTTACAATGTTCTCAGAAGCATTAAGTAAAGTCAAGGCATTGTTTCTATGAAGGGGAGTCCGTATACCATAGTTACAACTTTCTAGAGATCCTAGCATTCGAGTATAATTACTGAAATCACTCTGCAGAAACTGATTACGACAAGCACCAAAGCTACTTGTGGCTCCGACCAATATTTTCAGAAGAATCATGTGCTAACATACACTACAAGCTGTATCCACTATCTAGTAAATATTTACTGTCAAAAATCTAAGTGAAGTAGCACTTGGAAAGCTATTTTGGATCGCGTAACACCATTATTACGTTCCACACACAACCCATGTTTTGGAAAAGAAGCAAGGCAGCTTTGTGGACACTTGCGAGTATGGCGAACAGCTTTAATCTTGTGTAAAAAATGCTTCTACAATATCTTGAGGTTATAATGACAATGCATAAAGGGTTTTAGGGCAGAAACTGAGGCTTACTCTGCCGATTAAGCCGATGTCAGATTTGCTTCAAAAGCAAAAAGTCGGATTTTTCCTCAATGCTCACGTCAAAAAGCATCCAGAAGATAGATGAAACCCCGTCCATTCCGATCCAGCTGAGAAACTGCTGAATTTCTTACTCAACGCAGGTTTGTGGAGCGAAATACACGTGAGTGCATCTTCACGGCAAAAAAGCAGATAATCAGTTCTTTTTGGAGGTATGACACAGCTTGATCAATGCAGCTGTTTGACGTTTTTGTATGTGTGCCTACCTAAAAAAATTCGGGAGCTAAGAAGTGCTTTAATCAGTAAAAACCCGAGGTGGACCTATAATTTTGGCCAACCTTCAAGCCTGCTTTTTTCAAAATTTCTAATTTTTTCTTGAATAATCAAACAAAAACGAGAACCGTTTTGAAGACTGATAGTAGGCTGGTAAACACACGTCTCTACCAAATTTTGAAAAATTTCATTCACAACAGAGTGAGTTATGGCATTTTTTAGAGTGGACCTATAATTTTGGCCAGCACTGTATATCTCGAATGATCACTGCATTGACGCCTTCTGTTTATCTGAAGTCTCACGGTGCTTAATATCTCATGCATGTATACACAATGTCATTCGCATACTTATTTTTCTGCATGTTTAGTACTTGATCGAAGCATAGGACTTCTTTTGTCCGCTCTATATCTAAATCTCCATGTGTCGTAAGGTTTTGAAATGTTACTTGTTGCCGTCATAATGAATAAATCGAAATTGTAGTGTTGCAGTATAAGCATAACAAGAAGCTACTCAGATGAAGGAGACATTCAGCCGGCAGCCACAAAGCCACCGCTAAACCCCGCTAAAAACTCCGGCCCTATCGCCTCACTGTCGCTTCCCGCTGAGAACGGTAAAAGCGAGCGGGCTACAATTGCACTGAGCGGGACGCTAGAACTGCGGGCGAGCGCTATGAGGCCTTCAGCGCAAAGCGAAAGTGAGGGCGATAAGGTACGGAACTTTTGGGGTTTGGCATCGGCTTTGCGGCTGCCAGCTGATGTCTGGCTGCTGATCTCAAATTTGCATACTTTAGGTGCAGCACCTCGTTTAAAAATCGTGCATTTGAAGTGCATGTTATGTAGGGAATTCATGATTACTTTTTTACATCACTGTAATATCACAGTAATCTGTTGGTTCTATCATGGAACGCAGAGACGCTATAAAATTTTCTTGGTGCAAGTTTTACCGGCCAAGAACTGATTCAGATGTACTAATTCTGCTGCTCACAACATATCAAGAAACATCAAGACATTTGGCGAAAGGTTCTTATCTATATACCAGTGCGTCACCTCTGCTTCGCAGAGGTTCGCACTGGCTCTACTATCCATGTGCCTTACTCATTCTCGTAAAATCGTGGCACTGGAACTCACCGCGCTATGCCGACTACCACGAATAAAATGTAAACAACCACTCAGACAATCGCCGGGGGCAGGCGAGCACCGGAAAAATAGATTGCTGATCTCTCGCACCCCGCTCGCGGATTTTTTGGAAAGCAATCAGGACTTTTCGGAAGACCGCTTGCTGAGTTCTCGATTCCTCAAAGATTCAGCAACCTATCTGCAAAAGATAAGAGCGAAAAGAAATTCAACAGGCGGTTTCTCAAAAATCCGCTGACTCAGCAAGCGGTCTTCCGAAAAGTTTTGATTGCTTTCCAAAAAATCCGCGAGCGGGGTGCGAGAGATCAGCAATCTATTTTTTCGGTGCCCGCCCGCCCCCGGCGATTGTCTGAGCACTCATTCAGAAAGTCTTTTCGCGTGAGATCGGTGATTTCGCGTGGATAAAACTTTTCGCAGGAAGGCAAACGCTCCAGGACCAGATCATCTTTCCGTCGAACTTCTGCAAGCCGGAGGACACCGTCTACACGAGATTCTAGCGTCGCATTTGACACTTTACCTCCAGAAGAAGAAGATTCCCGACCAGTGGAGAACATCAAGAACCGTCCTTCTTTTCAAGAAGGGTGAACGGGAGGATCTTCGGAACTATCATTACTTATAATAACGGGCTAAGGATGTTTACGTGACTTTGTGTGTGTGTGTGTGTGTGTGTGTGTGTGTGTGTCTGAGAGTGTGTCTGTTACGAAATTCGTAGAGCGTGTTCCAGTCAACCTCCTGGGCTCAAATTTTGCACAGTGCATGCTACCCGCATGAAACTCCAACATGCAAAAGAACGAGCAGATTCGTTGAGTGGATCCCTCAGAAACTGCGTGTCAAACGGATCCACTTTGCATTTGGGCCGCAAAATTGGGTCCGTAATTCCACTTTTTTCAGAGTCGTGGAGATGTTTGTGCCAAGTAAATGTGCAAGCCATGAATTTAGGCTCAAAAAAGTGATCAAAAGTCCATTACTTTACAAAAACGGCGCCAAAAAGTATTGGTTGCGTAAATGATCAATTTGCCAAGGTTTTACCAGACCATTTGACGAAAATTTTGCACAAAGTTGTAGCTCACGGTGACTGCTATTCTTATTGCAACTGTAAAGGCCATGAGAAAATCAAGAACCTATAAAAATTTGCATTTGTTTTCCTGCAAAAAGTCTCATCCACGCGAAATCACCGATTTCCCATACAAAAGCTTTCGGAATGAGTAGTTGTTTACATTTGGTTCGTGATAGTCGGCATTGCTCGGTGAGTTCCAATGCCATCATTATACGAGAATGAGTAGGGCCTAGATAGCAGAGCCAGTGCGAGCCTCTGCGAAGCAGAGGTGACGCACTGGTCATCCAATATGCCTGCTGAGTGTGCTGTACAAGCTTTTCACAAAGATTATCCTCGCTCGCATATCAAGGACACGGATGAAGCCCGACCCCAAGAACAAGCTGGATTGCAAAGGATTTAGCTGTATGGACCACATCCAGACCGTTTCGAGGGTCATAGTCTGCCGGCAGTACCGACTGCCTCTCGTCTTAACCTTTGTCGATTACGAGAAAGCCTTTGACAGCGTCGAAACCAACGCCATCCTGTCTGCGCTAGTCGATCAAGGAATGGACCCAGCTTACGTGAGGACGTTAGCCGACTGCTACAAGGACTGTACAACGACGATACAGCTATTTTATCGCCCCCTGACCATACCAATCGGGAAGGGGATCCGACAAGGCGGCACAATCTCGTCGAAGCTGTTCACCGCGGCCTTGTAGTGGGTGATGAAGTCACTGGACTGGGGCGAGAGAGGCATACGAGTTGATGAGAGATTTCTGTCCAACCTTCGTTTTGCGGACGACATCGTTCTCTTCTCGTGCAGTATCATTGAAGCAGAGACGATGCTGAAGGAACTGAACGAAGTAGGGAAGAAGATCGGACTGCGAATAACAAAATAAGACTCAGTTCATAAGGAACGCCCTTTGCGAAGATGCAGAAATGGAATTGGAATGCACCCCTATTATGGAGACGTCTTCTTACGTGTATCTCGGACGTTCGATGAACATGGAGAACGACTTGAGGGAAGAACTTAATAGGAGAAGAACAGCAGCCTGGGTCGTCTTCGGGCCTCTGAAGGAAGCCACCGACCAGCTGAAGGACCCAGAGCTTCGTGCCCACCTGTTTGACTCAACCGTTCTCCCGGCGCTCTGTTACGCAGCTGAGACTTGGGCCGACATTGTAGCCACGTCGAAAGCTTTACGGACCACCCACAAAGCGCTCGAGCGCAGTCTTCTGAAGATGACCCGACGCAAGCAACATCTAGTCGGACTTGGCAGCACGGATATGAGAAGAATGTCCCGTCTTCGTGACCCAGCGGAATACGTTGCGAAAGCCACACACCGTTGGGCCGGTCACATAATGAGAAGACCAGACGACAGATGGACACTAAGAACATCTGAGTGGATTCCTCGCGAAGCCAAACGACCTCGAGGAAGACCACCGATGAGATGGGCAGACGTGTTCGTGGAACGGATGGACCAGCTAAGAAATCAGCTGGATATCGCCCCTGGAACTCGTGGACGCAGCCACCGACGACGGCCAAGAAGATCGTGGATGTCTGAAGCGAGGGACAGGGAAAAATGGCAACTTCTGTACTGTGGCCCGCACGTCACGTGAGGACGGGCCATCTAAGTATCTAAGTAAGTAAGGATTTTAGTTCTGTAGCCGAAGATCGAATTGTGGCTTGAAAGAATTGGTTCAAGGCCAGAGAATGTCAAGAGATTCCAAAACCGCGCGTACGCTTCTATACAAGGCACAAAACATTAACCTAGAGACCAACAAAAACATGAACTTGCACCACGTAAATCGTAAAATATAACGCAATGTTCAGCCCTGTCAACTCATCAATAATGTTTTCTATCTACTCCTAAAATGTTGCAAATTCTGGGCAGTAAAAGTGACTCCATTGAAAAAAATTAGTAAGAAAGTTTGCGCCGAATAAAATAGAAGCACAGCATGTTCGGGGTAAACCATGTTTGCGTTACTCTTCGTCTCAGCCATTGAAAAGCAAGACGGTGTGTGCGTGCTGAGAGATACTGGTCAAATAGTACCCACCTGCCAAACGGAGTAACTTTGGTCTATTATGGTAAACATGTTTACTATTTCCATCCATGGTCTCCTTCCGTACGTCGGGGTAGTTCATTCTTTGAAGCAGGTCTCTGTCCGGTGGACTCACAACTCGAAGATGACTAGCGTATACTTCATGGCAGGATCGAGCGGCAGCTCCGGCGGCGGAGGAGGGTGAGCCGATGCTGCTTCGGGCCAGGACCTTCCGAGCTATCTCGAGCACTTAAGAATGGTGTATTTCAAAGGCTCATGGTTTGCGGATGGAACTAAGCCGCTCATATTCTTTTTTTAGAGGAGGAGCACAAAGCGTATACTTTATGCCGGGAGCATCCAAAGGGGCCGGAGGAGGCGGAGGCGGCGGAGGTGGTGGTGGAGGAGGAGGAGGTTATAGGTTTGTCAAGATGCTGGTGAAATGTACTTTTTACTCACACAACTAATTACAGTGGCGGTGGTGGAGGTGGCGGCGGCGGAGGTGCCGTCAGCCAATACATGATGCCAGGAGCCAGTGGTGGAGGTGGCGGAGGAGGGTAAGTTTCTACATGATCCCTTCTTAAGAAAAAGTGAAAGGGTTTTCAGAGCTCAAAGTGTCTACTTTACGCCGGGAGGTTACAGTGGTGGTGGTGGCGGTGGAGGCGGCGGTGGCGGTGGAGGAGGAGCATACTTCTCGTGAGTTTTTACAAATTGCGATGGTGGTCCTAAACAGCATTTATATTTCAGCGTTCCCAGTAGCGGTGCCAAAGGAGGTGGGACAGCAGAAGTGGAACCCAGGACTGCGATTGGAGCCGTCCAACCCGGTGGCGGTGCTGACTTCACCAAAACAGCAATTCGCCCAGTTTCCGATGAGACAAGAACTGCCATACGACCAGTGTCAGATTTTACAAAGACTGCCATAGGACAACCGGACGAGACAAGGACTGCAATTCGACCAGTGTCAGATTTTACGAAGACTGCTATAGGACAACCGGACGAGACGAGAACTGCGATCCGACCAGTATGCCCTGTGCATGGTGATACAACGAAGACAGCAATCCGTCCAGTTTCTGACGAGACAAGAACTGCAATAAGACCAGTTAGTGATTTCACAAAGACCGCTATACAACCTGTGTAAGTCAAAAATGGGGTAGCAGCGAATTTTGAATTATTGCCATTTTTGCAGCGCGTCGAGCGGTGGTGGCGGAGGTGGCGGTTATAGCGGTGGCGGTGGCGGCGGCGGCGGCGGTGGTGGAGGTGCACAGAGTGTTTACTTTGGCGTCGGTGGCTACTCCGGTGGAGGAGGGTACGCTTCGTTGAGTTACTGAGCACAGAGCATCACTCATGAACTCTTCTCTGTAGTGGATCTTCCGGAGGAGGCGGTGGCGGTTACAGCGGCGGCGGCAGTGGCGGCGGCGGTGGCGGCGGCGGTGGAGGTGCAGCAAACCAGAGCGTGTACTTCGGAGTCGGAGGCGGTGGCGGTGGTGGCGGCGGCGGTGGTGGTGGAGGATTTGATGGGTAAGCGACTTTCTTGCGATTAAGTTTGTAATACTGAAGGATTCATTTTTAGTGGAGCACGCAGCGCATATTTCATGCCCAAATAAACAAGATCGGAGCGAGGAGCGGAAGGATTGTAGATTTATTCATAAATTTAGAAGGTTCCTGTCTCCAATAAAATCTTTCTCCGCCCCATTTCAGAAACTGTGTTTTCCATCTATAAACATTCACAACAATGTAGCACAACTAGATTAAGCGCAGACACTGCGTCATTCTGCATTTCAAGTCAGGCGTCTAGAGCGTGATATTCTGGTGGCTGTAGCCGCAATTCTGTTTTTGCAAAACTAAGCTAATCTCTACAGAAATCAAAAGAAAAGTTGTCACAATCTCACCAATTTTGCCTTGGTACGGAGCATCTTTGTCGGGCATTGTTAGCTTTGCCGATCGATATTGGTGGTAGTATGCAGAAATATAATCAATGCCACTTAATTATGATCTCCTGAGCGATTGGTGGTCGCAGTGACAGGAACCAAATACATGCAAAACCCTTGTTACAATCTAATATGATAGGATTTTTTTTGCCGCGCAGCAGAATCAACTTACTTTAGGCAAGCGTTATACTCCTCGAGGAGTATAGCATGGCGACGTGCGATCGCCAATGGCCACGATTAGCGCTCGCAAATCGCTACGACTGGCGATGGTCAATCGCTAGTATCGGGGCTGAGTCTTTCATGAGTATTTCGCTAGCAGTTGCCACATGTCCAATCGATACGCATCCAACATGGAGTCGCCAACATTGGCGATTGGCGATCGCTAATCGTACAGATTGGCGACCGCCAATCGTAACGATTGGCGTCGCCAATATCGGCGACAAAAACCGAAGGTTTTACGTATTTGATGCGTATCGACCGTCGCCATACTATACTCCTCGAGGGGTATAGCGCCTGCCTCAGTTCTCCGCGCCTTTTTTCCCTCAAACAAAAAATTTTCACTCGCAAAAATCGTAACTTCTTACTCCAAACTGATCTTTGACAATATCTCAAACATTGACAAACCTGTCCGCGACAGATCCCAAAGCAGACGAAATCAATCATTAGTCCTAGTACTAGTGAGCTTCTGCCGTTTTAACTTTTAACATACATAGCAGAGTTTTTTTGATTGCCTTTCTGGTCGGTCACATCTGATCAAATCTTGACTGTCATTAATGCTCGAGGGATGTCGCGAAGATCAGTTAATTCAGCTTCAAACAATTACTCAGAAAAAAAAAGAAACACCTCCAAACCTAATCTCCGTACCGTAAACATTTTTTTCTTAGTAAGAACAGAATTTGTCTAAAAGTAAAGAAGAAAAAAAAACAGCCAACGTTATGATAGAGAATGCTATCAGGTTGGCTAAAAATAATTTCGTTTCGGCATGAAAATCTCCATATAAACTTTCCTAATTGTTCTTTATCCATGATTATTTTGGAATGGTAGTTCAAACTTCCCCTCTATCACTACCAACTACTCAGAATTTTCAATCATCAAAAAGGGATAATCATGCCTTCGAATGGTTAATTTCCATGAGCTCAATTCTGCCACTTTCCAGGCTTCATTTCTATGCTCTAGCGGATGTAGAGAATAGCAAGTTGGAATTTGGATACAGACAAGTTTTCCTTAATTAGCGGATATCAATAAATGATGGGATTTGCCATTCCAAATTTCTTTGACCGAAGAAACCAAATTTTCTCATATTTGCGCACAATGAGAAAATTGGGGTTTTTTGACTCTCTGCGGATTATTTTCACTGCAAAGTAAATTTTACTCAAACAATTTCTATATTCCAGTTCTCAGAAGTGCTCTTTCCAGAGGCACCAAATAGCGGACAAAAAATTGTTCTGCAGCATCTGTAAGAGCCGCAAAGAGACCGAAATTATTTATTAGCCAACCTTGTACTTAAAATAGAAGTAGATCCAATGAAGGGCTGACTAAAGACATTACTCACCTTCGTATATACTAGCCAGACGACTTCTCTGCTAGCTCTGGCTACCTGCAAAAATCTCCATAAATTTTGGTCAAATAACTACCCTAATTTCTGGAGTATAAGGCTCATCCATGTACAAGGCGCACCTGCCGCGCGAACGTTATCGCGGAAGTTGCGCCCTAGGTTCGGGCTTGGGTTGAGTTGTACTTGAATGGTCTGCTTATCTATTCTTTACTGAGAGATTGAATGAATGGGCGAATGGGCGCTACAGAGTCAGGATGTCAGTGCTTTTCAACTTTCGGAAAAGTTTAGCGATAATTTGACTAGATGTAAACATAAACAAACTCGCTGACAACTGGACGAGTTTTAAAAGATAACAGTAGTGTTTTAGTGTATTTCTGTTTAGCGAAATATGATGAAGAAATGATACAGACTGATTTCTCAGCAACACATGGCCACAACTTAGACACTCGCCATTGACTCCCGCAGGAGATCCGCCCACAAAATAGGTGATCGCACCAAAATCCGGTGCACCGGCGGGAGTCATTATTTTAGTTTTATCCCGATTTTGTTGCGATTTTTTCCCGAAGCGCGGGCGCATGTTTGAACGAGTACAACTTCAAATTATTGAGTTCATTCTGTATTGCTGCCGAAGGGTCAGTTTCATTTTCAACTCAACTTCCAAGGAAGCCCCGCTCTTACTTCCCGAGTCACACATAAGCCAGGCTTACCACTATTCCTGCACTTTAGGTAAGTCCAGGTTTTTTGCAAGGGGGGTTGCAATGCTCAAATTGCCAACAGTATTGAGTTCATGTCAACGATGTACAGTATTTGGCCAACGTCCATCGGCCGAAATATAAGATGCCCCAATCAAACAGAGCCTAAAACATGTTGAAAAGCTTTGTTTTCGCTGCATTTTCTCAGAAGTACTATCAGGACGAAAAAAATCATATTTATTTCTTGTTTGAGTATCCTCTCTTCCCTATGAGAACTTCAGAATTGTTTTTTGCGGTGAGTCCCTATGCCGCTGGAGTTATTTTTGAGGCGAGTCCAGGGGTGGTAAGTATTTTGTAAGGTAGCCCATCTCTTTATACTTGGGTTAGGTGTAATTTGGCGAGACTAAATTACAAAATTTTAGTTAAAAAACAGTATTTTCCTTTTGCTAGTACATCTAAAAAGAACGGCTAAAACAAGGCCTTTTAGGAAGGTTTAGGCTCTGTGTGTTTGAAGCGTCTTATTTTTTGGCCGATGGACGTTGGCCAAATACAGTACGTCCATTTCAACCCCTCATGCTGGCTTTTCAGAGGTGGAAATTTATAACAGTGTGATTTTTAATACTTCATTAATATTATATTAGTTTTCCACCTCATGACATCATGTTTACGTTTTCTTCTATTACTATTGCGGCTTGTAGAGGCCGTCCTCCACGTTGTCATTCGCTCAACCCTCACATCGAGCTACATCTCTCAATTTAACTAGTGCTTTTATTTGATCATCAGTGATGAGAACTTATAGGGATGTTTATAAAGAGATGTTCATTGCTTAAAGATAACCCAAACATCAAGGAAAGAAACAAACTAACAGTAAACACAACAAAATTTTGCTGCGGCAGTGTACATGACATATACACTGTGTACACCATGTACATCGTCATGGACACATTGTACATGACCACTTGCTGCGCGAGGGTCATGAACACTTTTGTATAAACACGTGAATCAGCATTCCCAGGCGCATTTACTGACATAGATTTCACCATAAGAGCTCAGCTCACCAGGGTTTCTTATCTTGTGAGGAAATCCTTTTATGCTAGTAGTAATTTCAAATTTTGCAATGAATGAAAGCAAAATTAGACATTATAGAAAAATAAAACATGTTTTGAATGGTAGGCCGGCGACCTTTTTAAGAGATTTGATTTACTTCTATGAAGTAATTGTTTAGAGGAGCTCCAGCATCTTTCGTCCAAGCAAATCCGCTCACATTTGGGAACGGACATCTCCGAAACAGCTCTATCCACATTTGAGAATGCTGGAAATAATAGCAATGAGAGCCCTGTGCACACCCATTATCTAACAAGCATGGATATTTTTCACGATTCTACACAATTCCTTTCACAAGCAATTGGTACGGATTCTCAGCCTCCAGAGCGGGCATCACCTCATGTCGAGGATAACGAGGCGCTCATCTATATGGCCAACTTTAGGTTGCATTTTGGCGTAACAGATGCAATGGAGAGTTATCTGGATGATCTCCTTGAAATGAGGTGCCGAGCGCCGTTGAACAAACTGTGTCGATCGAATCAGTCTTTTGAAATAATCAATCGAGTCTATTCCAGTGCATCTTTAAGTCCGATGTTAATTTTTTGAAGGCTGAACTTCTCCACTCTTATGAGTATGTTCGCTATTTTTTCTGCAACGGATGCTGTGGCAACCTTAGAGACAAAACATCTGTCTGCAACCGGACAGGATGCTCCTTGAAAGGGTTCATACACTGCTTAGACTCTAATGCTGATTCATAACTACTACACTGCAGCATCACACCCAAACGGTCCCATATGGCCAGAAGAGCGTCTCTCCATCTTGTCAATCTAGCTCCTCAATTGCGAATCGTCTTGAAAAAGACAATCCATCAGCTCATAGCAAAGCACAAGAGCATCCATGAAGGAGTTAGTTATGTCCACATTAATGTCGAAAGTCTCATAGTACTGTCGTTCAGAATGTGAGTCATCGCCTCATTGATTTTTAGTTCACGTCTGTGTCACAAGCGACAAGCTTACTCCTCCGCAATATATTGGACAAGACAACGGGATACAGTGCAGCATTGTGTTTGCCTAAAAGATCTCAATGATTTAGTGTTTGGAAATGTCATAGCTTTCGCTTATTGAACTCACAGGGAAGCTGTCATATACTTCTGGAGGAGCACATTACAAAAGATCCTTTTGCTCGACTAGAATTTGCCGTTTACAATGAGCAAAACGAGGCTAAAGCTGCTGCTATCAATGCTTTGAACTTAGTGCAAATATTTAATCAATTTTTTTATCTTTCGACTGGCAAACGCCTCAATCTGCGCAATGCTTTTGACATAAAATCTACGGCCAGCTTTATAGAATTTAAAGAAAGACAATATCTTTCTAAGCTTTGATGATTTTGCTGATGCAACATATGTATATGGTTCTTGAAGTTAATAAACTCCCTCTATGTTGTTGTTCGTAACCGCTAAGTATCTTTCATTAAAGTCTATGCGAAACATAGTTATGGAGATAAATTTGCAACTTATGACAGGCATGTACTCTTCCGACGAAGAATATACTCCGAACTACTTGGACCTCTCCGCTTCATTTCTTGGTTGGCTTACAAAATTCGGCTTTCCTATCTTGCAAACGAAAACTTTAGACGACGAAAACGTGGACAAAGAAAATGTCCTTTTGAGTGACTTTATCGGTACTCCATCCAATAGTCAAGCCAATGTGCCGTCGAGCAGTCAAATCAACAGGAACAATTCTCGCAAACGCCGTATGGGCACTGAAAGTTCTCCAACAGTTTCTTGCGGCTTGCAGCCACAAACGATGCACGCTTCTTCTACATCTTCCACAGGTAAGCTGTTGTGTTCATGTCGTTCCAGTGTCTGGAAAGGGATGTAAAGGAGTATTTTAGGCTTTAAAGCGAGTCTTGGAGGAGAACACTGTGTCGCTTGCGAAGCTAGGAAGAGTTGTACGACAGTTTGACATCACTGTCGAAAATGAGGTGATATATACATGTTTTGCTGAGAGACATAGGGATAATTATGTGGTTTAAGGAGATGTTCACGTCAAAGATAAGCGATATCAAAATCAATATGCAGCATGTGAAAAACATGCAAACAAGCGTCCGGTACAATGTTCTTCAGACTCGGTTGTCCGAGCTCTTACTTGTGTCGTAAGAGAACAAACAAATATTATAGCAGGACTGTCCTTAACAGTAAGCGTTATTTAAACGGGTTCAAGGATACAGTTGGCTTGTCTGCAGATGAACGCCCTTTGGGTTGTTTCAGACTGCCGCAATGACTGCAGCAGACTGCAGCAGTCTGCAGCAGACAGCAGCTGACTGCAGCTGACCGCACTGACCGCAGCTGACTGCAGTTGACTGCAGCAGACTGCAGCAGACTGCAGCAGACTGCAGCAGACTGCAGCAGACTGCATGACCGCACTGACCGCAAGGGCCGTACAGATCGCTGTGTCCTTCCGTGAAGGTGGAGAGAATAGATAGTTGTGGCCCAAACAATCAACAACAATATATGCCTAGATCCAAAAGACAAAACGAACGAAAGTAAAGCAGGTTTATGCAATAAGGAGAATCAGAACAAATGTAAGCATACCGATAAAAAACAATTGCCAAAATTTGATTGTAAAGAGTAAGTTAAAACTTATGAACTTCCTAGGCGTAAATCACGGTGTTTTGCGTAATCGCAATTGTTTTCTCTCTTGCGAAAGCATGCAGCGTCGGTGCGGAGTGCTGTCAGCTGCAGTCTGCTGCAGTCTGCTGCAGTCTGCAGCAGTCTGCAGCGGTCAGTGCAGTCAGCTGCGGACTGCTGCAGTCAGTGCGGCAGTATGAAACAACCCTTTTATCGAAGCTGAGGCAACAAGACAGACAGTTGAGAAGGACTCATTTCCACGTTGTGAAAAACAAAGAGAATACGTTGCCAAAGGGTTATTCATTACAGAGGAGTAATCTATCCCGAGTCTGGCATCTTCAGGGTGCCCCTCCCTTCAAGGTCATCTGGACCTTATTTTCAGTCAACGTGAAAAAAGTTTTAATTTTAGGAGTTGAATATGATCGAAGTCATGGAAAAGTGGCAGCGGCCAAAACGTGCTCATAAGCACGACCATTTCTTGTTGGTTCTCGACTTTTTGCGGCACTTCTTTTTACATGTAAGCTGCAAAGATAAAGACGATAAAATTGTCTCGTAAATCACCGTTTAGGCCTGCGAACCTCCAACGGAAATTCAAAACTAGCCTGTAGGCAGAGCGGGAAGAAGGGAAAATTTGATCATTTTAAAGACCTTCCAGAAGGGATGGTCGAATTCTTAATAAGTAGGTTCGATGTGTCTTCAAGTACAATAACTCCAATAACTGATTTAGGTTTCGTGCTTGACGCTCTGGGCCTGTACCGCGAAGAACTCCTGCGGACCCCAAATAAATATAAGCAAAATCCAAACAGGTATGTATATTCTCGAAAGACCTTCATGCGCACTAGAGTTTAGGTGGTGCATGTCCCTAGGAGAAGAGGACGACGCTCGCGAGAAATTTTTTAACAAGCTCTCGGAGGCAAGAGTGGATTGGAGCGGCCGTGCAAGAATAGCAATTGGGAGAGCACTGTGAGTTCTCACACTGTTAAACGAAGCGATACTTCTGAACTATAATTTTACAGGGCAGACATTCGAACATATCATTTTGACCCTGAAAGATCCTCTCTTCTTCCATCAAAGGTGATTCACTTGTTTTATGTGATCCTGGTATCAATAAGTTTTGTTTTCAGAAAAAGCGTGTAGTCATCGAAGACACTGGAGGCAACGGTATCGGTATTACTAAGGAAGACGTGGTAATTCAGAAGACCGAATGCGTAGAAGATGAAGTCGAGGAAGCCTGATGCTTTGTCTACATTTTTGTTGTAGTTGTTCGTAACCTGCTTCGAATCTGTGTTATTTGTTAATAAATTTTACGACGTAAGACTGGGTTTTACTAGCAGAAAGTTACAAGCGTGAGAAATGGGACCCAAAGAGACCAAGGACTCAAGGTAAGTGAAAAGAGAGGCGTGAGAGAGGACACAGAGGACGCAAAACCTATTAATAAGGGTAGGCCGCCTGCTCTGAACGCGATCGGGACATTATGGTGTCTCCCGCAGGTGTCCCGATTTTGTGCGGAATGTGTCCGTCGGAACACCTGATTTTATCGCGCAGTTTTGTCCCGAAACAAAATCAGGTATCCTGATTTTGTCCCGACACCGATTTCGGGAGTCGTGCAGGCATTCCGTGACGACACCTCATTTTGTCCTGCGGGACTCAATGGCGAATGTCTGAGAAGAGATTTAACAGAGAAAGAATGCATGAAACATGCACTTCGCCCGCGAAAAGTTGGTACCGCTGCCTGTGCGGCGCCGCACATCGTCCGCGTAGTCGCGAAACTGCTCGCGCGAGGTGCACAAATATGCACCTTTTCCGCCTTTGGAGAATAGGATATTTACAGCAATGATAGGTGGGTCGTAATACGGGTCAAAGGCCCTGGACCTGAAGTTTTTTCGTTTACCTGGGGCAATTCAACGAGATGAATTCGAAAATACACTTTAAATAACGCGAAAATGTTGAAAACCAGCTTTTTTCAAGGGTTATCATTTTGGATTTGGACGAGTGGACCACTCCCCGATATGGTTAGAGACGAAGGTCGTTGCAGGACCCTCACAAAGCATTGCGGCATGCCGCCTCTGACGTTGGGAAAGGGACCGCAAGCTCGTCTGAGCGCGTGTAAGAATGGCTTGCGCGCACGGGTTTAGGGGCAGTTTTCTAGGCAGGGGAGCATGTAGTGCGCTCGGACCTGCTCCGTTCTGATGTTTGGATTGCAGGCAACCTTCCATATCATAATTTCGAGATGTTTTGTTTTGCCGAGCCACTACCTAAGGTTGTTGTTTTTTTTTTTGATGAAAATGACAAAGTTTATGAAACGTTGCACTGCTTGAAGGCAGTGTCCGGGCAAGAAGTCGATTTCATGTTTTGTGCTACCTGGCCGTATTCGCTATGCTGATCCCAAAAATCCACACTGGAGAGTGCGAACGGCGGAAAAGAGCTCTAGCGCAAGGAGAACTTAACGTCTTTCACTGGCCGTTCACTTGTAAAGTCACTTCCCCAACTTCAAGAAAAATTTTCTCGTTTCCGCTGGCCACTCCAACATTCCCGCCGGCGCCAAGTGCGAACGCTGACTTAAGATCGGAATTGGGAAGATCCCTCCTGAAGCTGGGAGCGCGATTTCACAGGGGAGAAGACCCTGCCCACCTGCCCTTTTCTCTCCTGCAGTAGAGCCATTTTTCGCCGTTTTCGCGCTGTCCAGTGTGAATTTCGGTTTCAGCATAGCGAACAGGGCCAGGTAAGCACAATATCCCAAAATCGATTTCTTGCCCGGACATTAAGTTCCCATGATAACGACTTCGTATAATAACTCTTCTCAACTCTTCCAACTGTAATGCGCGATAAAAGCTTTTAGTACAATCGTTCCCCAGCTATACAGTTATTTGGAAGTGAAAATTCTCAGCGATTTTGGCGAATTCGGCTTTTGCGTTTTTCGCCGACATCACCAAATTCGCCGAGATCAAATTCCACTGTTATAAAGGTATATATCTTAGCAACTAAATCTGACAAAGGCACATTCAGTTGCCGCACAAAATGGCTTCCAGATTTTGTCCAGATTCCACGATTCTTCGGCGAATATAAAGATTAAACTGCAAAAATCAATACATCGACAGAGAAAGAGCTGGCTTTCAAATATGACGCACCGGATTCAAATCCCGATACGTTATGGCTGAAATTTTGCGTTTTTATATATGTATTGTATTTTGTTTGAAAATTATCTCAGATCAGTGCGTTAGGCTCCCGCCAGAGTGCCGAAGCCATGCCAGTGCTACGCCAGCGCCGGCACTCTGGCGGGAGCCTACCTGCTGAGAACTAGGTCAGCTAACCCCGCCCCAACGAAATACACGTGTGTCGATCGAAACGCTGGCTCGGCCCTGGCGTAGCGCTGGCATGGCTTCGGCACTCTGGCGGGAGCCTTACCTCCACTTCGTGAAGGTTCGCACTGGCTCTGCTATCCGTGTGCTTTTTTCGTGCTACCATAATAATGACTTTGAAACTCACCGCGCGAGACTGTACATCACAAATGAATTGTAACAACTGTTCATTTTCGAAACATCCTATCCTACTACCAGTGCATCACCTCTGCTTCGCAGAGGCTCGCACTGGCTCTGCTATCTGTGTGCCTTACTCATTCTCGTGAAATCGAGGCACTGGAACTCACCGCGCTATGCCGACTACCACGAATAGAATGTAAACAACTACTCATTTGAAAAGTTTTAGGTTTTTGAAGTTGTCATGGTTGGTAGTCGCCATAAAGGCAATAGTGATCGTGAGCTACATCTTTGTGCGAAAATCTTCTCAAATACTTGGCTAGAACCTTGACGAATTGACCATTTAAGCAATCAATTCTTTTTGGCGCCGTTTTCGTTATGTAGTAAACTTTTGACCACTTTTCGGGCTAAAGCTCATCACTTGCACTTTTGCTTATCAATCACATTTTCGACTTTGCAAAAAGTATGATAAGGACCCATTTTTGCGGCACAGAAGCCAGGTGGACCCGTTTGGGTGAGGGATCCACTCAACGAATCTACTCGTGCTTTTGCATGTTGGACTTTCATGAAGGTAGCATGCGCTGTGCAAAATTTGGGCTTAGAACGCTGACTAGAACACGCTCTACGAGTTTCGTAACAAACGGACACACAGACACACACACTAAAACATAAACAACCCTTAGCCCGTTATTATAAGGTCTTGATAATAACGCGCTAAGGCCGTCTGTTTTTTTGTGTCTGTGTGAAAATCTGTCTGTCACGAAATTCATAGAGGAAGCTGCAGCTAAGCTATCAGGCTGCAATTTTGCATAACATACCCTGCCAGCGTGTAGGCCCACCATGCGCAAGGACGAGCCGGTTCGATAAGCGGGTCCTTCAAAATTTGCGCGTCAAACGGGTCCACGCGCTTTTTGGCACACAAAACTGGGTCGCTATCTCGACTTTTTGCAAAGTTATGATTTGCCTGACAAGTAACTTTGAGTGCCATGAATTCTAGCCCAAAAATGCTCAAAAAGTCTGCTTTTTTGCGAAAACGGCGCCAAAAGTGATGAACGCGTAGATAGTCGATTTGGCAAGGCTTTATTTGAAAAAACTGAAAAGATTTTTACACTGAAATGTAGCCCTAAGTGACTATTATCCTAATGACGATTATCAAACTAAAATTCCGTAATCCGTTCAAATTCGCATTTGTTTCCTTGCAACAAAGTTTTTTTTCTCAAAATTACCGATCTTACGTGGAGATGCTTCATGAATGAACAGTTGTTTACGATTCATTTGTGGTGCTCAGCATCGCATGGTGAGTTGCAAAGCCACTCTCATGCGAACATGAGAAAGGCATACGGATAGGGAGCCAGTGGGAACCTCCGCGAAGCGGAGGTGACGCACTGGTCTCCATATAAGATCGGTAATTTTGAGAAAGAAAACTTTTTTGCCGAGAAACAAATGCGAATTTGAAGAGATTACTGAATTTGTTTTGGTTTAATAATTGTCATAAAGATAATAGTCATTTTGTGCTACGTTTCCGTGCAAAAATCTTCTCGGTTTTTGGGTAAACCCTTGCCAAATCGACTTTCTACGCAATCACTACTTTTTGGCGCTGTTTCCAAAGAAAAGTTAACTTTTTGAGCACTTTTTGAGCTAAAATTTTTGGAGTGCAGATTTACTTGGCACGCAAATCATGACTTTGCAAAAAGTTGAATTTGTGATCTAGTTTTGCGCGCTAAAAGCCACGTGGACCCGTTTGAGGCGCAAATTTTGAAAGACCCGCTTAACCGGCTCGTCCTTGTGCATGGTGGGCCTACGTGCTGATATGGTGCGTAATGCAAAATAGTTCGTTAGCTTGGCTGCATCTCCCTCCATGGATTTCGTGACCGACAGACATACACACACGGACAAAAAGACAGACGCTAAGCGCTCTATAAGTCATGATAGCGAATGTTAGTAGTTTTTGTTATAACTGCGTTTACAAAAACATTGCGTGGTGATGCATAATCACTCACATTCGTCTGTGAAGGGGGCAAATATTACATTTACAGAACCGTTTTGCAGTGGAAAGAGGATATGCTAGCAGTGTCCTGAAGAGAACGTGATGATGTACATCTCCTTGCTAAACGCCAGTGTGACCCTCCATTACTCGTTATTGGGGTCATGCTGACAGAACCATTTTTTCATATTTATAGCACCAGAAAGTGGTTTTGAAAAAGCAGTATATGATTCCTCACTGCGCACACAGTTTTCTCCTTATATCAAACACCAACTCAGACAATCGCCGGGGGCAGGCGGGCACCGGAAAAATAGATTGCTGATCTCTCGTACCCCGCTCGCTGATTTTTTGGAAAGCAATCAGGACTTTTCGGAAGACCGCTTGCTGAGTTCTCGATTCCTCAGAGATTCAGCAATATATCTGCAAAAGATAAGAGCGAAAAGAAATTCAACAGGCGGTCTCTCAAAAATCCGCTGACTCAGCAAGCGGTCTTCCGAAAAGTCCTGATTGCTTTCCAAAAAATTCGCGAGCGGGGTGCAAGAGATCAGCAATCCATTTTTCCGGTGCGCGCCTGCCCCAGCGATTGTCTGATAACATGTATACTCGCCCTCTCCTCACTAGACATCTAGTAGGCGAATTCGAATTTGAACCAGACCACGCCGGTTACGGCAGCATGCAGCACTTGCAGCCCTTTCTTCTATCTCCAAAATTTTATTTGTTTTTCAAAGTCTCATTCTATTTTTTGAATGTGCAGTCTTCTTAATTGGAATTGGAGATTTTTTTGCTTTTGAGCGATGTTTCGTGCTGCTTTGCTCATTTCTTCAAATTTATTTCCAGTTAAGCTTGAAGAAAGACTGAGTTTTGAATAATGTGCTAAAGGGCCGGGCATACTTTACGCGATTTCAGCGCGACGCGATTTGGTAATCCGCCAAAAGTCTTTAGATACAACACTAGCAAACTGCACATGCGTAGTTTGTGTACTTACTTGGATCGATGAAATATTCTATCTTCTTATGTTTAAAATGTGCTTACAGTGAGTTAAGGAATTGGAATATTGCCAAATTGCGTGGGACTAAAATCGCATCAAGTATGTCTGGCCCTCAACAGAATATTTTTTGGTAAGTAACATGTCCTGAAATGTTCATTGGACTTCATGTCAGGAACTTTCCATATGACACCTGAAAATAGAGCTTAGAACAATCATAGTAGTGCGAAACATCGCTAACAAAAACAAAGTCGTCGAATTTGACTACAAAGGTCTAAAACAAAAAAATCACCATGCAACGACGAGAAAACACTTGACGGTGTGGGCTTTGTCGCAACCGGAATGCCCTAGCTCAAAAATATGTTCGCTAGGTCCCTAGGGGTGAGTGAACCACTATACGAAGTGTGATCAGTTCTTATGAAAGGTAATCCTACAAAAGTTTTTCACTACAAGGTATACTGTCTTAGAAAGACATCACAAAGCACATCAATAAGAGTCACTCTGGAATGAACTGCATAGTTCAAAACTAGGTGTCAAGTAAATAAACTCACTCAAAGAAAAAACACTGTAACTTTCATTCGTAGCTATTACCTTATGGAGTACTGGCTCACTCTTCTTGGGTAAGCTTTTGTTAGTTTACTCACGGTTGCAGTCTACCTGGAATTGCACAATCGAGCCAACTTTACTTTGAGTCTGCTTATCCACCAAAACTGCAAGGGACTTCGTGCAGGTCTAGAATTAGTTGTTGGTATCAATACTGCATCGGCAGTCGACAGAAATACAGGGTTCCACTGTTCAACTAGCGCTAAAGTTGGACTAGTGGACTTTTACGATCTGCATTGGATTTTTTGAAGGTAGATAGTGTTTGGCTAAAATGAAGGTGGGGTGAACTAGCTTGTGCGCAAGCCAACCCAGATTTCACCTCTTGAAAGGAGCAAATCATTGCATTTTAGCTGCTTACCACATTCGCCCACGTAGCGTTTCCCACGGACAGGCTGTATATGTCAGCACTGTCATGGCTTTGGGTCCTAAAACGACTCTGCTTCCCCAACCTTGGTAGGATTTGGCTCAGTCCGATTAGGTTTCGGACCCTCGTAAAAGCACGCTCCCACCATTTTCACGCACTGTAAAGGTATACTTAAGATCAGCGTAAAGGAAAACAAAGGAGCAGTTGCCTAAATTGCATTTTTTCCCTACGTCACTTTCACCTTGAAAGAGCCAACTTTTAAAAGTTGTCACTTCAATGACACCCTACTTACTACAGCATCTATCAGTGATACACTTTGCGCATATCCCTGCTGATATTGAGCAGTGAGATGAAGACGTCCGCGCTCCAAGACCGGATCACCCTCTCAGATAACTGCCGGGGGCAGGTGGTTCGCAAACTCGCCCTTTGTGCAAGTGGTCAGCATAATTTTGGAGAGTGGCCAAACCTTCAGCAAACGGTACTTCCATGTTCTGCCAGCGGGCAGCAATACAGAATTTTCTGCGAGCGCTCATCAAATAATTTCTTTTAGCAAGCGCTGGCCAAACTTTCAGCAGGCATTCGGACCCTTTGCACGCAGTTTCGGGCGTACGTCGAGCAAAGATGAGACCCTGCGTGGCGGTGTCATCCATGGTTTAATTACCCGAGTTTGGGGTACCTTCTCTCATCGGAAGGTACCTACGAGCTGTGCGGTCCTTTACGAAAGACCGTGTGGCCCCCAACACTTTTGCTTATTCTCGCAGAAAGTCCACGAGAATGCGGCCACTGCGCCGCAACTAATCTAAGAATAATTCTGCACAAAAATGCGTAACACTTCACCCAAATATATGCAAGCGGAACGCAAGAAATAAGCGAACTATTTTTCCGGCGCTCGCTTGTCTATGAATTGCATGGCCACCTACCGAAGCGATTCTCTAAGCTCCTGTCAAACTTCCGCGAACTGGAGAGCACCATTTAATGATACTTTCGCGTTGCATCCAACCAATGCTGTCCTCAATCTCGAGCGAGATATGAGCCCCTTTCAAGTACTGGTCAGTGGACCTCCCAACATCCTACTTAGGTATAACACAGACCCTAAGAATGAGGTACATAGACCCTAACAAGAATGATTAGGAACATTTCCGTAATAGTACGCCAAATATTCCCTGCGGACAAGTTTTAGCGAATCTGGGGTTTCCAACTATACAGTCACTCAAGTGAAATGGTCATTTTTGAACATGTTTAACCTTGTTTCAGAAGCGAGTTAGCTACTTTTTTAATACTTAACACAATGATCTTTTTACTTGTTCTATATCGCAAACTAGCTGGTTTACCCTTCTTCGCCCGCCTCTGTCAATACCCTGCGATAAAGGCCCCATCCCTATCCATGTAAAATCTTTCCCTGTGCGCACTTCTACATGCGATTCCCTATTCCCGCTGCGTTAGTAATCAGCATGCTCACCTACCCCCCCCCCTGTGCCCACTCCCAGTCCGGTGGCTTAAATTTTGAAAAAAATCGATAAAACCAATAAAGTCAATCTGTAAGACTACCTATAAGGCGCAGTAGCTTTCACCGCTCGCATACTTTTGTATGATGACGTTCGCGATGCGCGGCGCCGCGCAAGCAGCCAACAGCAACCTCTCTCACCCAGCAGTAGATTTTTGCTCCCGTTCTTTGCTGTTTTACTCTCAATAGTGATTTTTAGACAAATTTCTACATTCCTTTTGATCCTTTGAGAATGACAGGAATAGAACAAAAACCGGTACTTTTCCGTTATCCGGACCCAATTTTTCATGAAAGGATATTGTTTCTTTTCTCGTACCATATTTGATCCCAACTTCACAGAAAGGAGTGTTAACCTTCCTGCCACGTGTCAAAAAAATTTGACGTGACATACACGTGTTGACAGGTTTAACCAAGAATTTGAGTTGCCTTACCTAACGACATAAGTTCAACCTGTTTTTAGTCAATAGTGGCCCCATTTTCAATTGAAGATTATCAAAAATGAACATTATTATCATAATAAGTCATTCTTTTTATTAGTAGACGGATTAGTCTTGCCCAGTACAGAAAAGTGGGCTAGAATTCCGTCATCTCAGTGACAAAACAGCAGTAGCGAGGAATTTTAAGGCATCATCTACAATCTCTTGTGGCTAAATTCGCAAGGCGAAAAGTTTGAAGAGAAAGATAGTGCTGAATCATTGCTATAAACGATGAAGATGTTCCAATATAAGTTCTAAATTGTTTTGTTCTTTTAAACAATCAAGTAGCTATTAGATGATCACAAATGCTCGTTTACTCCACCGGTAATGATTTCGAAAAAGAACATGTCAAAATTGACCAAAACGTGTCAATATTTTCTTGACACGTGGCAGAGAGGAAGTCCTCGTGAAATCTATCAAAAATTCTCCTTAACTAAAGAACGTATTTTATGAGAGCCTTCCAAAAAAATGGTTCCGGATAAAGGAAAAGTACCCAAAAACCTTCAAAATATCACTAGTATTGTTGTAAAGGGATAGCACAGTTTCAGTACCAGTTTTAGTAGCATTACTGGACGAAGGAAAGCACAAATGTAGCACCGTAACATCATTAGAAACAAAAGAAAGAATTATCTAAGCATCATAAACACCATTGAGGGCACCTTCCTCCCACCTATAGAAACAATATCAAAGTATACATTCCAAGAGGAAAAAACACATGGAGGCATGATTTATGAGCAGTGAGAAATTAAACACAGCACACTGACTTGTAGCTTTTTAGATGCAAAGAGCAATTATTTAGAAAGCGTCTTCGCGCCAGTGTCGCTGCGGCGGGTGCGCCTTATACAAGTGCGCCTTACCCCGGAAATTAGGGTAATAATCATCTATATATATATATATATATAACTCAATGTCTGTAAGGATGTTCGTTTAGTTGTTCGTTCGTTATAAAAACGCGCGCCACTAAACCGATCCGGCTGAAACTTCGCGCACGTATATTTTCGACCCCGGCGGTGGTTTAGAGCTACTTTCCGCGGCGATTCGCCGGGCCATTCCATCGATTTATTGATTTGTTTACTCAAATCCAAAAGAATGAGAACTTTTCATGCTCCAACTATCATTTATCCATAATCATGTAAGCAGGGGCGGTAGAGTCCATTTCTACCTCAAAGTCGGAAGGATGCGGCAATCTTTTCAAAGGGCTTTTTGCGTGTTTGTTTGAAGAAGTTTAGAAGCGTAAGTTCACAAGTTTTGTTAGCTAAAGTAATTTGGAGCCTCGGGTGAGGTCGGGGATTTCAGCTAGTTACTTATAATAACGGGCTAAGGGTGTTTACGTGTTTTTGTGTGTGTGTGTGTGTGTGTGTGTGTGTGTGTGTGTGAGTGTGTCTGTTACGAAATTCGTAGAGCAGTTTCCAGCCAACGTCCTGAGCTCAAATTTTGCATAGCGCATGCTACCTTCATGAAAGCCCAATCTGCAAAAGCACGAGTAGATTCGTTGAGTGGATCCCTCAGAAATTGCGCGCCAAACGGGTCCATCTGAATTCTATATGGCAAAATTCGGTCCGTATCACCACTCTTTGCAGAGTCGTGGACGAGTTTGGTAGGCAACTGTGCAAGCGATGGAGTTCAGCCCGAAAAGTGGTCGAAAGTTTACTGCATGACGAAAACGGCGCCAAAAAGAATTGGTTGTGTAAATGGTCAATTTGCCAAGGTTCTAGCTAAGCGCTTGAGAAGATTTTCGCACAGAGATGTAGCTCACGGCTACTATTACCTCTATGGCGACTACCAAGCCATGAAAAATCCAAAAACCTATTCAAATTTGCGTTTGTCTTTGTGCGAAAAGTTTCATCCACACGAAATCACCGATCTCACGTGAAAAAGCTTTCTAAATGAGAAGTTGTTTACTTTTTTTCGTGGTAGTCGGCATACCGCGGTGAGTTCCAGTGCCACGTTTTTACGAGAATGAGTGAGGCACTTAGATAGTAGAGCCAGTGCAAGCCTCTGCGAAGCAGAGGTGGCGCACTGGTGTATTTATAATCAGCATCCTCAATTACCCCCTGTGCCAACTACCAGCCCCGTAGCTTAGAACTTTGCAAAAAATCGATAAAACCAATGAAGTCGATATCGACCAATGACGAAAAGTAGTCTGTGACGCACCCCCCCCCACCTCCCTCAGAATGTATGTGTGCCAAGTTTGGTCCTGATATTCAGAAATGGAACTTTCTATTCCGAACATACTTTCACATTCAGTTTTATATAAGATTCTTCTTTCAATTCTCAGACAATAGAATTAGAAAGCCCCTATCATGTTTAACGAGGTCTCGCTTTTGGTGTTTGGATTTTCAGCAATATCACTAGGAAAGATGAATCAGGCTCGAATCGATCCGTCAAGAATATGGGATGTGGCACGACCCAGAAAAGGCGTCTGCCACATTTTTTTTGCGGGTTGTGACACTTCCCATTGACTTGCCTTTGAAGCATTCAAATATCTATATTTCAGTCCTCCCCCTCGAGAGCGGGTCGCAAAATTCTCAAAAGTTACTTATACGGGTTATAAAATTGTGCAAATGACTTGTCTGCGCAAATAATTGATCAATTAATTTTTGAAAATTTCCAGATTCATTTTAGCCTCATAAAAATTTTTTTGAATAGCTGGCGCCACGCCCCCATGCCCCCTTTTTCCAAAATTTCGGGGTCGCAAAAATTTTATGGAGCATACAAAAAATTTTTTCGGAGTGCGTGGCTGACTCCACGCACCTTCATCGAAAAATTTTTTTTGTCGTCCCCCTCCCCCCGATCCGAAATCCTGGGTACGCCACTGCTATATTTTATAGAAAAATAAGTCGGTCAATAGTTCTTCCGCTTTAAACCCGCAAATTTCGTAACAAATGAATTACAAACTGTATTGAAATCTCCTCTTTTCTGGCCCTGTATTAGGTTTTTTCAAAGCTCTGTCAGATTCTGCGTAATTTCAATGCGCTTTTTCGTAAAATTTTGTTCTTTTTGCGGTTTTATGAAAAATTCTAAAACCGCTTTTTTTGCTCTTTCCAAGGCTTACTAATTCTTGATAGAAAACTAGTGCCAAAGTTCAAGCCCCGAAGCCAAGTTCCCAAAATGCAGTTATGTTCAAAAAAAGTTCTTTAGAAGAGAACGCTCGCAGTTTTCGTAGAACTACCTGTGCAATAATTTTCATGGAGCAAGGGTGTAATGGGCTAACATACGCATACATTTACTCTCACATAAAAACTGCCTTATTTTTTGAATTTTTTTCAAGTTGAAGAATCCTTCTGTTATTCTATAAGCGACAACAATCTACGTGTAGCGACAAATGCTATATTCCATATTGCATATGTTAGAGTAAAGCGAGAGCAGGGCAGGCAAGGACCATCAGCCAATTAGCTTTTTTCGTTTGCGACAGCAAAAAAAATCGAATATCGGAAAGTTGGCATACTGCGCGCAGACAAAGGCTCAAATAATGGTTTTGATTTGCTCACAAAGATTTATTTGCAGCAAATTGGATTTTCTTAAGCCATAAGAATAATCTCCAAAGTATAGGCTATTCGATTATGGCAGCCAACTGCCTTTTTTTATATGGGAGCATCATTATGTCAATTTAGACAGTGAAGGAGATCTTGCAATAATCTCCAGGTTTTTTCTTCTTTCTCACCTTGCTTTTCATAAGTGGCCAACTCTATTTATGATCATTGGCTAGCTTAATTCAGCGAAATTTGATTTATCAAAGAAGGTGATTTTGAAAAAAGTTATATTATTTTGAATCAGAGAATCTGCAAATCGTGCAGAGCTTTGAGCGTGAGCCTGAAGATCAAGTTAGGTTATTGCCATCTCCATAGATTATAATAACCTAACTTGATCTTCAGGCTCACGTATGAGTTATCCATCATTACAACCCTTATTGCAAATCACTTGGAGTCATTGGCTCACCCTGGTTTGGTTTACTGGTTTGGTGAGGTCAGATAATATACCCACCATCAAACCTTGTTTGCTTGTTAAAATCAAAATATTTTGCTGGCAAAAGGGGGCATGGGTACATCTCTATGAATCACATCATTCAACCCCAATAATTACAATCATAAAGCAGTCAAGTACAAGCTTTCATCACACTTTTATCAAGATTAGACCTAAACTACATGATGCATTATCGTTGCGGTCAGAGTATGAATAACTGCTCTATTCTACTACCAGTGCGTCACCTCCGCTTCGCGGAGGTTCGCACTGGCTCCCTATCCGTATGCCTTTCTCATGTTCGCATGAGAATGGCTTTGAAACTCACCACGCGATGCTGAGCATCACAAATGAATCGTAAACAACTGTTCATTCAGGAAGCATCTCCATGTAAGATCGGTAATTTTGAGAAAAAAAAACCTTGTTGCAAGGAAACAATTGCGAATTTGAACGGATTACTGAATTTATTTTAGTTTGGTAATCGTCATGAGGATAATAGCCACCTTGGGTAACATATCAGTGCAAAAATCTTTTCAGTTTTTTCAAATAAAGCCTTGCCAAATCGACTGTCTACGCGTTCATCACTTTTTGGCGCTGTTTTCGCAAAAAGCAAACTTTTTGGGCACTTTTTGGGCACTTTTTGGGGGAGAATCTATGAGGCCCAGACTTACATGTCAGGCAAATTATAATTTTGCAAAAAGTCGAATTAGCGACCCAATTTTGCTTGCCAAAGGCGCGTGGACCCGTTTGACGCGCAAATTTTGAGGGACCCGTTTATCGAACCGGCTCGTCCTTGTGCATGGTGGGCCTACACGCTGGCAGGGTATGTTATGCAAAATTGCAGCCCGATAGCTTACCTGCAGCTTCCTCTATAAATTTCGTGACAGACAGATTTTCACACAGACACACACACACAAAAAAAACAGACGGCCTTAGCGCGTTATTATAGTAGGATTGTATGGAACGCCAAGAGCGTATCTAATAAATAAATAAATAAACAAATAAGTAAATAAATAAGGCATGTGTTTTCTTTCTGTCCTCGGATGGCTGCGCAAGATCCGAGTGTAAATTGTACATAACTGAATTCCTCCCTGAATCAGTTGTATACAATTTCTACAAGTGGATATCGCGCAAGCACGGAGGGGGGGGGGGGGAGAGGGAGGAGAGGAAGAAACGAAACGGACATGCATCTTATTTTGCAGAAGGCTTTCTCGAGGCATTCTCAACGTGAGATCCATTTCTGAAGCATGTTTTTCTAGTTCAGGTTTTTCTTATTATTTAGTTAGCACATTGGCATCGCTTTGCGATGCACTGAGCTGCGTCACGAAGACAGAAAACTTTATGTACTCACGTCCGGGGTGCGAAGTGCGATTAGATTTATAGTACCTTTTTTCCAGCATTTGTAGCTGCCCTTAACAGCTTTTTACACCGTTGTTGTATTCGCCTCATCAAGATTGCTACCCAAGCTGTTCTTCTTTTTTTTATTTTGTGGCTTCTTTTTAATCGTTGTTCATAATTATCGACAATTCAACTTAAACGGAGGAGAATATTTGTGGGTAGAAACTTCAGTTTGAATTCCATATTACATAAACACAGCTCAAGTGAGGTCCTAGCATATTCTTTCTTTTCTTTTCTTTTCATACTCTTTTTTAATGATACTGCTCCAAACAGAACGATGTCACCCTCAAAAGAAAAAGTCGAAAGTCTTTTATCAATTGGATTGGCTAATACCTCATTCAATCCCGTAATTTCGTCATCCATTGCAGAGCCGTAAACACCATTACGATCACTTTAACGTAACTCTTACCTCGATGAAAAGTAAGAGGATTGAATAGCTAAGTTGTAGCTGTAGTTGTTGCCAACTCTCTCAAGTAAATGTGGCGCCAAACCAGACGCCGTCAAAGTCCCGCGCGAGCGATAGGCGGCGCTTCTGACAAACTTCCACTTTGGAAGAGTGCATGCAACATCCTCAAAGTTTTGATCTTAGCTTTTCTCAAAATTGATCTCATTCAGTGCCCGTCATGAATTTCTTAGGTTCTTCTTCGCCTTCCACAAATGGATGGGCAATTCGAAGTCCTTTACGGTCAAAAATCCTTTGGTCTTGATAAGAGGCCAAACGCGGCGCAAGATTCTTGTCCAGACGATGGACAATATCCGCTTCGCTGGAACACGATGGAAGGGTGGTCTTAAATCTATATTTGCCGCTGCTTTCCTATTCGATGAAGAGTCTTGAATCAAGGATTAAGAAGAGTCTCACATGTAGAGCAGAAAATTTGTAACAACGTTTGCTCTTGCATTATCTGTTGAAAAGGAAGAGGATGGACGACGGGAGCAAAAATTCTAAAAATTCATTTTTCCGCGGTTCAGTCTCACACTCAAGTCTCATTGTCCCTTCTGCTGGAAATTTAATGAATTGAGTGATACCCTCAACCTTACAAAACTAATTGAAAAAAATTTCTATCTCAATTCAGGGTTCTGCTGTTGACCTCTTATCGAATAGCGGCATCTACAAAGGAGATCGACGTCTTTTTAAGTGATAGCGTCCAAGTGCCTATTAGCACGGTAGGTGGATGCTCGCAAACTTCTTTTCTATATTTCTAAATCTTCAGCAAATCTGACCCATCACGAAATACAGGGTGTCCCAAAAAATGTGAACACTGTTCGATCGTTGAAAACTCCATTGCTTTCATGTCTTTTACCGAGACTAAGGTACCATTCTGTAGAGCGAAGCTCAATTTAGATATACAGTATGGAGCGAATCATCAATCGCTCTTCACTACTGTACGATTACGGTAGGAACTTCGACAAAGATTATAGGCCATTGGAGGCCATATTCTGCCTTGGAACAAAATCACACAAGCTAAAAAATCTTATACTATGTAATGAAAACCGCTGGTTTCGATTATGAAATTTCTTTACTGTGATGCTTCTTTCCAAAGTTATCCCGCGTAAACCGTAATAGGTGATTTCCTAGCATTTGTCAGGAATGTGATTACACCGTTAAAAAGCTGAAAACATTCGTAAAAAGTTGTGAGTGGAATCAGCGTCGCGAAAACCCAATACACAATTTTTCAGATCTCTTTAGAAAATTTTGTCAGATGGCATATTTCGCAATGGCTCCACATTCTAGAAGTTCTTACCGTAATCCTACAGTAACTAAGAGAGATCGATGATTCGCTCCATACTGTAGATCTAAGCTGAATTTCGCTCTACAGAATCGTGCTTCAAGCTCGGCGAAATACATGAAAGTACAGGAGCTAATAACGATCAAACAGTGTTCACATTGCTATCGAAATGCTATGGCTACATGAAATTATTATCCTTTTGTTTCTTTGGAATGAAGTTCAGAAATTTTGTCACTTTGTAGAATAAGCACAGCTTTTGCAATTAAACTGAATAATGACCGCAGCGATAGCTCCCATAAAAAAGGCTTCAGCATCTTTTGGTTTTTGGATACCATAATGAAACAAAAGCTTAGTAGTGACTGTAAATGGGGTTTCCAGTTCCTGCTCAATCTATCCGACAACTTCGAGATCATTGTTCGGAGCACCGACGTTGAATATAGTACATTTTGCTCTAAAATTCCTCGCTCTTTTGTTGAGGTGGAAGGACAGACGGCTCTTTTCATAGTTTCGTAGGTTTTTGCGACCATTCTTTGATTCATACATTTAAAATAGATTTTTTTTATTCTTGAATCAAATTGGTACTCTGCGGCTCAACAGGAGGAAATCATGAATGATATAAATTAATGAGAGAGCACTTCAGGTCTACTTTCGGAAATCCTCTTTGCGAAAAGAATGTTAAAGGAAATGTCGTGCTAGCGAAACTCACAGGCCAAACCATAACCGTTAGTTTAAATCTGTCTTTCTATCGCTTCGACAAAGCTTTTGTTACAGTATGGAAGTGCCTTCGTGCAAGAGAGTGGTCTTATAGAGGGCCAGTTCACTGATCTTGTTGATTACCTCAACAGCATCACCGTACGTTTGTTGTATCGTTTTACTTAAGCAAAATTCTCTGCTATTATTTGTTTCTCGTAAATTTTTCAGTTTGTCAGAGAAATTGTTCACAATGTAGGAGACACTTACGTCGGAATTAAGGTGACAAACTTCTAGTATGATTACTGACGTCCCCGCAGTGAAAGTTTGTTTAGGAGCGTGTTAGTCTCTTAAATCCAATTGTAGTACCATATTGGGTTGCTATACCCGTAATTGTGCTATTGATAATTTTGATTTGTGCCAGCTTTTTTTTCTACATCAAAAGGCCAAAGTCAGTCAAATAGACATTTATTAGCATCTGCTTTCCTTGAGATTTCTTTGCTAAAAGCTTTAGACACATTGAACCATCGTATATGGAACTGGGAAAAGGAAGGAAGTTGCACAAATTGAGGGAAGATGTAGAAAACAACACCGATGTCACGGGAAAGCACAGAACTAAAAAAAGCTCCGCAAGCGAAGAGCGGTCTAAATCAAGAGGTAGCAGGAGGGAGGGCAATTCCAGATCGCAAGTAGAAAGCGATCGTGAGAAAGCTAAGTTCTCGTCAAAAGAAACTTCTGCAAAAAGAAAGAGAGCCGAGAAAGAAGATGAGTCTTCTTCAAAAAAAGCTCCTGCGAAGAAGAAGAACGTAAGTATGAATAACCAGCGCCGCATCGCAGTAGGACCTTCAAAACTGTATATGTTCATATCATAAATATTCTCTAGGCCTCACAACTGCCAAGCGAGTTGAAGAAGCGCGGCCGTCTTGAAGTGAGTTCAGAATGTTATTTCCTCATCTTGCGTAAACTTGCAAACAAACAGTTACCTTTTTACACCTAATTTACAAGATAAGAGGTCGAAAATATAGCTACCCATCGTCTGGTGTCCTATGTATTTTAAAATTTCTTCATTATTTTCTAAGCAGATCTATTCGCACATCTTGTTATTATATAGGTGATTGCCAAACCTGTAACGTCTGCCGAATTTGAAATGCATCTGCATCGGCTTGCTCAGTTTACTGTCGACTACTATAACAATCCGACGGTATATAATGTGACGCCGGGTGAGCCCAACTAAACTTGTACTTCTTTATTGTTTGCATAGACCTATCCCTACGATACGTGTAAGATATTTTGGTATGAGATTTTTTTACATTGTATCCTTATACCTACGTATCTCGAGTAGCGAAATGAGTGGTACGTTCTAGAGGAGATGCGAGGATGCTTTGCGAGAGCGTTACATCCCAGATCTTTTAAAAAAGCATTGAAAAAAGAAGATTAAAAGAAATATGTGAATAATTAGATTAATCATAAGCTGTAGTATCTTCACAGATAACGATGGTGATCATCTCGAAAGGTACATATGTCCGAAATTTTGGGCCACCTACGTTTATATGGAGGACTAATGATATTCTGCAAATAAGGCATATCATGTTCTCACGTGTTTCATCATAAGAACACTGCGCCATGTCTTTATCGATGAATTGGTATACTTATGACAAACTGAGGATTATCGTTGCAGACGTGCAACCCGGTTTTTTGTACAATGGCATGCCCAAGAATGGCCCGGAAGATCCAGACGATTTTGATACAATATTCGAAGACATCAAAAGTAAAATTATGCCTGGCGTAAGTAACTCAATTGCTCACTTGGTATTCACTAGAAGCAATCAATTTAAGCTGACGCACTGGCAGCACCCAAATTTCTTCGGATATTACCCGATTGGACGCTGTTTTCCGGATATGCTCGCAGATTTCCTTGTTTCAGCGTTGACGGTCATCGGATTTTCTTGGGTAAGGAAATTTTCATTTCAGGTTCCTACTCATGTGTAAACTCTTTTTGTCCCGATCACCCCCTGATTTTGAAAGTAAACATTATACATTATGTTTATTGGTTTAATCAGTTATAGGTTGATGCAAAAACTGCCGTTTTGCTAGTTCTCAACGTGCTATAACTTTCTGAAAAGTCTACATTTTTGAGTGAAGACCATCAGTAAAACTTTTGCAGTAAGCGCACATTTGCCTACATTCACATTACTGACAGGCAGAAAAAAATATGCACTAAAAAACAAAAATAGTTAATCTCTTTCTGAAAGCTTATTTGACAACCATAATTCAAATCAAAGTTTGCCAGTTCGATTGATAAGTTGCCCATCTTGTAGCCGCAAGCCATAGGACAAAAAAGATGGAAGGTGTTCCGGTAAAGAAGATTTGCGAAAAAAATAGAGTTTGAAATGTCAGCTTTCTCAACATTTTTTCAGTAGATCTTATAGTTTCGAATTATTGAATTTTCTCAATTTCTGCGTAATAAACAGCTGAATGTTTTTGCAATCTGTCAATCGGATACTCTACCTTTACGCTTAAAGAACTGAAAAAGGCTTTGCCAATTGCCTTTTTTAAGAGAAATTCATGGGCCAGAGAATGTTGACAACGACTGTTCGTGTTGAAGCGCCAATATCGAGTCTAGATAAATTCAAAAAATAGCTAACAAGGGAACCGTGTCGAGTCGAAGTGGCCTTTCCAGATGAACCTTTCCTTTCCATACTGCTTCAAAGAGCATTAATCGATGATTCCAAATCTGCTTCCCAAATCTGCCAAGCGCCTCTGGACGCCGAGTTATGCTCGCTTTTCAGGTCAAAAAATTGAACGCAAAACTGAAGCAAAATCGCCCAACTTTGCTCAAATGGTCCAGTGACAAGTATCAGAGCTGTTTATGTAATGGATACATTTTATTCAATATGCTAATACTTAACATTGCTTCATCTGAGCGCTGGAAAGTTTGTAATAATCAATTTTACCTAAATTCTGCATTCATTTTTCGTTCCAAAAAACGGTCATAACTCGGCGTCCAGAGGCGCTTGGCAGATTTGGAAGGCAGATTTGGAATCATCGATTAATGCTCTTTAAAGCAGTATGGGTCTCATCTGGAAAGGCCACTTCTCGACACGTTTCCCTTGTAAGTTTGCATAATAAAGGCTATCTTTTTTACTTACAGCAGCTGAATTTTTGAAAAAGCGGCGTTTGATCGCTGAATTTTGGCCACAACAGTAAATGTAATGAAATTCCGATTTAGGATGGGGTTGAAAGCTCTGTCAGTATTTGACAAATGATGCCGGAAGACCTTGTCAAGCACCTTGAAACAGAGCATGAAAGAGCTTAATAGTATGCTGAATCTGTTTAAAAGGAGAATTTCTAATGGAAAAAGGCTTGAGAAATGGTCATTATTTTTGCATAAACCTAATGGTTGCTTGACGTCTACGATTATACTCAAAATTGAGTAAATTCTTAGCATTTGTTGACTTCTCAGCCTTGGTGTTACACAATTTTGCCACTGAAGCATTCAAACTTTTTAGGACTCCTGTCCAGCGCTGACAGAAATAGAGCAAGCTATGATAAACTGGGTTGGAAGAGCATTTGGATTGCCAGAAACCTTTCTGTTCCAAGTAAATTTCGCATTCTTTTTCTGTCCATGCCATTGAGTTTACTAGTAACATATGTATGGAAAACAGTGTTGATGGTAAGCTACTCTACTAGTGCGTGTAGGTTTGAAGATCTAAGCCAACAATGTATCCTAATGTACCCTCCTGTGCCAACTTTCAGCCTCGTTGGTAAAACTTTGCAAAAAATTGATATAGTTGACATCCATCGATTTGAAAGGTAGCTAACGATACTCGTCCTGCTCTAAGTGTATGTGTGCCAAGTTTGGTCTATATGGGTTCAGAAGTGAAAATTATTATTCGGAACATACAAGCAGATATACATACATACACACAAACTGGAATGCAGCTTTATTAATAAGATGTTGGAAAGAGCTTCAATGACAAAAAGATGGCTGTTATATCCATCGCGCTCGATTGACTGCGACAGCTTCTGGTACATGGGCTCACGTGAAAACTGATTGAGAACCTTAACTACGACATTGCCACCTCGCATGTTTTCGCGAGTCGGCAAATTCAACTCTAAAAATGTGCTCCAGCACATTTTTTTTACACGATATCAATGTATCTTATTCTCTGTTACAAAAACTGTAGATTGTCCATGCACGTATGGCCGCCAGATTATCCACATGGCTCCTCATGACGCACCTGGCGGTGCTTACTTTCAAGCAGGCGAAATTCACATTGCATTGACAGCACTGCTTGCTAAAAGTTGGTATTCAGGCTACACATGCCCAACGTGGCTGTAATAAAAAAAAGTTCAGGTCAAGTTCTGGATTCGTCTACATCTTCGCATCGCTGCTCGTCATATTCTTTGCAATTAAATTGTTGTTTCTACCCATATGGTTGAGACCAATTGGGTAGGGCACTATTTGTCGCCGAAAGGGGACGATCCGCACGGCCTCTTGTAACAAATATGCACCTCTTGCATATGTAACACAGCTCGTTGTAAGATTGCATTCTTACAGCACAAAACATAGGCGTTTAAAGCACAGCTTGCGAACGGCATCTAAAGGCTCAGATTCAGATCATTCTTATGTGAATTTACTTCGTACCTATGTACGTTAAAATGCACTGTTTTCTTAGCGAGAGTAAATCTGCAGTTGGGCTGGTTTCTACATAATGGAAGCAAATATCTTATATATATTTATAAAAGTCAGGGTTTGTGCAAATTTTGACCGCATGTTTTTTATAGACTCCTTTGCGTGTGAACCGATTGAGCTGAAAATTTGCACACATATGTTTCTGACCTCGTAGATGGTTTTAAGCTAACTTTCGAAGCGACTCGCGAAATCCTATTGATTTATTGATCTTTGGCACCTTGCAATGAAAATGAACACATACCAGTCGCTACCAAACCGCTTGCACATTTTGGTGTGAACAATGCAGTAAACTCCATTTCAAATCTACTTGTAGGAAATGCAGTTACTCCACTCAACCTTTCTGAGGTAAGTTCATGCAGGAGGGTAAGGGGAGGAGCTTTCAGCGCAGTGATACTGCAGAGAGGGGGAGGAGAGTATGGCTGAACCAAAAAAAAAAGACGGGAAGGAGGAAAGACAGAAGTGTGGTTTTTGGCCATTCTAAACGATTACCCGGGCTGGACCGGGAAACCAGCTAGTTGGCGATAAGTAATATCGTTACAGGACTCGCCTGAATCTAGCCAAGGCGGTGGAACAGTGACAGAATCAGCGTCGGATGCAATTTTTTGTGCTCTTCTTGCTGCGAGACAGTGGAAGATAAATCAGGTCAGCCTAACTAAACTGAAATAGAAAAATGTTTTCTTAGAAATATTGATTGAAAGACAGGTAGTTGAAGAGCAGCGACGTAGTGGAGTAGTGAAATACGATACAATACATGATATTGCAAAACGATTAGTTGTATACTGCAGCAAAGATGTAAGTTGAAACTTCAAAAAGAATTTCTTCGAATAAGACGTTTTAGCCATTATTGAAAATGTTAGGCAGATTATTTCTTTTCAAATCTAAACATCCAACAACTTCTCGCGTCGTCTTCACATTGTGTTCAGGCGCATTCTTGTATTGAAAAAGCTTGCAAACTTGCAATGCTTAGATGTCGTCCGATACAAGCAAAGGAAGAGAATCAGTGGGGCATCACTGGGGAGCAAATAGAAGAACGCATAGAAAAGGTACTAGAACAATGCATACAAGCAGCGGTTGATTTTTTGATCAGTTTCCAGGATCTCAAAAGAGATCTGATACCTTGCTTCATTCATTGTACACTGGGGACAATTCCAACCGCTTCTTGTGACAAACTAACAACGATAAGTCCTGTTGCGAGCAAGTAAGTTTGAAGACGTTTGATGGTATGTCTACAGTCACATGAAAATTTGAGAAAAAATGTTACTTTCTTACATTTATATGCCTTTTTTGAGGTATGGAACGTGGCTACACGTTGATGCTGCTTACGCTGGAGGGACTTTTGTAGAGCCAAAGTATCGCGACGTAGCGTAAGTTTGATTAATCAATCAAAAGAGAGGTTGTGATGAAATCCGCGCATTTCGTATAAACAACATCACCAACAACACAGGCTAACAGAATGCAAAACCTAACACCATCCACAGCGTAGCAAAATGGCAATCACATCGTGGTGCGCTACGATTCAGTGCAAAAATAAGGAAAAGAAAAGCAGTTTTCAAATAGTCTGAGGTGCAGGAACACCAGAAAACTATTAAGGCCCACACGATATGTGAATAAGTATGTTCAAAAGTAACTTTATTGCTGAAGGTGGTATTTTGATTTGGATTTACTGCAAACACGCTACGCAGCTTATGGTGTACTTTCTTCATAAGCTGAAATAAACGAAGGAAAAAGTTTCCTTAATGACCTGCACCAAATATATGCTAACTTTGCTCCAAACATAGAATTACTTCAAAATGATCTAATTGCTCTGATTGGGTACGCGTTTGACCTGGTCAAGATCTATCAAGTTTTTTCTCTTTTCTTTGGTTCTGTCACTATCTTCATCTTCGCTCATTATTAGAACTTTTCAGAGAAGGTTTAGAAGCCGCTCACACTATTAACATCAATCTTAGCAAATTTCTGCTTCATTCTGCTACATTATCAATTATTTGGACCCGTGAACAGAAAATTTACAAAGACGCATTTGCTGGCAATCCTGCGTACTTAAAACCATCTAGAGGCAAGCTCAAAGTCTAATCTGAAGAGGTTCCTCTCATGTAAGCTGTTTAGCGACTATAGCGGACCAAAGGGATTGGGGTCTCCACTTAAGTCGCCGTTTCAAAGCGCTCAAAATATGGTTTATCCTACGTCTCTGCGGTGTTGAAAGCCTCCGTCTATACGTTAACAAGGTGAGGTTTCTTCCTTTAAGTGTCAGTAAAATGATTTATTTTACAGATATGTGAGATGGCAAGCTATTTTGAGTCACTTGTAGACCAACATCCAAATTTCCAAATCTTCACAACCAGAAATTTTGGGTTATTTACATTTCAGTACATTGTAAGCAAATAATTTTGTCGACCTGCTGACTCAAAAGTCTCAGTTTTTAGGAGCCAAATTTTTCAAAAGAAGAGAGGAACCTTCACACACTTCGGCTTCTTCGTTTCTTCAACGAGTCGCATAAAATCTACTTTACGCATGGAAAAGTATGAACATTTAAAGAATCGTACTTAAAAGTCCCCTTCACACATTCAGTCCACATTTGGTTCCTTCATGGGCAGCGTCCGGGCAGGTGTACAAATGTGGTGTACAGGGGCTCCAGCTTTGATAAAGCTCTCCTAAAGTGGCATTGCAGCACTTTGCTTCTGAAGCGAGAAACCGCTTAAGAAGGCGACCGGAACGCCCAGTGACCTGCCCGCCCTTCAGTCGATAGCCAGAGCACGTATATACACAGTTAAAACGTAGTGTCCCACCACCGCGTCTTAACCTCGGCTGCAAGCTTCCATATTCAAAATCAACAGCTTCTGGAATATCCCGTTTTCGAAATTTTCATACTTTGCAAACTCGGAATCAGCAGAAAGAATAAGCTCAGGTAAACAGAAAAGTTTTGTTCAAAATTTTGCCCGGACGCTGCTTTTAACCCTGTCCATCGCTTGTTCGACAGCTGCTCCAAAAGCATATCGCACTGCGCAGTAAAAGTTCGTGACGGCTTGACTATTTCACAGGGCCTGGCACAGATCGTATGGAAGCAGGCTGGACTTCGTTTTTGGGGCGAAAAAGCAGACGTTTTTGTGGCCAAAATTTGCGGCGTTTTTGTAGTCGACGTTTCGTTTTTTGAGGGTTTTTTATGTTTAGCGCTAAGAGTCAAGGGGAACTTCGTGAAATTTTGCGAAAGTCATAGGGGACCTCGTTTGCAAGAAGCGAAGAAACGAACTCATGTCGGGCCCTGTTACTTCAGTATAATGTAGAATTTCATCCCAAAGTAGTTGCCCTCATACGCAAATGAGTCTTCATAATTGAAGTGAGACACAGTCGAGCTACTTTAGAATTCTAAGAAATTTTACTGCGAAAATCCCATATGCTTAGCTAACCAAAAAGACACTTGCTTTGCTGAATGTCATGAGCAAACCTTTCAGCTTGCTCGAAACTTCATCATTCGTGTCTCAGTTGGTTATGAAAGAACGACGAAGGAAACAATTGATAGTGCCTTTAACATAATGAAGACATTGACTGAAGATTACAAGAAAAGGAAACGTTTGTTTTTATACCTTATTGAGATTTTACAGCTTCTCTCTGCGTGAGACAAGTCGCTATTTGCAGTATCAAATTAGTTTCACAAAATGTACAATCTTATCTATTGAGATGCGAGTTTGATTACCTTACCACAAAAGTCTTCGGATATCTTAAATATTTTTCTACGAAAGTAGTTTGCAGTGGGAACATCTTGCTCAACGTTTTGCAGTAATCTTTAAGTAAGACTGACGAATTCATGATTGATTCTTTACGATTCGGTATTAGGTCATTCGAAAAGTTTTTCGTGTTAGTACCATCAAATTTAAAAGAGCATAACTTCTTCCATATTCAAGCTTATTCCACCGAATAAGTTTCAATGTGTTCATAAAACTTTTGGCAGCACTAATCTAGTTTTCCTGCGCTTTTCTCTTGCAAAATAATTTCAGAGGAGTCAATAAAGCCTAAAAAGGGGTTCTTGACTAGATAATTTTTATTGGGTCCTATCATTTTTTGATACTCACCAAGTTAGAAAAAGTGGTGGTTTGTAAAGGACGGTCTAAAGAGCTCAAAAAATAAACAGGAACCTCGATGCGCCTCAACCTTTTTTGTGAGAGCCACCTTTCGTACATGTGGTTTGAAGGCATCATGGGCCAGAATGGCACCTTCCAGATATTATGCGTGCAAGTCTGTTCAGTTTCAAAATTTTGGAAAACGGTCTTCGGAGCAATATCATACTGCTCTGGTCTGACAATATATCACATCAGTGCGTCACCTTCGCTTCGCAGAGTTTCGCACTGGCTCTGCTATCCGTATGCCTCTGCTCCCATAATGATGACTTTGAAACTCACCGCGCGAGACTGTACATCACAATTGAATCATAAACATCTATTCATTTTCGGAGCATCTCCATGTAAGATCGGTAATTTTGAGAAAGAAAACTTTTTGCCAAGGAACAGATGCGAATTCGAATAGATTACTGAATTTATTTTGGTTTGGTAATCGTCATAAAAATAATAGTCATTCTGTGCTACGTTTCCGTGCAAAAATCTTCTCGGTTTCTTAGGTAAAACCTTGCCAAATCGACTTTCTAGGCGATCACTATTTTTGACGCTGTTTCCATAGAAAAGTTAACTTTTTGGGCACTTTTTGAGCTAGAATTCTTGGAGCACAGATTTACTTCTCAAGCAAATTATGACTTTGCAAAAAGTCGAATTAGCGACTTAGTTTTGTTGCCAAAAGCCGCCTGGATCCGTTTGAGGTGCAAATTTTGAAGGACCCGCTTATCGAACCGGCTCGTCCTTGTGCATGATGGGCCTACGTGCTGATACGGTGCGTTATGCAAACTTGCAGTTCGTTAGCTTGGCTGCAGCTCCCTACTTGAACTTCGTGACAGACAGACATATATATATAGGGTGTCCCAAAAAAATGTATCGAACGTTTGATCGTTAATATCTCTCTTCTAAAGAAGTCTTTTCTCTTGCTTCAGGTACCAATCTGTAGAGCTGGCTTCAACTTAGATTTGCATTATAGAAAAATTCACTAATCTCTCTTCATTACTGTAGGATTAGGGTAGGAACTTCAAAGAGGGTTTTAAGCAATAAAAGGCCATATTTTGCCCCAGAAAGGGAACAAAACAGCCTGAAAACTTTTACACTAGCTTAATTAGAGTTGCTGATTATAACTGTAAAGTTCCCAATTTATTATGATGCTTCATTGAAGAGTTATGCCAGGTAAGAAATAGCGGCCATTTTTTTCAATGTTCCTAAGAAATGCGGTTATACCGTTTAGAAAGGTTCGTAATCTTGTGAATAGGTGAGTATTGAACTCAGCGTCCATAAAAAAACTAATACACAAATTTTCACATTTTTTTGAAGAATTTTGAAACGGCAGCTTTTTCCACATTGACACCATATGTTTCAAGTTTCTACCGTAATCCTACATTAATGAAGAGAGATTAGTGAATCGTTCTATACTGCAAATCTAAGTTGTAGCCAGCTCTACAAAACGGTACCTGAAGCAAGGCAAAAGACTTTTTGGGAAGAGAGATATTAACGATCAAACATTCGATACATTTTTTGGGACACCCTTTATATATACAGGGTGTCCCAAAAGTAAGTACACACTTTTCAAAGCTAATATCTCTCTTCCCAATGGGTCTTTTTTACCAATCAAGTACCACTCTGTAGAGGAGGCTTAAACTTAGATTTACAGCAACGAGCGATTCACCGATCACTTTTCGTTACTGTAGGATTACGGTAAGAACTTCCAGCATGTGGAATTTTTTGTGAAATATGCAATCCGACAAAATTTTTTCAAAAAATCTGAATAATCGTGTAATAGGGTTTTCGCGCAAGCCGGTTCCTTTACACAACTTTTTATAAGTGTTTTCAGCTTTTCTGACAGTGTAATTACAGTTCCGACAAATGCTGGTGTAATAGGGTTTTCGCGCAAGCCGGTTCCTTTACACAACTTTTTATAAGTGTTTTCAGCTTTTCTGACAGTGTAATTACAGTTCCGACAAATGCTGGTAACTCGGTTATTACGGTTTACCTGGGATAACTTAGGAAAGAAGCACCAGAGTCGAGTGGAAGTTTCATATTCGAAATCAGCGGCTTCTACTACCATAGTATGAGAGTTTTTGGCTTGTTTGGTTTTGTTTCGAGGCAGAATATGGCTTGCAACGGCCTAAAATCCTTGTCGAAGTTCCTACAGTAATCCTACAGTAACGAGAAGCGATCGGTGATTCGCTCGATATTGTAAATCTAAGTTGAAGCCTCCTCTACAGAATGACACTTAAATGGCTGAGAAAGACGCAATGGGGAGAAAGATGTTAACGATTGAAAAATGCGTTATTGAATTGAAAAAATTAAAAAATTGAATTAAAAATTGAAAAAAATGAAAAATACTTACTTTTGCGACATCCTGTATATATATTCACACACACACACACACACACACACACACACACACACACACACACACACACACACACACACACACACACACACACACACACACACACACACACACACACACACACACACACACACACACACACACACACACACACACACACACACACACACACACACACACACACACACACACACACACACACACACACACACACACACACACACACACACACACACACACACACACACACACACACACACACACACACACACACACACACACACACACACACACACACACACACACACACACACACACACACACACACACACACACACACACACACACACACACACACACACACACACACACACACACACACACACACACACACACACACACACACACACACACACACACACACACACACACGAACAAAAAGACAGACGTTATGCGCTTTATTATAAGTTATGATGATCTTAGCAGGTCTATACGTGCAAAACCAGCAAGATTATATTGGCTTGAGTCCATCACCTTTCTGGAATGACTGATTGTTTATGACCTTGCTATCAATGATTTCAAATGATTTATCACAATGTCGCTTTTTATGGCCGTACTTGGCTCAATTTTTGCTGTAAGTATCAGGCTATCTAAGCTAAAAAAGGATTGCTTCATCAAAAACAACGAAAGCAGAGTCAATGCGCCCTCCATCTACGAGTGCGAGATTGTGTGGGGTATACATTGCTGGGAATTTTCGGCATCGTAGCTTTAGCGAGGGTGGCTTCTAATGGGGCTATATGGGTCCAAGGCCTGCTAATAGATGCAGCTATTTTTGCGATTTGCTCCAAAGGACCCTCTGAGATGCGCGCTTATATGGCAGGAACACCTTCCAGAACATGGCAAAATTTTAGCTTTCAATTCTCAAAGTTTAAACTTTTCAAAGCACTTGCATTATCTTTAAGAAATACGTAGCCTTGGCAAATGCGTTGCGCACAATGATGGCTTCCTCAACTGCTTCAAATTCAAGTTTGAGCTTAGAGAATGCAATTATAAAAAAATCGCGTATCGCGTTTTCGTGTGTCGAAATTGAAGCCGCATAAACTTCACTACAATGCGTGTTCTACAATCTCGGTGGGGTCCTCAGAAACTAGAAGATTTCCTCTACGGATCCATATATAGCAATCCCTATCAGCCGTTTGGATCGACTCTTCAAAGCAGGGCCTACCAACTTATGCGAAAAATTCCAGGACAAGAGAATTATTAGGTTGATGCATAATTCCTGCACCAAAGTGGGTACAGACCGCAATAATCCGCAATAATCCTATATCCCAAATAGGATCTGATAAATCATTAGATAAAGCAAACATAGCTCTACAAGATAGTGCTCAAATATTTACACCAGCTTTGATCTACGCGAAGTTTTGAGCCGAAAACTGAAAAAAAACGCGTTCGAAAACCTTAAGTCCAATCAGAACAAAATTGTAACTTCGTTCAAAAAGCTCCTACAAAATTTCTTTCTTGCTAACAGGTCATTCCACGTAAGACATTTATCTATGCGGTTGCTGTATTTTTTTCTCAGCTAGACGATGAGAAAACGAAGTTTTTCATGTTTTTGCCAAGTTAGAGCTGAGATGTTCTAGCATTAAGAGTTGTATGGTACATGCCATTAGCAGTACAACTTTACATTTTCAGCTTTTTAGAAGAGCTAGTTCACGAAAAATATCGAATCTAGCTCTCCTTATCCGAATTTTTCTTGCCTAGTTGCTTAAAATTCGATATTTCTCGTAAACCAGCTGCTGTAATGTTCTACAACATGAAAAACTTCGTTTTCTCATCCTCTAGCTGAAAAAAATACAGCAACCGCATAGATAAATGTCTTACGTGAAATGTCTACGCGTGAGGCAGAAAGAAATTTTGCAGGAGCTTTTTGAACGAAGATACAATTTTGTTTTGATTGGTCTTAGGGTTTTCGAATGCATGGTTTTTTTTCAGTTTTCGGCTCAAACTTCGCTTAGATCAAAGCTGCTGCAAATTTCTAAGCACTGTCTTGTAGAGTTAGATTTGCTCTTTCTAATGATATATCGAATCCTATTTGGGATATAGGATTATTCCGGATTATTGCGGTCTGTACCTATTTTGCAGGAATTATGCATCAACCCAATATTAAGATAAAATTTTGTACATTTTGTTGGGATACCTTCTACAACATAAGCTTCTGGGGCAACACTTTGTAAGTAAGTTGAAAGAGATTTAGAAAGGGAGGTTGGCGAAATTCACTGGCTTCTATGTCTGTCAATCAATGCACTACTCTCAATAGAGATAGTGTCAATGGTCCAAACACTGATCAATGTTGGTTTGATTGTAATCAAGCCACCTTGTCAAAATGACAGATGCGGACTACGAAGGCCTCTTTCAAATAATTTACTCAGTTCCCCCTCTTTTAGACTAAGCAAGTGCTAAACTTTTTTGTCATTATAATGTTCACAAAATTTAAGATGATCCAATGCTGGTTAGACCTCATGCGAGGAGTTTTTCGGAAGGTTCAGCACCTCCCACAGATGCAGACGTCAGTGTCGCCATTATCAAAAAGGTGAAGGTGAGTGTGAAAACAATAAAATAATTCGGACCATGAAATCTTTTTTCTAGAAAGCCGAGGAACAGGCCAAGATGACAGAACAGTCGGAAGACATAAAGACTGCACGGGCTACATCACCTGGGATGACAGAAAAATCGGAAGAAAACATAAAGACTGCACGGGCTACATCACCTGGGTAGGGTTTTTTTAGACGTGAATTATCTCACTTTATCTAAGAAAACTCCTTTTAGCCCTTCCGCACCTCCAAAACCTGCCGAGTTAGACGTTGCTGAAAAGGTTACCTCTGAAGAACAAACGGCATCCACTGAGGGTGATATACATACTGCTGTTTCCTCTACCCCCAAGAAAGACGTTGTCGAAGATGCATCTCAAAAAACTTAGATATTATTTCTCTATTACTGCTTACTTTATCTTCCAAAATCCATAACTAGCAGTAATTAATAATTTTTGCATTCCTGTCTATGTATAAATTTTTTAAAATTGTACTACAGTTTTCTCAGCACTCAAAATGGCATCATATGACCAAAATGAATACTTTCAATCCGTTTTAAAGTGCTGCAAGAAGCAGCCTCAGCATGCTGTTAACATAAATAGGATCCAGGTCTGATCGAAATGCTGATAACGAGGTCTGGCAAGATGATTTTTTGGTAGTGTGAGATACAAGACAAAACCACGTTCTCACTACTAAATACCAACTGTTGCTTTGAAACTAGGACACTGAAGGTTGAAACAGTATAGTCAACACAGAATTTTGGCTTTGGCAGTTTGGCTTGTTACGCACTTGTTCGGGATCAGGGACGAAATCTAGCCCACATGCAGATATTTAGGTTTCTTACTCAAAAATTATTCTCAAAAAGATACATATGGTTCATAACAACATCCACAATATTGCTACTATGACTATGCTTCACTCGAAATGTGCGCCGTGTATTTTGATGCATCTCGTCATCGCGGTATTCGATCTTCAAAGAATATGTAAAAAATATATAGTTATATGTTATTGTGTTAAAAATATATAGTTAGCATGCCATCTAATCTTCGCACGCAAAAATATCAAATTTTTTAGTCATATGCATCCGATCCGACATGGCTTCAGTATTCTGCTTGAAGATTAAAGCAAAAAATCACTCTCAGATGATAAGTTTGAACACATATACCCTAATTTCACGCGTACAAGGCGCGGGGGATTTTTTTCTAAAATCCGCCAGCTTAAACACGCCACAGCACTTCGCTACCAAAGAACCCTATACCGGGCTCCGTATTGCCTGAGAGAATTGAACGGTTTAAGGTTCGCTTTCCGAAACACATTGAAGCGGTTGAGCGGCTTGTTTGAAAAATCGAAAAAAGGTGCGCCTTGTACCCTTGAAATTAGGGTACTTATATCACAAAATGCACCTGATTATAATAATGCCGAACTTTTTACCAAAGCAAAAAGCGCGACATCTTCACCACCGCTAACTCTTGTAAGCTATCCAGTTCAACAGTTATAGAAGGTTATTTAGCCGCCAAAGACTTTGTGATCTCTGGTATTTGATGCCTTGAGAATCACAGGGCTGCCGTGCACTATTAAACTGACTAATCAACAACTTCGGTCGTTCTCCGACTCCCACAAACGCTGCAGGCGAATTTTTGGTTGCTCTGTAAAAAGCGCTTCAATGACAAATGAGGTGTGAATTTTGTTTCTGTGGAATCTGTTTCCTTATGAAGAAAAGGAGCAAAAAGAGACATACCCTAATTTTCTCATTATGCGCATATGTGAAAAAATTTCTTTTTTTTTTCATCAAAGAGTAGCAGATCACAATTTTTGTTGCCATCCGCTTGGAGAATACTTATATGTATTAAACCTATATATGTATAAAACTCAAACTTTGTAAGTGTGTTCGTTTATTTGTTCGTTCGTTATAGAAACGCGCGCACTAAACCGATCCAGCTGAAACTTTGCACACGTATGTTTTCGACCCCGGCGCTGGTTTATGGCTACTTTTCGCGGCGATTCACTGGGCCCTTCTATCGTTATTGATTAGTTTACTTAAATCTAGAAGAACGAAAACTTTTCATGCTTCAACCGATCATTTTTCCATGATCATGTAACCAGGGACGGTAGAGTCCAATTCTATCTCAAAGTCGGGAGGATGCGGCAAGTCGTCTCAAAGCGCTTTTTGCGCACGTTGAAGAAGTTTGAAAGCGTAAGTTTACACGTTTTGTGAGCTAAACTAATTTGGAGCCTCGGGTGAGGCCGGGACTATCAGCTAGTACCTTATATCTCTACATCCACCACAACATGAAAATGAAGCTTAGAAAATCAAAGAGCTGAGCTTCTGGAAATTTACTCATAAAGGGGAATAAGTTCGTTACTGATAATAGAAAAATCTGAGTAGTCGATATGTTGTGGTTGAATTTTGAACTTTTCCCTTAAAGAATTAGGGATCAAAAATAACAAGAAAGGTTTTCATTAAAAATTCAAGCCAAACCGAAATTGTATAGCCAACCTTAGCTTAGCAGGGAATGGTCAGAACTTAACCTAGCCATACCAAACATGCTGTATATCATCGGACTCGTCTTAAAACGCTGATTCAGAGTATATATAATTTGCCAAGCAACTATCTGGGAGGAGTTATGAGCGTTAGAATGTGAGATTTGTCAAGTGTTCTGTGGCGCATGTTCCACAAAACAGGTTTCGAAAACACTTTCTTAAGTTTTTGGTGGATGTTCTTTTTTATTGCAATTGAAATAACCATGGCCACTGTAAATCCACGCGATCAGGCTGCCTTTTAAAAAAATATATTTGTCGAAACTCGAAGAATTTCTCATACTTGAACGCTCATAACTCCTTCTAGATAGTCACTCGGCAGAAAAAAAACGTAAATTTAAAATCAGCGTTTTAAGACAAGTCGACGATATAGAGCTTTTTGGAATGGCCGGGTTAAGTTCTAGCTCTGTTCCATTTCCTTGTTAGCTCACTACCTTGCACCAAGTCTTCAGTCCCGTAATGATTATTATCACAGCGAAGCGAAGTTGTTAACAGCTTACACGGAAAAATCCACAGTTCAAGTTCCCACACACAGGTTGCAAAGCGAATTTGGAAAAATGTCGAATGTCGAAAAAATCGAATAATGTCATATCATGCGTATTCTTTGTAAACAAAGCGGATTTTTGGGTCACAGATTTGAATGCACTATGTGAGATCATTCGTGTTTTTGAGAGGTATGGTGCGAAAAGCTTTTCGGTGCTAAAGTGACACGGTGCCAAACTAGTGAGGTGGGCGGTGAGCGCACCATAACACGATGCCGTAATTAAAATTTCTTCGAAGTCAGCGAGAGGCTCTTACATGACTTGCATTTTGCGCGTATTATCGACTTCAGGCTTGTTTCAGGGGATAGGTAGTGGCTCCGTTTTGAATCGTTCGACCCGGTAAGGATACTGGGTAAACAATTTCGTCGTTATATTCTATTCGGATGTAATTTTGTGAGGTTTTGTTCGCAGAGGGGGGGGGAGGAAGGGGGATCTGCCTCGGGGAAGCAAGAAGGATATTGTTTTCTTTCCCAGAAACGATATCCAGCTGGATCCGACTCAGCTATGCCGCTTCCTGCCACATTTACCCATGGCGAAGTCAACGCATGACGAAATGTTCATTTGTTATACAATCTCAATTTTTCGCGTGTTTTTCTTTACATTCCTTACTAGCAAATGATACTTACAACAAAAACTTTTCTGCGGAAACTGCGGTAACATTTAGTGCTGGCGCTAAGAAAGAGTGGTTACTCTGCTGACAGTTTGAACAATCCTTCATTGGATGTAGTTTGAGACAGTGTCCAGGCAAATGCGTAAAGATCTCCTTCAACGCTAGAGTGCCCACATTGCATAGTCTCTGTTGTTAAAGCCCTACAAGCCATTAGCTCTCCATTTCCAGGTGCCATCCGCCCACTCTTCGTCGCTCAAAAAGAAAGGCTCAGAAAAAGGTTTTCACCATTTCCGCTCTTTCCAATCGTAGTTTTGAAAACAGCGTAACGCATAAGCTCAGGAAGCTAAGAAGCCGGAAGCAAAGGTTTTGCCTGATCATTGGCGTTACGGCGGTCACATGTTTGTCCTCAGTGGTGCAATACTGACGTGGAATGCATAGAACGTTTCTTCGCAACATTTGCCTCAGAGGTAATCAAAGCCACTGAAGTTCTACTCGCTCATTCTTGTGTAAATCCGATGTCCAAAAAACAAAAGCAAGATTCAGCTACTGGTGGTAATCCAGTTGTTCAAGCACTTTCCATCTAGAAAGCATACCTTTTTCTGAAAAAAAAGCTGCTTATTTATAAACTTTCAGAAATTCCACTATATTCAGAATTACATACATTGCTTTCATCTTCTACCTGCTAGAAACTCCTCTGTAAATCATTACACATATCCAAACAACAGCTACGGATGCTACGATCTGTCAAAAAATGCCACAGTAGAATCTGCAGAAGTATTTTGCCCTTACTTTTAACATATTCTTTTTAAAACTCTTTAAAACGAATGGTTCGATGCCGCAGCGTTTCCATGTAGAATTTATGTGTCATTTCTCCAGGTTCATGACTGAGCATTTTCCTCTCTTTTTGCGTTTGCCTAGTATTATTGTTTAAGAATAACGTCAGCCAGTTCAACAGTTCCCAGAATTATTTGTGTTGTAGCCTTCTACTTGTACTTGTACTTGTGGTGGGTCCGGGACACTTGTAGTAGTAGAGTTATTAGTAGACTGGATATGAATAGGAACGGAGGATAAGACGAGACGAACGAATGACTTAACTAGCAGGGAACGCCTTATATAGCGCTCAGATCCCGCGCATAGGTCAATCCCCCTTAAGCTATCAATTGTATTTCTTCTTTGACTGGTCGATCACGACGCGGCACGGTGGTCGATGTGTCCTTTGCGGCCGGCGGCGAACAGGCGGCGGAGACGGTAGAGTGACGGAAACATCAGCGTCCACTGGTTCGGCATCGGCGGCAGCGACATCGGAAGTTGGCGGTGTCCCATCAGCAAGAAGGGCGTCTTGGGAAGCGGGAACATCAACGGAAACGGCAGGCGACGGTATAGGGGGCTCGAAATCCAGAAGGTTGAATTCTCTTAAAAGCGTGGTAGTGGCGTCGGGAACCTTGCGATGGCGTAGTTGGTTGGCATGGCGTCTCCATAAAAATTCTTCGACTTCCACGTTGTAGAGTGAGCGTCCAATCCTTGATTGTGCACGTCCTGGAGTCCAAGTGGGTCTCGATGGATTACGGTAGTCGCAAACGTAGACGGCATCGTAGACTTCGAATTTCCTTTTCTTGGCTCCATGTCGGCGGTTGTACATTGCTTCAATCGCCGGTTTCAATCCGAGGGAGTAGTTTGGTGTGGCACTCCAAGCGTCAGT